TGTCCACTTCCACTACTCCCTCCCACACCCATGAAATGTCCACCAACTTCCACCCCTTGCACTCCCACCAATCCCTCCCCTGTCTACATCTGGGTAGATAATGGTTTGCCATGTGCACCATGGGCAAAAAACACAGACAGTACACACTGTCCACAAATCAGCACCCCAGGGAGCATGACCGTTATTGGCTCCCTCCTGGTATGGATGCTGCAATGGAAGCCTTGTCATTCAATCCCATCCTGTGGCTGTCCAGCTACAATTGCCCTGGAGGTTTAGGTGATGGTGTGGAGAACCTGGTTCGACAGCATTTGGGTCCACACATTGCCCTTGACACATCATTCCATGGGTGTGTGGCTACCACCAGCAAGCAGAAGGCAAGGCAGGCCAAATTCAATAACTGCATTCAAGTGTTGATTGGTTTGTGCTTCGCCTGGATTCAGTTCCTGTTGTGTTGGCAGCTGTATCTTTGGGAGTGGTGTTCTCACAGGGGTGAGTAGTATCACCCTTACAAACTTGATTGTCATTACTCACCCATAGCAGGATGTTGGCTTGCTCAGGGGGTGCTGGCTTGTGAGCAGGTAAATTGCACTCTCCTGGAGATTTACCAGTGATACCAATTGCATGTGAACCTTGTGCATAACCTCTGGCACTACAAGTCTCTGTTTGCCCTGTTGGACCAGGTTGTAATGCCTTATGGGCTCAGCAATTGGACAAATGGTCACCTTCTGAGCGAAGTGATTGCCTGGGAGCAAACCTTGCCCATGGCTCAATGGAGAAGAGAGCCAGCATTGGATCACTGGGATTATGGCATGTCATTCTTCCACCCCAAATATGTCCCTGGCATCCCCAGCAACCTTGAAGAATTGCATTTCCCAATGTTCCTAGATGGCTCATTCATGCTGTGTCTGGTGAATCAACAGTTCCAGGTTGACGCAGGAGATCTTCACTCAAACATCTCTCATGTGATGCAGCTGGTTGGTACATTCAATGAATTACTGCAGCTTCTGGAAAACAAGCAAATGGTGACCCCCCTTGATGGGCTCAGTGCTCCAGGCCATTCCTTGTGTTTGCCATACTGTCCTCAGCTGCCCTCTAATATTACGTCCTCGCAAGGCCATGACTGCAATCCAGAAACACCTGCTAGCCAAACTGCCCTGGTCTGGAATCATCCAACCACATCTCCTGCCTGCTGGCAGGCACATGAATCTGCATGCCCTGGTTGCATGTCCCCTTTGATGTCCTCACAGTATTACTGGCATCAAACTGATTGCCACAACTGTGAGGAGCAGGAAGGCCAATCAAGTCGACCTTGTTATTGCTCTTGCTCACCTAGTCAATGTTGTTATCACTCTCACTCTCACTCTTGCTCTCCTGGCCGTTATTGTTCCTGCCATTCTTGCTCTTGGTCTTCTGTTTGTTACCACCCCTTTTGGTCTTCTAGTCAATACTGTCATCCTTGCTCTCATTCTCCTGGTCATTATCGCCACCCTCACTTGCCTTGGTGTTCTCACTGCTCCCCCTCTTGAAGCAGTCATGAGTCTCAATCATGCTCACCTGGATCATGTGAGGAAGAACATCACATGTACCCTGCCCATTGTAAATTAACGGGCCGTGAGTGTGAAACTGGTGACTTGCAGACTTCCTGGCATGCTGTCAATAAGCAGGATGACATTGGTGGTACCCATGCTCATAATGTCATTGAGATGGAGCACATGGCGCCCATCCCATCGCAGACCCCCCCTGCCTTGGACCATCCACTGCTTTCAGCAGATATTGACCTGGGACCTCCACCACAATATGCCAAAGAAGAACAGGCTGTGGTTGAAGATGTCGAAATGGGGAATGCCAAGGATGAAGACAACAACATATATGAGTGTGGGTATTTGACACCACCACCCACTGTCCCAGTGATCAAGTGAGGTTGGAGCAAACTCTCTGATTATGTTGATCCTCCTTTGCCTTGTCAAGCACCAATGCCCAAGCCACTGCCATCCATGCAAATGCCTGCTCCCAAGACCTTCTCCCCTCCAGCTCCTGTTGTGGAATTGTCCATCACCAATCAGGCTGCAGCATCCTTGGAGTTTGAGAAGGGAATGGCCCAGCAGTTGGGCAGGGGAGACTCATGGCGTCCCCAGCTTCCCTACACTGTGGGACATCAAAAGCCATTGCCCAACAACAAGATCTGGATCACGAAAGTGTTCCAGATTGAGATTGAGAAGTTGGACATTGCCATTCTGGCCCAACACTGCCAGTGGCTGAACGGATTCCTGTTGTCCCAGCTATGTCAACTGTTTGCAGCTTGGTGACCAAACACAAACTGCTATAATGACTTGCATTCCAAGCCAGATGAAGAGGTGTACACATTCAGTTCACAACTGGGACCTCAGCTTCAGCAGGCAGAGAAGGCTTATGCAAAGGGGGAAGCATATGCCATCCATAACTGGGACATGAAGTGGGTGGTGAACCAGGTCAGTAGTGCATTGTCTGAGTACATGACAGCTCAAGCAAGGATGCAATGGTTGTTCCCAACACATATCAATGACAACCACTGGATTCTTATTCATGTTGACTGGCTTTGCAAGCACATCACCATGTATGATTTGTTGAGGATGGGCAGCTGGCATGATCATATTGTGGTATGTTTTTGTCATTGATAGTTTGTATTGCATTCAGCTCACTGGATACATAGAGCACACAATGTGTGGTGGAGCAGATCTGGGAGGTTGCTGTGGAGAAAAGCAAGCCATTCCCTGGTTGGGAAGGATGGAAAGGGTGTCATGCCAAGATGAGCTTGATGGGATGGTCATTGGAGACCTGGAGTCTAACAGCAGGTCAGGTTCCATTGCAGACCAATGGAAGTGATTGCAGTCTGTTCATCACTGCACATGCATTTGCAATTGCCCAATGCTACACCCATTCAACCATGATAATGGCTGACATGGTGAAATGGCACGAATGGCTGCTGCAGCATTTGGAGTCTTTGCCGGATGCTGCGGTGCTTAAAAAGCTGAGGGGAAGGTCACCACTCCTCTCTTAATGGTCCTTGTTTCATTTGCTGCTTTCTCTCCTCATGTTTAGTAGTTGCTTTATGTGTCTGTTGTATGACATGATCTTTCCTCTTCCCATCTTGGTATGTCAATTATGTAGGTGTGTACTGATTGGGTTGGATGGATTTAATGGGTGAGCAATGTTGTGCAACCATTTGGTGTCTCATAGGCAGTCTAATATCCACCACACATAAGTTGTAATTCTGTAGATAGTTCTGTGCAATACAAGGGATGGCACACCTTACAATACAGAGCACAGACAATTTTCCCATCAACATTGATGGACAACTGGACTTGAATGAAAAGGTGAATGACATTTCCCAATTTGGGAACCATTAGGCCGATCATGATCAGCCTAGCAGTTTGCTGGGATTGCCAGGAGATCTGCATTCCCATGTGTCAGTATGTGCAAAATTTTCTGTGCTGTTAAATAAATACTTGCATCATGTAGTTTTGCACCTTTCCCCCCCATCACCTGAGAAGCAATCTGTGACTGTGTGTCCCTTTCCCCCTGCCCCCTGCCCCAGTTTTCCACTTTGTCAAGATGCCTACATCTCTCATCACCCAATCACTTGTGTGGGATGTCATCAAGCTTGGGAATTCCCAACTGCCAGAAGGGAAGAAGGTGAAGCACATTGGGGCCAAAATCTGGTGTTCAGAACCCAGATGTACTGAAGCACTGGTGCCTGTAGTGCATTTGGACAGAAAGGGGGGGAAGCTGGAGAAGTATGGGGTTGTATACACCCTTGTAAGTTCTGCACCCTGTAGTTTGAACTACACTGACATCATCCGTGCAGTGTAGGAAACATAACCCAAAGAGCTTCCAATTTCATACCCAGAGGCTGCACCTGGATGACATCGTCAAACTCCAGCACATGGTTGACAAAGCCCAGGCACAATGGAGTTCAAGCCCAGTAGGCTCGAGCCAACTGGTGAATGGTCCCCAAAAGGGAGGACCCAAGTGTCCTCTCTGCAAGGGACCGGGTTGCCAAGCTTGCTGCAAGAAATGGTGTGCCAAGTGCTGCGGGGATGAGAGAAAGTCCAAAGAGTTTGGTCACAGTGCAGCAGGCTGCCCTGTCCACAAGCCTAAGGAAGAAAAGACCAAAGGAGGTGGGGAAGTGAGAGAAGTCAATTGTTTGGATGAATGGGAGGATGGGGAGAATGGAGGAGATAGGGAAGAGATGGAAGATGAAGTGTTGGAGGTTGGGCAGAGGGATGGGATGGCAGATCAGTCAGCCCAGGGGTGGGCAGGGCAGGTCACAGCTCTGGGTGGGACAGCAGAAGGAAAAGGGAAGGGCAAGCAGGTTGAAAGGGGGGGGTGCACTGAGGCATTTGAGCGGAATGTTGAAGTCAGCACAATGGCTGGACCATCAATGCAAGCCTTCCATGGTCCATCCCCACATGGGCTGTACTGTGAAATGGATGGTGGATGGGCAGCTACTCTGGAACGCTGATGGCATGCAATGGAGATGGAGAAGATGCTAGAGATGGCATTTGGACTGATTGTGTTCACCTCAGTAAGCAGCTAACTACTAACACAATGACATTTCTCTAACTCCCACTTAAGACACAGGTCCACTGGTTCTCCCTGCAAGTGTCTCTCGCTGCAGGGAAGCTGTGGACAAGGATGAGCCAATGGCCAAGTCATGTGGGCTTGGAGCTGAGCTCTGACCTTGGGATGAAGTTTGAGAACATCACCTAAGCAAAGTTCTTCGAATCACAGCAGGGGATGTGGATCTGTCAGGGAAGGGAGGGTCTGGTGCAGGTCAGAAAGGATGAGTCATTGATCTGCCTGCTGGTTGGAGTGAATGAGGACAGGCCCCAGGTAGTTGAAGAACTGGGCAGGGCACTGCCTGTTGTGGTTTGAGACCATAAGTGAGGATCAAAGCATCCCCTGGTGCTGACTCCATCCCCACTCCTCCCACGTCATTGCCTCTGACTGGTAACTTTGTGATGCCTACTCCCCGAATACCAGAGGAGACAGCCATAAGTGATGGATCAGCTCCCATACACCTGAGGAATGCCGAACCTGGGCCCAGGATGGTGGAGGATGTCAAGCCAAGCAACCCTAAGCATCCACGCTGGGGTAGCAAAGTGGTGACAGTCAATGCCAACAATTTGCCGGATGTGGAGGATGTGATCAATGGCGTTGCAGCAGCCACACCAATGGCAATGGACTGGGAAGGCACCATAAACCTGACTTTGCCACTGCCAGAGCCTGTGCCCATCACTGTCAAGCTGCCATCCTCCCGCCCAACTTCCGCTCCTGGAGGTGCTGGACAAGACATGGCTGAGGTTGTGGACTTTTAATGAAGTCATGCGCAACATTGCCTGCATCCATAGCTATACAGACAAGGCTATGCCAGGCCACGTTCTTTGGGGGGAAGCCTTCAAGCAGGTGCATGGTTTTGAGGGCAAGTACAAAACTTGGTATGAACATGCCAAGTTGTTGGAGTCTGCTGGCCTGAAGAAGCTCATCAAAAGGTTCAGCAAATGGCCAGGGAGTACATGGGTGAGGTTCTGGTTGCGTGCCCAGAGGAAGAATGACGGATGTCTGAAGGATGGTGAGGTGAAGATGAATGAGCTGGCTTGGTGGGTGGAGTCAGATGAGGAGGGAGAGTCAGAGAAGGGCCATGAACTGTAGTCATTGGTGAATTGACTGTGTAGAAATACAATAGACAGGCTTGGAGGTGATGTCCTCCAAGTCCTTTGTTTTTCTTGTTTTTTTGTGTAGTAGTATCAATTAATAATTACACATGTCTAGATAGAGCACTAACTAATTGTATCTATCGGACTTACATGTTCAGTGTTAGGCAGCACCGGCTATTGAATTGCTGAGCAATGCACCCTGCCCTGCCCGCTTGACGCGGAGCGGGATTAAATTATAAAGCTTAGGACCCTGACATCTGTATCCAGAGTCCAGACGTGCCCCAAAACCTGGATGCCCTCCGTCTTCTACCGCACGCCTTTGCTCGTGTTCCCAGCCCCCTGGTGCCTCGAAACGGTATTGAAGCTGCTCCTCGGTGGGAGCGAGTCAAACAGTTGCCATCTTTGAATTATGTTGGACATTTCAATTATGTTGTACCTGCCAGGAACGTGCGCTCATATCTAGATGTGCTATGACTCGAGAGGCTGGCAGCGAACAGAACAATCCCTGCAGTCAGAGCAGCGCCAGCAACCGAGGTGCAGGCCAATAGCGACTCGCTCCGGGTGTGCGGATCGGCATGCAAGAAGAGATCAGACACACGTACCGAGGAGAAGGAGTCAGCGTCACCGGCCGTGTCCGCGCTGATTCAGGACTCTGACGTGCAGGGGCGCTGCTGTTTTGTTCTGTTTTGTTTTGCACCCCGGAAATTTGGCCGCGCTGTTAGGCCTGTCCCGCCCACCGCGCTACGTGCGTTTGATGCATTGGGACAACGTGAGCGGCTGCGAGGTCAATTGTTGCATAGTTGTCCGTGTGCTCGGGAAGCACACACGTGGAGAGAGCGGGAGTGGCTGCGTGCCGCCTTTGTAATTACTAGCTCGGTTGCGATGGCTCATCCTCGGGTGCTCTAGAAATGGGGTGGAATACCGCTTCTTTGGTGCAGCGTGTGTTCCGCGCGCGCTGTTGGTGATGTTCCTTGAAGCGTCTCAAGTCTGGGCCGGGTTTAGTGCAAAGTTTGTCCTAGAGAGAAGTAGTGCGCTTAGGTTCAGTCTGATGCAGTTCCAGGAACGGACGGGCCTTTGATTAGAAAGCCGAACGTGCCGTGGGGTGGTTGCCTGGCTACGGCTGGAATTTTGAATTGAAACGGGAACAAAAATCGCGATCCAGACCCTTGGCCTTGTCCTCATCAATGAACAACGTGGTGTTCGGAGCGGATGTAGATGTTGAGGGCGCAGGCCATTAACTGGCAAGTTCGACCCCCATTTTTGCTGTTCATCCCTCTTTCTCCTTCCACCACCATCTCCCCCACCCCGGTTTTTAGGTGAGTACTTACTTATCCCCTTCTTCGCTCTCTCTCCCCTCTTTTACTCGTGTAATCCACTCTGCTCACCTCATTATTACACCGCTTGTCTCTCGCCTTCTCTTGTCTGCAGCTCTGACCCTCTTTTTTGACTTTGACTTGCATAGCCCCCCCTACCTTCTGGCCTTGCTTCCTCGGCAGTACTTTGCACTCGTTTGCACCACGCACTTTTGAGACCACACCCTCAACTTCGCTCTTTCCCTCTCAACCATATAAAAGGCTGTACCTCGTTCGCTATCCGACTCTCTCTTCAGCTTCGATCCACGTTCAGATCTCAAGCTATCCCCCGCTCCACCCTCGCTCGGCGCTCCTGTATATATCAGCTTCTCGCTAGTCAACCAATCTAAGCCAAGACATTTCGAAAATGTTCGCTGCCGTACCCGTCGCACTTCTCACCCTCGCCCTCACCTTCACGGCCACCGCCGTTCCCGTCAAGCGCGGCGAGTCGGACTGGGCCTGGGGTTACCTCGAGGTATGCGTCACGTGACACCAAAATATATGCGCATATACTCATCTTCATACAGAATTACAATGCTTACCACAACCGTTATGAGGCCCTCGCCTGCCAGGACCAGCACGGCACGAGCTTCTTCGACCAGTGCTGCCATCCTCTGCTGGCGACTCAGTCTCTGAGTGACCGTCCCAGCTACTGCACTCCCTCGTCGGGGTCCGCTACTTCTACTTCTGCCGCAGCGACCCCCACTGACGGTTCCGGCGATGATTGTCCCGATGACCCTTCTAGCACTTCCGACTCTGGCGCCGGCTCCACGGACGCGGGCGGTGCTGGTGGTTCGGCCAACGCTTCCCCGGACCCCACAAACAACGGTGGCTCGGGCAACACAAACGACAACGGCAACACAAACGATAACGGCAACACAAACGATAACGGTAACACCAACAACAACGGCAATACAAACGACAATGGTTCAAGCAACACGAACAACGGCGGCTCCGTTGTGACTGGCGGCTTGTAAGTTTTTTTGGTCGCATAATTGTAAACCCGCAATCTCATCATATTCTCAGCGGTACCTACTTCTACCAGGGTGGCAATGCCGGTGCTTGCGGCACCGTCCACAGCGACAATGACCTCATCGCTGCCATCGATATCGCGTACTACGGCAACACAGGTGCTGTCTCCAGCTGGTGCGGCCAGAGCCTCCTTGTCGAGAACACCGAGAACGGCAAGACCGTCACCGTCACCGTAGCCGATGTCTGCCCCACGTGCGACAACGCGAACTCGCTCGATCTCTCTGTTGCCGCCTTCGAGGCCCTTGCTCCTCTCAGCGAGGGTCAGATCTCCATCCAATACACGGTGCTAAACTAGATGCAGCGCGTCTAGTCCTGTGGACCATCTGTTTCTATTCTTCTGGTTTACGCGTGGTCTCTCTTCTTTTATTATGCTAGGGTGTAAAGAAGTGTACGCGCTTGCGCGTGCATATTGCGATATGTTTCTGAAGCATGCCCCATGTCGTGGCATGGGACGTTGTTAGTGCTGGTTGCGTCGGTGTGGATATTGGAAGGGAGAATGTCTTTCGTTGGGATCACAGGTTGTTTCTCCATCATCTCATGCCTCTCCCTCCTTACCTACATCACTCGATCGCTAATAGCTCCTGGATTACCTGTAGCACAGCCGTCCACTGGGAATAGCTTATCACCTAGATGGTGCTATGAAAAGATTATTAACCGAGCATGTTCCTCGCAACCATTTTCGCCAGTGTCTTTGCGCATACAATAACTTCCTGCAACGGTCGCTCATTCCTATCAACTTGCCTCTTGTTCTGACGAAGGACGTAGACATATCATAGTCACTAAACTAAGGTACACACCTGCTGTAAGGACTCTAGTGTGTGGAACATGTCACGTATCCTCCATCTCAGATACGGAAGATTGATGAAGAGATGGACAACTTTTCGCTGGAAGATTCTGTGGTTGTGTTATGTTTAAGTTTTGTTGGATAATACAGTCAGGATGGATCCTAGTAATACCGCCGACGTAGAGTACCTATAATAGCGACTCTCTTGCGGCTACCTTCCCTTCTTGGTGCTCTACCTCATATCCCGTATCCAAACGCCCAAACGCTCAAGGGCTTCATAAACCTGCACGTGAACGGACGACGCTGCGAGTTCGCAGGTTCTTGTCAATCTCTAGCTAGGACCTAATTGGCAAGCCTCCCGCTCGCTGCTCTGCGGAACCGAGTGCAGGGGACAGGGAAACTCGCTCTTATTTGTCGTTGTTACTGGGATGAAGCGCTCGGACAGTGCTTGATTGGATTGGATTGCCCAATTAATTTGCAGGATGAAGAACAAAGGCTTGGAGAAGGGGCGTTTCGAGTACATCAGATCGACGATTGTCCGGTATGATGGATCGGCGAATGAGCAGTTGCATGTCTGTAACAGTACTAGTGGCAGCAAAAGCAGAAAGTCAGGCTGTGCATCTCTGATCTGTCCAACTCACAGCGAATCTCTGTTACAAGCTGCAGCTGCCCGAATGGAATGTTCTCCGTCAAATACCAGTCCGTCGGCGAGTTTTCCCGTTGACGACGAGGGTTCAATTCGCGCGAAAACGTCCGTGTACATGAAAGCCGACGCGAAAGAGCTAACGACTGACGGACGTGACCGAACCCTCAGGCCCCTGCTTTTTCTCCTGCTTACCTCCTATGCCTGCTTTTGGTCGTCCGGACTTCTGACGCGTGTGACGACCTCCAGCTGTTCTTGTCCCCTTCCCCTTCCCCTTCCTCCGCCCAAGCCACAATTCTTGCTTGCATGTCAACCTGTCTTTTGCCCTTGAAGGTCGATGTCAGTCCCCTCCTCCTCCACTCTGGTCGTCTTTCTCGTGCAGGAGCATATCGACAAGGCCGTTTCAGCATCTGAGGATAATGGAGAAACGATCGATTTATCTCAGAGGGGGTTCAACGCTATCAGCGATGAGGGTGTTGGGTTGCTGAGACGGGCAGGAGGAGGAGACGAGGAGGAGGGAGGAAAGGTCAAGAGGTAGGCTGATTGGCGCCGTTCCTCTGACTCTGTGCCGCCTGACGCAGTCTCATGCAGAATCGCAATGACGCACGTTGCCCTGCGTGAATTGCCAATATCATTTAGTACCCTCATGCGGTTAAGGTACCTGAACATGCGGGGTAACTTGTTCACTACATTCCCGGAAGTGGTGCGTTAGCGCGTTGTTTATCAGAGCTTGACCTGACCTGCTGGGCAGTTGACTAGTATGCCCTCTTTGGAAATTCTAGACATCAGTCGGAACAAGATCAAACGGCTCCCGGTCCAGCCGGGAAACCTCGTGCATCTTCGTGTATGTTGAGAGTGTTCCTCACCATGCTTTGTACTTAAGAGCGCATGCGCAGGTTCTCTGCATGTCAAAAAATCGCCTACAACGGCTGCCACGATATCTCACATACTTCAGCTGTCTCAAAATTCTGAAGGTTGACTCCAACCCAATTGTGTGGCCTCCAGCAGAGGTCGTTAACAGCTTGCAAGATAATGGCGACATGGAGGATTGGATTGCGGAGGTCAAACAATGGATGGAAGAAAACGGACCTGACGAGGCAGAACGTGTCCCTACCGGTAGACTGAACACACGAACCGACGATGTCCTGGAGGCATCCATGCTCGAGAGGACTGCCTCAGAAATGTCCATGTCGATGACGACTGATACACACCGTTTTATGTTCTCGCCCTCAGCCCCTCACACCCGAAATGCATCGGAAGAGTCGACTCTGTCATTCAGCATCGGTTCTGAAACTACTTCAAGACCATCACCGCGACCACCTCCGCTCAGGCTTCCTGCGATTCATTCTGCACGCAGCAGCCCCTCCGGCACGCCAGATGTCTCAACCCAAAACCTGTCAGGGTACGATTTCGCTCTTACGCCACCTGCCAGTGCACTCCCTCAACTGCATGGACGTGGTCAGTCATACTCCGTTGGAAGGCGACCAAGAGCACAGACTCTCGGCGCCAAGAAAAGCCTGCCTGAGCTGCGTACTAACAACTACGGCTTTCCCTCCAGTCTGCTTCAGTCAACCCGCTCCCGCACCAAAGGGGTAACGGGCGACACACCCGCTGTTCCTGTCCCTCGTCTCAAATCTACGTCACCCCTCGCAACACCAGAGGCGCGCTTTGGCATCCCTGGAGAGCTGTCGAGCTCAGCCGTACGATCGGGTGCCAATGCGCCATGCCTTGCTCTGGAGAAGAACTCGTATTTCAGACGATTGTCCACTCTCCCGCCGTTAAGAACGTCTCGCACTGTGCCTGACTCGTTACTCAAAGTCATGGATGGAGTTCGAACTATCCTCAGCGCAGCTGAACAGATCTACGACTCACTCCGACATTACACAGTCTACGCTATCGATGATCGGCTCGCCGGTATGCTCGTGCGGGTACTCGAACCTGCTGGCGCATATATCGGGCGTCTCATCAATGCGTTGGACCGATTCGATTCCGTGTCCAGGAAAGGACTTCCACAAGTGCCCGTTTGTCGAGACGTGCTCAAGTCGTGTCAAGATACATTAGCCCTTTTCGGCAGACTGACGATCGTACTACAAGCCCAGCTTAAGGTGTTAGCCGGCACAGATGATGTTCGCTTCACGCGCAAGCTCAATCTGTTGCTCTATGGCGCAGCGGGGGAAGTGTCATACGCGTGGCAAGAGATGAGCCCGTATCTGCAGGATATCAAGGCGTATCTGCAAACAGGCTCCGAAACGCACTTAAGCAAAGCACACGCTCGCGATGGCCCCATGACACCTGTCATCGAGCAAGGAGAGATGGGAGATCCTACGGTCACACCGCATGCCGACAGGTCTTTTACCTCCACGAGCCACACTCCGAACCCCCCATCCATCCAAGCACGGCGCGCACGACGACATGGCGGATCATACAGTCAGAAAGATGTAGAGCTCGGTAAAGCATTGCCGTCAGCAGGGCTTATTCCATCACCCGATACGCCAAACTGGCCAACATCTGCAAATCAACCCCCAGCATTACGCTCCGCCTTGCGCCATGCTGCACAGGCCCACTCTCCCAGCCCGGTTGGCATGACATCTCCCCTCCTCTGGGCCAGCACGCAAGCACCCCATTCTGCGTCCCATCATTCGCGAAGAGAGTCCGACGAGTCATCCGGACACACCACCTCGCCTCCCATGAACGGCGCTCGACCTACGCGACCCATCCTGACACCATCAAATTCGTCTGCCTTCCTGTCACATCACTTGCAGACCCCATCCCCACTCCCTCGCTCACCTTTGCCTCTCCCACCAGATTCTGCTCAGCTGTTTGATGGCGCACTGCTCAGTATGATGGACTCTGCGACCGAGACCGCCAACAACGTATGGGCGATGCTTGCGGAGCTTCTTAACAATTTGGCTGAGCCGAGGCGAGACATCCGAGCTGCTCTGAGCAAGGCAGAGCATGCGACCGAAAAAGTGAGAGAGGACCTGGAGGCGGTGAGGCAGGATCCTTCACCTGCGGCACGGAAAGCGCTTGGAGACGCAGCACACCAGTTCGCCAAGGTGAGTTCGTACCCTACAAAGGTCAGAGTTGATGCTGATGCTTGCATAGTCTGTTGCCCAGCTTCTCACCCTCATACGAGCGTACGATGCCCAGAAAGCGCTCCCTAGTGAGCTGCGTAGTGGGGTCAGCCGGTTGACACACGCCACTAAGAACTTCACGGTCTTCTTCCAAGCGACCTCCTTTGCCCCACGTTTGCGCGCTCTCTCCCCCGCTGGCGGTGACGAGGAGAGTCATCGTATGCCAATGCTATCACAGGGATTGACTCCCCGGGGCACCCCCACCAGCCTGCTACGGAGTAGAAGCGACGTGGCGACTCCGAGCAAGCCTAGTTTGAGCAAAAGCGTTCGTGACGCTCCGTGGAGCGCACAACCTCAACAAACCTTCCAGATCCCGCCTGTACCACCGAGGCAGGTGGAGTCTGCTACCCGGCCTACGTTCGAGGCATTGACCTGAGCGTCCGTCCTACTCTGTTCGTTTTGTTTATTCCGCAATGCCTGTACGACCTGCACGCCTACGATACGCAAGTCCCTTGGTCGTCCCACACAAGACAGCTATCATATCCATTGTATTCATAGGCCGCAACCCATCCATCCTGCTAACACGTAGTCTAGGAGTAACCACACGGTTTAGATTGTATTATCATACGAAACCGGGGGTTGAGCTTGGAGACCTCCGGTGGAACCGCAGTCATCCTGGGAGTGTTTCGAATGCACGACAATTCAAGGAAAGTGTGGAGGCAGATGTGACAATCGAAAAAAAAGTAGGTGCAGGTCGCGTGCATGCTACATTCCCAGCGGAGATCTAAAGACATGGCCGGGCTAGGCTGTGCACCTTCCGAAGGGCGCCGAATATACCCCAAGCGAGGAAAGCCTATCGAACCCAGTTGTGGAGAAAGTACACGTTCGTGTGGTCGCTGGCAGCCAATTGCCAGCAAAAGCGTGTCAATGATCATCAGACCGACGCCGATGACGCTTTCTCTCCGCAAATTGAGCATGCCATTACGCCAGTCTCTCGTGTTCGTGTTGCGACCAAACAGTATTCTTACGCCCAATCGATCCGGGGGCGTTGAGGTCAAAGAATCTGACAACGGTCTCGGGTGATAATCCCCGCGCTGTATAGGTGCGTGTGGACAGAAACGCCCAAGGTGGATCCGCACCCTGGAGGGTCTTCCACGTCGTCGCTGTGGTGCTTGTTAGCCGTCGTCAAGTGCCTTGTGCGTCGTCTTTCCGTGCTTCTGCATAATGAGGTTGGAAGATAAACGCGTTCATTACGCGCCATTGACCATTCTTGTGAGAATATATCTCGTTGTGAGGCTATAGAGGAAGGCGACGCGCCCAAAGGCAGCGTATGATCTCCGACGCGTCGTTTGGACAGCAGTACTAAGTGTCATGGGTTCGGGAGGGCAAGTGGTGCCGTGCCGGTGTGCCTGATAGCGTCAGAGGGATGGAACGCATCGCCCTTACTCGCTTCGGCGTTCCTTTGCCTTGGGCTGGAACGGGTTATCATCAGTTGCTCTTCACAAGAGTCACAGTCCATATGCATATATCCGCCTTGTTCTGCGCACGATCGCCCCTTCTGTACACAGCAATCAACTTGCCATATGCAGTTAACCCCGGGCCGGATTAGTGCAGGAGGAGGGGGCCTTAGATGATGCTGAACCATTGGCAAGACTTTAGGATGGAGGTGTCCCGGATGCTGCCCCTGGCGTCACCGGCACAGCGTCTCGAAATAAAGACATACAATATTAATCTCAATTGGGAGGGGATGAATAGACGCCTAGGAAACCGAGTCTTTCGGGGGAAGAGGCGCCGGGCCCTGCCGAGAGGCTAATATAATATGGTGAGAGATCATACGAGGACGGGTGAAAAAAATGTCGCTGGTCTTGTGCCAACCTCTTGTTGTTGCGATAGATAGGAATATGTTCAACAGGGAATTGTCATGCGCTTCACTGATGACGTGCAGGGTTATTTTACTGAGACTTTATGGAGGATTACATTGCGCTTGACATGATCGCGTGAGGGCAGTATTGTTCAGCAGGGTCATGAAAGTCGCGTCCGTCATTGAACTCGCTTGTCCGGTGTCTGTCGTTGTACAAGGTAAATAATAAATATGGATGATGATGATGATGATGAATAACGATCAAGTCGGTGGGTCTCTAGTAGCGGTAGAGATCTGAGATGAACGGTCGTAGAGCGGGTTGCCGTGTGTGTTTATAAGTTTCCGGATAGAGGGGGGGACGCCTCGAGTTTCTGACACAAATCTGTCAAACGCTAGTTAATGATTCCTTCACACTTTTTCGACCGTATTCTCCTTCTAATTATTTCCTATTTCATCGATATTCAAAGGGCGTCACACACATTCACACCACACGACAAGTTTATTGCATATTGTTCCTTTTTTTCCGTTTCCTATTTATACTTCAACATCACTGACTCGCTTTCTCACTCTTCACCTTTTTCCCCTTCTCCTCCTCCTCCCCCATCATCACCCTTCCCCCCCACCACTCTCCCCACCACCACTCCACTCCCAACACCCACTACTCTCTCTCTACCCCCACGCAATACCTGGTGCTGCCGTCATATCCCTCTCTTATCACACACATACCGGATACCACCATGCCTTCCGCTCAACGTCGCTCCACCCGGTCTCAACGGCCCACCAGGCACACACCCTACCCTGCCCAGCCGCTAAGGGAGCACATCATCCGCCAGCGACCAGGCAGCAACCGTCCACGCGGCATCCTCAAGGAGATCGAGTGGTGGAGGGTCCAGGTCGGCCAACTCCAGGATCAGGACGACGACGCCAGCAACGGCGCCGACAACGAGAGCAACAGAGGTGCTGAGGTCGCTGAAGCCGTCAATGTGAGCACGGTTGAGGAACCGGTCATCGAGCGGGTGCTCCCCGTCTCTTCGCTAGGGGATGCATTCGGTGATTATCCCCTGCTGGACGAGGTACGCCGTAACACGTGTTCCATCCACCACTTCGTCTCACTATGTACACTAGACCAAGTCGTTCCTCGATGCTCCCAGCTTCGTCGCAACGACCCCTCCCTCCTCTCCGCCTTCCTCTCCGCTCATGTCGGCTTGCCCGCTCACACCAGCACAACGTGGTCACCAGCGTCGTCGTAGCGCTTTCGCCCGCGCAGCCTCGTATGCCGGACTCGGCTCCTGGTCACCCAGCTCTACCTCGTCCGGATCGCGCGCATCGCCAGATCCCGAGACGCAGCTACGTGAGCTGATCGACCTGCCCTCCCGCTACTCCTGCCTATTCACCATTGTGGACTAAACGACCACCGACCACTCTTCTTCTCGTCAACGTCAATTTCCTTACGAGCACCCTGATCGGTCAAAACCAATCCGAGCTGTCCTCCCAAACTCTCACCTTCCCACCACACTTGTACGGCCCCCAGCATCCAGGTCTCATCTGTCCCTGATTCCTCAAAGGCACTAAAATCGCCCACGATTCCCACCCGGCCACCGCACACCCAAGTACAAAAAAGACGTGGCCGGCACGACCAACACACATACAATGTACCGATCGATCTCCCTTAATGCGCGACTCCCATCAGAGCGCTGCCCATACCTTCCCTTCCCTCTTTGGCACGTTTGAAACCGCTTTGAACACACCCAACACACCCACCTTTTGACGAAACATCCGCTTTCTTTCTTTCTCTTTGCTCCAGGATCCGGTTTGCCAACATCCACACTCGAACATCAACATTTGTACAGGCTCGGTCTGCTGCACCCCGCGTGCAGGCAGCCATTGGGAGGGTCAATCTGTGATACCCTGCCCACCGATGTGACGACACCCGCGACTTGGCACCTTCTGGATCTTTCATAACAACACATCCTCTTTGCAACGTCTTCTTTTTCTCAGCTCTTTGCCTCCTCTCTTGTCACGACCTCTAATGACCCTAATGACCTTTCTGCTGTTTACAGATCTTTCAGCAATTTGCTTTCTTCGTTCTGGGTTTAACGGCAGCCGGTGCAGTGCGCTGTCCGCGATTGTTGTGGTAGGTTTGATGTTGATCTTTGAAGGAATTAAGTATCATAGTTGAGAATCTTCGAAACCCGCAGCCGTCGGACTCTAGTTGATGATAGCGTTTTAATGACGATTTCAAATTCGGTGATGAAACCCATAACACGATTGTCGCGCACATCGCACACATCAGGAAGAATCATCAGACCACCGAGGAGCGGTCAGCATCACATTTGTGTCATCAAGAAAGCATTCCGCTGTTGGCATACAGAACGGCCATGGATCGATATGCTCCGTCCATGTATGGAATCATCAAAACCCAGCAAGTTCCCTAATCCTCCCCAACGCCCCTGATCCTCTTTCTCTTCACATCAATCTTCTTGGCATCCTCCTTCCCCTGGTTGTAGTTCGAATACCCGCCCCTGCTAAAGTTTGGCCCGTTCACTCGGGGGAGCTTGTGCAGCTTGATCTTCTGCTTCCTCAAGTAGTCCTGTACGGGGTAAATCAGCGTGCGAACAGAAGAAAGGGTGCTCCCACGGATGGGGAGACGCACATCAGCAATACTAGCAGCATTGTGCCGAAACAGCGTGAGTTGCTGGCCAGACTGCCATGGCGTGTCATCCTCTTCCTCAAGTTTGACCACAGCCGGCTTGGATTCCTCTTCCTTCTTCGGTTCCGACTTTGGCACAGGGTCGGGGTCGTGCTTGACGTTGATGTGTCCCGTGGCATCCAGATCACGCAGCATACCATCAATATCCTCCTCCTCCGCGTCAAAGTCCGCCTGGAAGTCATCGCCAGGTTCGCCCATTTCGTCCCAGTCGTTCACAGGGCCCGCAAAGTCCTCAGCGTCCGAATAAGGCTCCTCATCGTTAACCACGGTACTAGCCTCATCAGGTTCGTCCTCGGGCTTGACCTTCTCGTCCTCGTCCTTCACCTCCTCCACTTTCACCTTTGTGTCTTCCTCATCCCGGTGTTTTAGTCGCTCGATCTCCCTCTCGCGCTCTTCAGCATCAGCTTTAGCTGCCAGCGCAAGGCGTTCCTTCTCCTTCTGAATAGCACGACGCTCTTCTTCCTTTCGGTCCTTGCGGGCCAATTCATATAAGCCATCAGCCACGCCATAACAGTAATTACTAATTGATCGTGAGGAATACGTGACAGAAGCAGGAAAACGCTCACTTCTTCTGAGTTCTTCCTTTGGCCGTCTTGTTTTGCGCGGACCACGTAAGGATGAGATTGTACACCTAATCAGCACGAGATGAGAAAATGACCCCTGATCAGCAACTTAAACGCACCATCTCGAATGCATAAGCTGCTGCAACCGTCTGCTCCGCCAGGCCATAGAACGTCCAGTCGACCCTCTCACCCATGGACATGCTGTAGCTCTTGCAGTCAAAGAACTTCTCAACAGCTTGGGCAACTACAGTGCTCCAAGCATGCATGAGGACACCTGCGCCAGTGAGGCTACGAACGGCGACAGTGGATTGGCCAGCTCTGCGGGCGGGATTGGGCCTGAGTCATTGCAATATATGCACCGGACCGGTCTCACCGTTTCAATTTTTGCTCCTCATCCTCTGAAGCCAATACGTCCGCCTGGTTGACACTATTGCCATGTCAGCCATATGGACCTTTCTCAACACCGAATCAAACTGGGCCTACTTATGCTGGGCCATCAGTTTGCTCGCAAGCCGCATAGCAGCCTTGGCTTCCGCCTCCCCCGTTCCCTCGTGCGTGCCTAACGACAACGCTTTCTTAATCCTCTGCAGCACAGCCTCGTCCACACCCGTGACTGTATGCACTCAGAGCAGCTCCGATAAGACCGGAGTGGAGGACATACGTGAGTTGCCCGTCCGACCACCAGGGGGAGCATCCGTAGCGAGGGAAAGGACTTCGGCTTTTGTGGCAACTTTGACGTCCCCGTCGGTGGAGGAACGGTTCTCCTTTCCCCCTCTTGCCCTCCCTTTTCCAGTGTTCCCGTTTGCCTTCCCCTTCCCCTTCCCCTTCCCATTAGACGTCCCATTCGCCCCAGTGCCCTTCTTCCCTTTGGGAACAAACTCGTCCCCAGAGTCGGAATCGTAGTCGCCCTCAGAGGCAGACTCCTCAGAGGAGATAACCAAGACGTCCTCGTCCTCGCTCATGATCTCCACTTTGGTCTTCTTGCTCGGTCCAGCGCGTAATGACTCACCGCGCGTGCGTTTGCTAGTGATAGCCATGCTGAGTCTCTGCCGTAACAGCAAAGGGATATTCGGCTCCAAAAAGGTGTCTGATGTTGTCCAATCTCTATCCAGCTTTCTAGTGCAGATGTATGCACCTTCCAATGTCGACCTCGACGACAGGGTATCAAGTGTCTATGTGGGAACTGTGGGGATGGTCGTTCGTTCCAGAGTGTGACGGGACCGTAATGTGCGTCGCGCTCGCGTCCCTGATGACTTCCGCAGATTGGGTGGATTACATAAACAAGTGGCGAAAATGGCAGATGACTCACTGGCAGAGACGGGATGTACTCGCACCTGTAGCTTGTGTATCTGAAGAATTGTTATGGGTTTTGGAGAGATGTCAAGTAGCCAGGTCCGCGGACGAAGACTCACTACGTTTGTACCTCATATGTAGAGTCGGGTACAGTAGGACGTGGTGTGCGTAGAACCCAGCAGTGCCTAGTTAATTTACTTCCAAGCATGTCTACTGTTTGCTATCCCTAGGATCGCTAATCATTCTCCTCCCTCCAAGAAAAGCCCTTTTCTTTGCCTTCACCCTGCCAAGGCCCGCCCAAGTTTGCCGAGGCTTGCCCAAGCCATGCGCAGTCTTCCCCAACTTTCAGGCCGAGCCGAACTGGCAGATACACAATTAAGCATTTCAGTACACTAGACACTAAGCGCTACACAATTACACAATTCATACCTCGTACACCCCCTGCGCACATATCACTCCACCCTGACGACCTACCACGCTGTATGACATGACACCTATCTCACCCAACCCTCAACAACCACCGGCCCATAGAGCCTCCCCAGCAAGTCCCGGCCTCCGCTCCTACCCGCACGGGGCATGATACCCCACATTAATTTGATGAGTTTCTCCTGCTGCTGTGGTTGCTGTTGTTCCTGCCGTTTTTGGGCGTCTTCTCGTTCTTTCCAGGCTGCGCGGATCGCTGGTGCTGCTCGTACGAGCTACGAAGTATGAGCGCTTCGCAAGAAAGGATAGCGAGCTGCGTACCTCCTCCGGTTCTACCCCGTCCCTTATACTCTCCAAGACCTTCTCCACAACACTCACATGGTTCGCATTAGGCTTATCATCTCTGAACCTAAGCACCCTCCACTCCTCAGTTTTCTCCTCCCAGGCTACTTCTACCACCCGGCCGTGGTATGACTCCCCAGAGGCCTTCCATTTCTCCCATGTTGAGGGGGAGAGGGCGAGGAGGTCGAAGAACGCGTACTGGGAACCACCGAGCCAGGTATACAATGCCGCACGGGGTAGGGCAGCGAGGTCCGGTTCTGAGGGGCGGGTGGAAGACGGAAAGTGTAGGAGGAGGAGGAGGTCGATCGAGTTGTCTGCTTTGGGCTTCCATTTTAGCAGGTTAGAGTCGGTGCCGGGGACGTAAAAGGTCGTTACTGGTGTGAAGATTAGCCCGTCGGAGGTATGTTGTAATGTAGGGAGGGAGGAGAGGACAGAGGCGACGTGGTACGAGGGTTTCATCTCTTTTACTGCTATTCTGTAGGAGAAGAGGTTGGAACGAGCAGGCGGCGCGCAGAGCGGGGGACGTACTGAAATGGAAGCTGCTTCCGGAATTCCGGGAACTTGGTTAACATTGCGCTGAACGGCTTGTACACCCGGTCGCGGATCCTCTGTGCACGTCAACATTATCCTAGAGTGGAGCGGGATGGGAGGACGAACTCCGTATCGTTTTGTTAGTGGACGGTCCATGATATTTTCGCTGTCGGCGATGAGGCAGTCGAATATCAGCAGACGGAGGGTTTTCTGCGCGAAGATCAGAGTCTGGATTGTGTATTGTTGCATGACGCACCATCCCAGTCCGCGGATCTGTATCCTCCACGAGCTCGCAATCAAGTAGCGTATCTCGGAGGCTTCTTATCGGGTCCGTAAAATGGGGGAACACAAGACCATCTTGCTCATAGTACTTGTTATGTCTGTCGATCTGCAGATATGAGTTGAAGGATATGCAGAGAGAAGAAGGACGTACAAGGTAGACTTCTTGCACGTTGCCTCGAGGGTTGATGACGATGAAGAGGAGGAGGCGGATGCCGTCTGATTTCTCGCATACCCAGTAGCTGGCATAGGTCAGCGAGGGGTGAGTATAGTGGAGGATGGCGCGCACTCTTCTCTCTGCAGTGCCTGCAGATGGTGGGATCCGAAGCTGACCGGCTGACTTCCCGGAAACCTGGGCAAGTGAGTTAGCGCCCGCGTGAGTTAAATGAAGCGTACTTGTGAGGTAGGGTATTGCATAAGAAGGCGACGTGCTGTCGTAGTGTATGTTCTATGTCGCTGTCTATCGGCTTGCCTGGTATTGCTGGAGGCATTGCTGTATGTTGTTGTCGCCAAGAATAAGAGAAAGAAAAGGAGATGAAGAAGTGGACGGATGAGTGAGGTTTGTCGAATGGGAAATGACCCTATGTACTGTGCCGATCCCTGACGGAAGCAGTGACGGCATATCGGCGTAGAGAAGCTCTGAACGGTTGTGTCCTTTCTAAATCCTCTCAGCGCCTCTTGTTGAACTTGGCTTATTTTCTCCGACGTTATCGGCCATTCTGTCACTCATTTTTTAATACATTTTCACTTGACAACCATTTACGCTCATTGCAAGGCAAGCAGAAAATAACACTTTCATTCACTCACACACTCTCTTATCAGTACTCTACTCTTATCGAAGGAGAGGGGAGAAGGAAACGGGTGAAAGTGGCCCACCATGGCCTCACCCAGACGTCAATCAAGGGCGTCCAAAGCACTCTCAATCGTATTCCCAAAATCACCCATCTCACCAACATACCCACAAGAGATTCCCCTCTCACACCCTGCACTCTCCGCACCTTTCCCACTACCGGACCTTCCGAGCGTCTATGTCGTACCCCCTCCAGAGGAGACAACAGCCCCAGTGTTGGCATTCGACAGCACCGCACCCCCTTCGCCGTACACGCCAGACCTGGCAAGATTGGAAGAACATGTCGCGCAAGAAGCGCGTGTCTTCCATGGTCAGCAAGAATGGCGCGCCTACCCACTTCCACCACCAGATATCGGCATCCCCAAGTTCCGCCGGCTTACAGACCGTCAGATGCGCGCAGAAGGCGTAGTCATGCCCCGAAGGAGAGAGATCGCGCCTGCAGCTCGTCAACCGCATCCACCAGCAAGGAGGAGCGCGACCGAACCTCCCGAAGTTCGGGCGTTCGTACCCCGTCCGTCGCCGCTCAACCCCAACCTTAACACCTCGCCCACACTGCCACCAAGCCCACCGCCAAACATCCCTCTACCCCCGCTGCCCGTCCTCTCCCCACTCCTAAAACATGTTCAACCGGTGTTCACCCCACAGTTCGTGGGAGATCCCGATCCCTCAGTGTTGAACGTCCCAAGACGCATAGGTTCCCCACCCCCGTCGCACGCGCCTCCCCTTCCTGGACCGGCGACTAGCGCTCCAACAGGCCTGGGGATCTACGCTCCTCGCGCAATGGTTCCGAGCGAGCGCGTCCCTTTCCCTTCTGCTCCTGTTGTTCCTCAGGCACAGGGAGGGGAAAGCAAGCGCATGAGCATCGGCTTCTCCACACCTCCTGTCTTCCCCCCTCCTCGGACGACGAGGGGCTCCCTTCCCTCTTCAGTGAAGAAACCTGCGCTTGAGGAAGTGAGGGGTGAGGCGCTTGTTAAGCTTGAGGGAGGGGTAGTGGAAGGGAGGAGGACAGAGGGAGAAGGGGACAGAGAGGCGAAAGCGAGGAAACGGCGGTCCACTATCGGGTTTGGGATTGGCCTTAGCCTTGCAATGGGGTGGAGGAAAGGGGCAGACTTGGAGAAGGAAGAAAGGAAAGGGGCAGAGAGTGAGAAAGAGAAAGGGACGCAAAACGAGGAGAAAGAGAAGGAACGGGAACAAGGGAAAGACAAGGAAAACGAGAAAGAGAAAGAGAAGGCGGGAAGAAGAAGAAGCGTAACCCTCGGCGCTACACGTCGGAGATCGCTCTTCTTCTCCAACTCGCCGCCGATGCCGGACTTGCCCCAGTCTCCCAAGTTCGCGCCGCCTTCTAACTCCTCCGAGAAGGACCGGATGATGCTCGCTTCCGATCTCGGGCCGCTTCCGGCGAGACAGGCACCGGTCCAACATGTGCAGGAAACGCAGCAGCCTTCGAAGCCTGAAGTCCCACCGGCTGTAGGAGAAAGACCGCCCAAACAGCGAACAAGAACCCAGTCTGACAAGCCCCTCCGCAGGCCAAAGAGCATAGTCGGATTTGCCAATTTGCTTTCCCGTTCTGGTCCAACTTCGCCCGACGGGATGGTGCCTCTCCCTGCTTCTGTTTCTGCCTCTGCGCGAGTGGGGAAGATTGCGAAAGATCTCGAGGAGAAGGAGCAGAAGGAGGGGAAAGATGGAAAGGAAAAGAAGTTAAAGAGACCGAAGAGTCTAATGGGCTTGGGAAGGCACTGGATCGCTCCTCTCAAGGGGGAAGTGCCGCCTGTTCCTCCAGTTCCTCCTGTCCCGGCTCTTCCTCCCGGGGTTGTCGTTGCTGCTTCAGTCCCGGTGCCAAGTGGGAGCCGGTCAGCTCCTGCCGATACATCTTCAGCATCTACATCCACATCGGTTTCGGCTTCAGCCTCCGTATCGGCCTCAGCAAAGAAATCCCGCCGGAAATCCTTCTACAACCTCCCCTCCCTCTCTCTCTCGCACCATCTTTCTCGTGCTTCAGAACCGGCGAAAGAACTTCCAGGGGTGAAGATCGATGGCGTACCCCGGGCTAGGAGGAAGAGCGGCGATGTCGCGCTTGGTTCTTCTGCTGGATTTGGACCTGGACCTGGGGTTAGGGATCTTGGTGTCGAGAAGGAGAAAGCAGGAAAGAAACTCAGGAGACCGAAGAGTCTTGCCGGGCTGACAGCGCTCGTACTTCCCTCCCGGCAGGTGCCCGATCTGCCCAAACTGCCTCAGTATACTTCTGCTGGTGGGTCAGATCGACAGAGCATGAAGAGTGTAACGCCCGAGGCGGGTACCCCTGTTTCTCTGAAACGGCTCGAAACCCTTCAACGTCCGGAGACGGCTTCCACCACTTCTTCATCCCGTACTGCGGGAGCCTCCATCACCTCTGTACGGGCGCAGACCGCATCCACCACGTCCAGCAAGCCCGGGACAACGTCCACCATATCCGTTTCCCTCCTTCGTCCACTACGATCCAGTACGAGCTCTGAAGGCCGACAGCCTATGACTCCCGAACGAGGCCCAATTCTGACAGATCCGGTTGTCCGTCCTGCCTCAGCTATGAGCGAGCGATCCCCTCCACCTTCTTACTCTGAACCGCGTGTGAGGACTCTCTCGCTTGGCGCTACCAGGCGGATATCAGCGATCTTCCCGTTCTCTAACGCCAGCTCTGGCCTCAACCATGAGCAGCCTATCACCCGCGCGCCTGTCGCTCTCTCGTCCATCCCCTCCCTCCCGTCTCTCCCTCACATCCCCATCTCCGACTCGATGAGCACGCTCAAAACACCCGTGACGCCTTACTTCCCCTCCACCTCCAATCTGGCAGACAACCTAGGGATCATAACCTCCACCCCACTCTCCCTCTCCTCCGAGTCTTCCCCCGGGACTTTCTCTGAACACACCTCCCCCAGCCTGACAAGCGATAGCGTAACAGACGAAGCGGACGCGGATGCCGACGGAAGCACAGACCCCGAGCTGGAGCTGGAGATGCACACCCCGGTGGACGAGATCGTCGACACGAGCGCATGCGAGACCGAGTACGATTCTGCCAAAGAGGACTTGGACGACGACGCGGTCGCTAGCCCCAGCGTGCCTAACCTCAAACTTGGGGAAAGCCCTTTCCAGGGACTGGGGATCGATTTGAGGTCGTTTTAGCCGAGCGGCAGTAACGAGAACGCCCATGCGGAACGCGGGTCATATGACGAGGAATATATTCATTCTCACGGAGGGGGGTTTTACCGTGCTTGCAAGGACTTTGCACGAAACAGGACTCTGATGATCTTAACAAGAACATTTCACGGACATTCTATTAATCCTTCATCATCTCACATCCACATTTTTCATTTCCTTGCGTTTGTTCCTCCTCCCGTCCTTTATACTGGATGGATGGAGGTGTAATGTCCATGGATTGGTGTGGTACTGAGGAGGACTCAGGAGGGCCTGGGGATGGCAGAACTGCCTTTGTAGTAAATAGTGACCCGCAACATAGAGGTGTATTGTTAGGAATGACATGCAACCTTGATCATGCAACACAAATTGCAATATCGCAGACGTGTTCGGATTCCCTGCATGAGGTTGGGAATTCTGCGTTTGCGACATGTCATTCATTCAGTAAGCTCGAAAAAATAGTACAGCACTTCGTTTTCGTTGTCTTGGCCCGTTCGAAGACGTCGCAAGGCGCATCAGTTACCCCGTTTGATCCAAAGCTCACCACCATCAGGTACCTGTCCGTCTAACGGCATATTCAGATCTAGGCTCGCAGTACTCTCTTGCCCATCTGGATCTGCCACTGGCACTACTAGGCTCAGAATGCGCTGCAGAAAGCTCAGCGGAAAGGTCATGATCAGACGATGCGGCTTACTGTAAGATCTGGCGACCCGGGCTCATGTGGCAGTTTGAACCGTGTTGCTAGAACGTCGAGCGCTCTTCCGGCCACCAGTGTCTAGAGAAGCACTGAATGGATGGCATCAAAAGAGCCGGGTGGGCTGCACCTTGCGGAACCACAGTACTTCTTCCTTGGAATTCTGCTCGAGTATTCTCAGCTTCAAATGAAGGCGATCTCCCACAGCAATACTAGATTTTGCGTCTTTCTCATCCAAAGGCTTTGCAGAATGCCTCATCTTCATGAGTTGGACTGCCAGGTATTGCTTCAGTTTAGCAGGGTCTGTTGGTGGCTTTCGACTGGGCACCGGTTTCTGGGCAGCCGACGAAGCAGTTGAGGGAAAGTTCTTAGCAAGCAGTTTCTGCGCACGCGATGGCGCAGCTGGGGCGCTTTGAGAGCTTGATGAGCAAGCATGAGATGGCGGGGCCCGATGACTGATCCAGAGGGGTTGGCATAACGGATAACGTGCAGCATCGTGTGACGCACGTTACACAAAATGCGCCCTTGCATGCCTGGCATTTTACCAGTGCATCCTCGCCTTCAGCATAGATGTTGCCTAGCATGGCTTTCTCAGAGCAGCCAGAAAGATCGCATCGCCTTGCAGCGACGTATTGAGATGTCGTAGATACAAAAGCTGTTGCCAGTGATATGCAACCATGCTCATGTGGAAGCGCATGATCCCTGCAGAATGATTGATGACATCCAGGACATGGTATGGGTAGAAAATCATGAAGACGACAAGTAGAGTATGAGCATGGTGTGCCTGCCCCGTCCATTGATGAGGTTAGCTCGACGTCGACGTGTAAGGCGACGAAGACAGCGATCTTTGGGTGTGAGCTCATCGCTTCTAATGTTTGAGTCCGCTGTGAGGCGTCAGCGGGACCCTACCATCAACGTGAACGAACCTGCATTCATCATCGTCTCTCCACGCATACATCGGGCATCCTACACCATGGCTTCCCGACCGCCAGATATGGGAGACTCTCCAGGCGAGACGCGCCCATCTTCTCCGGCGGAGAGTGACGATGAGACGTTCTCGAGGCTGGAGCAGGACCCGACGATGACGGTCAGGAATCAAGCGCCCTACCGTTTCAATTGGGCCAAGGCTGGACGAACGAGCATGTCTGAGGCGACGGAGAGTCGTGTTGATTTGAATGAAGGGCATGTTGGACTGGGTACCTTGATGCAAGCGATGGGATCTACCCTGAATCTATCTGCTTTTCCGGCAGAATGGAGCTCGAGCAGGACGGGATTCAATGGTATGCCTGTACCCTACCTGTCTATGCACGTGGATCACAAACGTTGCTGCAGCGATATCTACCGTACTCAACAATCCACATCATAAGCCGGCACCATTGCGTCCGTCACGAGTTCCGTTACCTTCAGTGCCTCCAGCAGATCTTCCGCGTGTACGACGCAAGGACTTCGATGCGTACTTGAAGAGTGTCTCTCCCGAATGGGCAAAGTTCGAGAAGACACTTCGGGAAAGAAGAGTCAATCCGTCTAGCTCGGGCCACATAACACCAATGGGTTTTGGTACGAGCAGCCCGGGGCCATCAAGTTCCACATCCTCGCTTCCGCCGCTCAGTTTAGTCCCTCCCGTCTACTTCGATCCAGAGTTCAACATCGGTAACCCGCGAACGTTTGCCGCAGTCACTGAGCAAGAGAACGAGATGTCGCGCTCTGTCGTGCTGGGTGAAGAAGACATTGCCATGAGTACAGCGGCGCAGGAGAAACTTTCTCAGTATATGGATGTCGTTGAGCAGCACCTCGTGCAGGAAATCGCCCAAAGATCCACGTCCTTCTTCGCGGCACTTACCAACCTGCAAGATCTTCAGACTGAGGGACAACAATGCTTAACACGAATATCCAAGCTGCGGGCGGAGCTGAAAGAGGTTGACGATAAACAGGCGATTAAGGGCTTGGAGGCCGTTCGGCTCCAGGTGAAAAGAGACAACATCGGGCAGGTAATGGCAGCCGTCAAATCCATTCGTGAAGTTGGGGAGACAGTGGGCATGGCGAAGCATCTCATTGGAGGAGGTGAATACTTCGAGGCGCTGGGTCTCATCGAGGATGTTGAAGAGTCTTTGGCACCCGCCCCCTGGCGGGTCCCAGAAACACCATTTCCCTTCACACCGCTTCCGAACGGATCGACCGACATGTCTACCCCGGTTTCTCCGATCACACCTGTAACTCCAAAATTACGAATCCCAAAACAGCGCTCGCCGGCTTTTGATTTGGCCGCACTGAAGGCGCTATCTTCCTTACCAGAGCACCTGCGCGAACTCTCATTTGCAATCAGCAATTCTCTTGAAACGGATCTGGTTGGGGTGTTGCGCGCTGATCTTAGCACACGAATACGACTCAGCGCTCCTGAAGATGTCGCATCGGAGAATGACCCTGTCTTCAGCATCCAGGAAGCAACCGAGCTTCGAGATCGACTCATACCCATGCTGCAGGGCCTGCTACGTGTGAAAGGTGTTGCTTTAGCGATGAAGTCATATCGGGAAGCCGCATTAGCGGAGGTAAAGACGACGGTCAAAATGGTGCGCTTGAACATTCCCTGTCGGCAAGGGTATCTGCTGACGGATATATAGCATCTACCCTCGTCGGACGGAGAGGAAGACGACCCATCTGGGAAGCCCCAAGCACCCAAGCCGTTAGCAGAGCGGAAGTGAGCATTGTCCATGTTCTGGCCGTTCTAGTCTGATTGCACCTACAGTGCTGCTCTGGCGAAAGAGCTGCGAGAGCTGCCACTGCAGGATTATCTGGATCTGTCTAAGCGTCTATATGACAGTCTCATCCGGTGCATCAAAGCTGCTAATTTGCATACGGAGCTTGTCTGGAGCATCATACAACCTATGTTGTGGGTGTCCTACACTTGATAGCCAGACACTTAGTTCACTAATGAACGCAGACCTCCTACTGGGCAGACAAACTCAAACACGAAAATCCCCACCCTCTCAGATCTCGGTGTCGACCACCTGTTGAGCGATCTGTCTGACATAGTGGTCGCGGTAGCGGAAGCGACCAATTCCAGAGTGTCTCGAATTGTAGCTCTACGACAGGAACAACATTCCGCACTGGACTTGAAGGATTTCATGCCGGTCTTCAATGTCTCTTGGGATTTCGTGATCAAGTGCGAGACACTCAGTCAAAGGATGATTCCCAGTCTAAGAGGCACCATGATCTCCCAGGTATGCGAACAGTGGGTTGGACATGAGCTGGTGCTTACCGTGTTGTCTCCAGAGTAAAGCTTTCCTGCTGTCCTTCCATGCTTCGCGCCTTACTCAGTCTGCCACTCTGGTGGAGAACGAGCAGTGGGTTCAGGTGGAAGTATCCGCCGCATCACAACATATCGTTCAGATTATCGTGGACTGCGCAATCAGCGACCCTCCAGAGCTCACCCAAGCAGCAGGTGCAACCACAAACGGTACAATAAGTGGCAAACCGACGAAGCACATCCGCGTGGAAGACAATGCGTACTATGTTGTATCCGCGACTCTGGACGTCTTGAAGCTAGTCCTTGACTACTTACGGGTCATGATCGCAATGTCCATGCTGACTCCGGACGTTATGTACCGTATCATCGAGTTCCTGAAGGTATGATTCTCCCATCATTGCGGGACAATTGGGTCTCACTGCACTCATAGGCATTCAATTCTCGCACTTGCCAAGTCGTTCTGGGTGCTGGTGCGATGAGATCTGCAGGTTTGAAGAACATCACGGCGAAGCATCTCGCCCTTGCTTCACAATCTCTCTCTATTATAATATCTCTTATTTCGTATGTCCGCGAGGCCTTTCGACGACATCTCAGCCCTACACAAGCGGTCATGCTAACAGAATTTGACAAGTTAAAGAGGGTATGCTCCTCATCGTCCGTCTTTATTGCGGCGACATGTTGATTCGGCACCTTAGGACTACCAAGAGCACCAAAACGAGATTCATGCCAAACTCGTTGCCATCATGGGCGACCGGCTTGCAATCCACGTCAAGTCCCTTCTGGTTAGATTTTGCCCATTTTCTTCAAGGGCAGTAGCTGATTTGTTGCAGGACATGCAGTTGGATGCGCCGAAGAACGACCACGGAGCGAGCCCTTACATGGAAATGATTGTAAAGGAAACCGTCACTTTGCACAAGGTCCTATCCCGTTATCTCTCTGCCGCAGTCGTTGAGGTAACTTTGCTTGCATGTCTGCAATTCTGGATGTGAATGCTCAGATTTGCATATAGTATGTGATGGAACAAGTGCTGGGAACGACGAATACCCGCTTGGGGGAGGAATACGGAAAAATCGAACTACCTAGCAAGGACGCTAAAGCAAGGTATTTCCAGAAGTCGCTATCACGCCCGCCGTATCTAACTGCTGGGCTAGACTTCTGCAGGATGCACGCTATTTCGGTGACAAGCTCGGGTCACTTCGCGGTGTGAACATGCCCTCGCCTGGGATGCTAGAGCATGTGCTAACAGAGCGGTCCGCTGCGGGAGAGACTCCCTCTTCGCCTCCGCCGATAATGCCAAGGAAATCTCCCTTCGTTGGTCGGCGTGCGTTCAGTGCTCTTCTGCACCGTGCTACTGTTGAGAAGAAGGATGATGCTTCACCGTCTAACTCACCTCTACCGGAGAAGCACGTCGACGGCAGAAGAGATGAAGCAATGTCTCCGGTACCCGAGAAAGAAGGTCCAGCTGCCATGGGGTCGGTCGTTGCTGATTCCGAGGATGTAACCCCCGCTGCGGATGATCGTGTCGTCGACCTTCAAAGTCCGGCACCGTCCGGTAGAGACCGAACGATGCCGAGCTCATCACATGTCGATCATGTCGCTGAAAATGGCCAGCCCACAGAACACCAAGAAACATTACCGGAGAACGGTGAACTTGAGAACGTATCCAAGAGCGCGGCTTTGCCGGAGACCCCTGAAGTACCCCCGGATGTTGCCGATAAACGCTTGAACAAGGAAATACCCCCTTTACCTCAAAATTCCCAGGACGACGCAGACCATGAGGCGCCCGAGAACTCCTTGTCCGGTTTACCTCCATTACCGCTCTCCCCTACGGACGAAGCGCAAAACCCCCTACTGACAGACGGTGTTGCCGATGTCGTGCGATCTCTCGATACTGTGGCGGAAACAATGCCGTCGAGCGAGCCTCCTCGAGAGGAGGTGATCGCAGCCGGTTGAGCGAGGGCGATGAGTACGGATACCCCCGGCATAAGCGGTCTGCACACGACTAGCGCCCGCATGTGGCGGGCGCAATAGATGCACACTTTATTCTTTCAGGATGCATTGTACGCATAGGATGTCATTGCATGATTGTAGCATTAGCATGTATATTCCTTTCGATACCGCCGACTTGTGGCCGATCTCTAATCTTGTGGATTCTCTTGATGTGGGGTGACCGGTTTCTCCGGCAAGACTTAGTTATAGATGCATTCTTTTTTCTTTTCGAATTCAGCATTGCCATTGAACTCCGCTATCAGAGCTCGGTGAGGGATGCGGTGTGTACAGGAAGGTATATAACCTGCTGATTGACCAGAACAAGTGGGATCAATGATGACAATCGAATCCGCGCCGCCGAATAAAGGCGGGGATCGGCGGAAGCAGATGGTGCGAGCGAGTCCCGTGATACGGGCTTCCGGTGTGGCGAGTACCTCCTTGGCGTGTTTGAGGCATGCGTGGTCACCATCTGGCGCGTCGAGCGCGTCATGGAGCGTAATGTAAAGTTTTCCGCCGGTTTCTGCTTCCGCGTCCCCTCTCTTTAATAGTCTTTAATTCGGCTGGCTGACTCGGTCGCACGTTTCGGCCCAGAGCACTGCACGTTTCTCAAATAAAACACTTCTTATACCTTTAGACCGCGTTGTGTTTATTTATCGCAACACTCATGTTCACCCACTTCCTTCATCGCTGAAACCAGCACCTGCCATCATTGCAGCAAGGCAACTGGTCAAACCAGCATCGGACATCGCATAACCAAACTCCGGTTGCGTACCGACCAAACACACAAAGGCCAAACACACCCCAACACACAAAAGAGAACCGCACAAGACAACGTTTTGCTTCCGTTCAATCACGACAATCTTCTCTGAGCAGTCACCACCTTAGCGCCACCTGGGCGGGGCGAAGGCCTGCAACTTCACCGACTGGGTCCTATAAGACCTTCCTTCCGTTCCACCCTCCGCTTGCTCTCTTTCCTCGTCGTCCTCGTCGTCTCTCTCTCTCTGGTCCGCTCTATCATCGACATCCGGTATTCGTACTCCCTCTTCATGTTCCAAGAGGTCTGCTTTATATGCGGAAAGCCCACCGACGATGGAAGGTGAGCACTGACTCCACATTCACTCTGCGCATATACTGACTTGGCCTTCAGCCTGTATTGCAGCGATGAATGCAAATTTCAAGACTATGTCCCTCCCACCAGTGGCTCTCGGTCCTCTCGCTCGACCTCTGCACACGACATCCACCCAATAACGGACGTACCTGCGCTGTCTCCATATGCGCAGCCAACCGATCCGGATTCTGATGTTCCCGAGCATTACCTCGGCGAGTCGGCACTGCAAATCACCCCTTCCACCTCACCGACCTCCTCGTTATACACGGATGACGAGGACGAGGAAGATTTGATGGAACGACAACCTGACGCCCGCGTACTGGCCAAGAGTCTTCCCCATGACATGCAGAACTTCGACCGCCAAGCCACTGTCGTTGGATTCCAGTCATATCAGGTGATCCTGAGCAACTACCAGCGCCCTCCACCAAGGCCTAAGCACCCCAACCTCTCGGTGCCCGTTGCGAGTCAGACTCCCGTCAATCTACGTTTCCACCGGATACCCGCAAGGACCAACGGATTCCATTCACCACCCCTCCGCCCACACACGCGGGGGAAGGAACAGCGATCGGTCTCCGATCGCCTCGTGCGATCATCTCAATCTTCGCCGTCTCGTCGTCACTCGTTTCCTACGCTGGCAAATCTGGGGCTCAATCTGCCATCGCCACAGCCTTCGCCACAGCTCCGGCCCACAAAGCCCTCGCGTCCGAAGCATAGCCTCGTCTCTCGCCACTCGACATCCTCTTGTCAACAGCGCCCAAAACTTGAGATGACTGTGAAGCGTGTGGATACCACTCAGCACAGCTCGCCAGAGACGCCCAAGGTTGTGCAACAGCCGCGTCAAACGGAAGCGCAAGCATTTGCGGCGATGGCTCGCGCCCGCGGATCATCCGGCTCACGAACCCGCCTCGACGATGATATTCTTACTACACCAACGCAGCCACGGGATGACGATCGTGGGAGATCTCGGACACGCCAGCCACCCAGTGCTTCTCGGTCCAGATCTCGTTCGGCGTCAAGGTCGAAGTCGCACCTTGGCGGGTTTACACCTGCTTATGATGCGAATGCGGCTGAAGACCGCCAGGGACGGCGATCGACTCGTGGACTATTATTACCTGCCTTCGGAATCGGTGCGCTCACACGGAGCAAGGATCCGTCGGCGGAGAGAGAGGAGTTTAGAGGAAGGAAGGGCAGGGTGTTTTGACAATATCGGACTGAAACACGTTATACCCTGCCTGGACGACATCGCATGAAACCCGCAGCCTTTCTTTCCTCTTCTGATAACTGGCACCAAATCATTATGATTCCCTTTCAATGGACGACGACACAACAATGACCGAAAACCCAAGCAAGAAATTCAAGCAATCGAAAACTCCGAGCATCAACTGCCTTATCATTTTGTAATCTTTCTGCATCTTCAACGACTTGCACCCCACTCTCCTTCTTTCAAGTTTCCTCAAGCCCAAAAGTGTATCGTGCTGGCTTTTCCCCACGAACGCACCCAAAAGGAGCGCTTGGCCTCGTTCCGCCCATTCACTCCACTCCTATGAATCGTCACTCCGTGCAAGGTCACTTTCCAGTACTTTCGTACCGCAGAGCGGGAACCAGTCGAGTATTATTATTATCTATCCTTGCGTTCACGTATTACCCAAGGACTTGTAGCCTCGCTCCCTTGTCTCGTTTCACGATCCATGAACTTATTCGCATTTGACTCTGAACCACCGCTTCCATTCACTTGTGCTCCTCCCATTTTGTAGATAGCATTAGGTCAGGCTGCAAAGAGCAACAGAAATAAGAGATAAGAACTGAGAACAATGTGTACATATATATTGTGTGATTAGTTATCGGTGTGATACGCCAGTAATGATACGCCAGTAATGATACGCCAGTAACAGGGGTCTGGAGGTAATTCCTCCGATGACCCCTTTCGGGCGCATTTTGCCTACCATGACCCCTCGGGCGCAAATCCCTGAAATGACCCCAAATACCGCCCCTAAGTAACCAAATAAGGAAAGCAGTGGCTGTGGCAATAGAAGCACGTGTCTCCGGTGAATCCAACGATGCGTTTTGTGAATGTTTTGCTATCAGAACAGACCTTTTTCAAAAGACAAGCTGGTTGGCATTGTGTATGGTATCTATTATTTTCAAGAACTGCTGCAAAATTCATTGCCTTGCCGTAAAAGTGCGGTGTTTCCTCACCTATGTTTACGATGGTGAAAATCGGTGAATTATTATACGAGGCATCAATGCAGAATTAATTTATATACTGTAACATAACTAATGAAAAAACAAGACAAAGCTTGCGAATTAATTTTCGGAATATGCTTTATAAACCGACATGAAGAGACCGGACCCTAGCGCATCTTGAACTGCTACCACCTCTTTTATCAATTGGAAGGTCCGTGGTTGCTTAGGGCAGGCCTTGGGGTCATTTCAGGGATTTGCACCCGAGGGGTCATGGTAGGCAAAATGCGCCCGAAAGGGGTCATCGGAGGAATTACCTCCAGGGGCCTGTAATGCATGGTATCACGTGTAGAAGACCAATGAGACGGAGGCTGACTTGACCTCACATTGATCGCCTGAATAGGGAGGGCCTACTGGTCGTCATACTGCCGCTCGACTGCACCGCGGGCAACGTCCTCGACCGTCTTGACCACCACCTTAACCGCCGTCTGGACCTTACTTTACCCTCTTTCCTCACCGCCGCGCATGGGCGCAATCTGAAGGAGCGAACCGCAACAACCATAGATCCCGAGAGCATTGCGCGGTCCTCCCTGGACCGTGATCTACCCTTGGTTATCTACACCCAGAGCCCTGCGACTGGCCCAGGCGTTCCGACAGCACACCCATCCCCCAGCGCCGGCTACGACGACTCCTCTCAGCGCCCAAGTGGCCTGGAGCTCCGCCTCGCCGGCTCACCCATCATCCCCGTCCCCTATCCCCCTATTGCCAACGTGACCCTCCGAAGTACATCGTCGTCGCGCGTGCGACCGCGCGCTTCGTCGCCTTCGGACCCCCCGGACAGCCAGGACTCTCTCTCTCGCAAGCGCGCACGCTTGTCGAAGAGCCCCCTTCTGCGCACCGACAGCCTACCACCACACACGATGTCGGATAGACGCGGACGAAGCTCCCGCTCTCCGCTCTCTGCCGACATACACGTAATCACTATGCAACCACCTGAGCCGGAAACTTCGTCTCTAATGAGCATGGACATCATTCCGGACTTTCTCCAAAGGCCAATCGTACGCCCAGCATCATCTCAGTCATCATTCGATAATGAACCCGTGGCTGGCCCGTCTAATGGTCATTACATCGCTAATGGTCATACTGAGACGAATGGTTTCAGGGTCAGTATCCGAAGAGTCGAGCCCCCGGGGAGAGGGATGTATGCAGGTTCTTCGGTAGACAGGGAGGAGTTCGTACGATTGGTTTTGCAAGGATTGCGGGACGTGGGTTACGTGTATGCGCTATTCCGTTCGTTCCGCTTCTTTCCGCTCATGCCGTGTGTAGTGAAGCTGCAGCGACATTGGAGGCGGAGTCGGGGTACACGTTGGAATCGTCTTCTGTGGCCGATTTCCGTGAATGTGTCCTCAATGGCCAGTGGGGTCGCGTTGAGTCATCGTTGACCAGTTTGGGAGTCGTAATGGAGGAGGATCTGCGCGTGAGCCCTGCCGTCCGATAATCAGGCTGACCGGTGACTCACAACTTGACAGTATGTGAGATTCCTCGTTTGCGAGCAGAAATTCCTCGAGTATCTCGAGAATCGTCAGCTCGATGTTGCATTGGAGGTGTTACGAGAAGAGATAACCCCGCTACAGCAAGAGCCACAGCGAACTTACGCATTATCAGGGTGAGCACCTTCCTTGTTTTTTCTCTTTCGTATTTTCTGATCTGCATAATTTCCAGTCTTATGATGTGTGATCCCAAGGACTTGCATACACGAGCACAGTGGGATGGTGCGGCTGGTCGGTCTCGGGAAGTATTACTTAATAGGCTACAACGTTCGTCGCTCAAATAATCTCGCCGCTCTTTGGGCTCGATTTGACCACATGACAGGCTATATTCCCTCGTCCATAATGATCCCTCCACGGCGGTTAGAAACTCTTCTCAATCAGGCACGGCAACTTCAATCAAACGCATGCATCTATCATACTTCAACTCGACCATTTTCGCTATACATTGATCATCAGTGTGACCGGACCGAATTCCCCCTGCATACCACTATGATCCTCGCGGACCACCAGGACGAAATTTGGCATTTAGCATGGAGCAATGATGGAACCCGACTAGCCACTGCGAGTCGGGATCAGTCAGTTATCATTTGGCGAATAGGAGTAAGTGTTTACCATCCCGCGGATCACGCTCTATTTATAAACGTCGCCGCTGACTGCTTTCTGTATCCAGGCTGATCCGAACGATTGTGCCCTGGAGCAGAGATTACGAGAACACGCGAACGCCGTCAGCTTCGTGGCCTGGTCACCAGACAACAACGTGTTACTCACCGCCGCTGAGGCGACGATCAAGATGTGGAATCCCAAGGTACTGTCTGGATATCATCTTACTCTTGTTCCATACATCTTTTCACACGTTCGTGCAGACCGGACTGTGCATCAAGAGTATCCTCGGACATGAGGATACCGTTTGCAGCCTCGTTTGGCGACGAGACGGATCTGGATTTATATCTGGTGGAATGGACCAGAAGATACTCTTTTGGGTGAGCACACGTGTCATGGGCCGCAGAGGTACTGGTCTGACCCATCTTTCTAGGACAAGGACGGGAAGCAACTAGATAGTTTGGAACAAATACCGATACGCATGTCTTCCGTAGCGATTTCGCCAGATGAGCGATGGCTCGTCGTGGCTGGCATGCTTGCGAATCCGACAAAGACACTTGTACGAGCAGAGTCTTCGCCATCGTCGCGGTCGCAGTCCCAATCGCCGAGAAACGGGAACGGCGCACAGAATCCGGCCCTGACGGGGAAGCAGACTCGCTTCACGGTTTATGACCTTCGAACAAAGGAGGAACATGCGTAAGCCCTTATTTGTGCCTAGCCCCGCCGTCGATCCTCATCTATGCTTCCACCGTAGTTCCATCGACATGACCGGGGAAATTACCAGTGTTACGATCTCGTCGGATTCAAATTTTGGCCTTATAAACCACTCCCCGGATGTAAGTGCCGGGCATCACCGCTTATGGTTGTGGAGGAGTCTAATTATTCTGCCTGTTGCCATCTGTAGGGTGTCATGTTATGGAGTCTTGAGGAACCGAAGCTCGTTCGCAAGTATGCAGGACAGAAGCAGACCAAACATGTTATCCGAAGTTGCTTCGGCGGACCCGGAGAGAATTTTGTGCTGAGTGGTAGCGAAGGTTGGCGCATACTCCGACGAACTACAATCAATTCTGACACCGGGAATAGATACCAATGTGTACGTTTGGCATAAGGAGTCTGGTACCCCTTTGGAAATCCTCCAAGGACACGGACAAGGAAGCGTGAATGCTGTAGCGTGGAACCCCTGCCAAGAGGCCATGTTTGCGACTTGTTCGGACGACCACACCGTGCGCATATGGGGCAAAGATCCACCCGGCTTCATAACATCCATAACTGAGTCGACTACGGAGGATATCCCACCGCAGGTCAGTACCCTGTCACGGGACCCTCCGACCCTACGCTGGGATGATGCGAGGGAGATGTTTTTATAATCTGTATTTTGCCTGTTTCATTTGAGTTTATTTCCGTCACCCGTCATCCGTCACTCGTTGCATTGTTCACCATCATTTCTTCCCTCTTTCTTTCGCCTTTTACCGTGTCACATTATCTGCATGCTCCACTATTCCTCGCAATGTCCACAACAATTCTGCCAGCATCATTCTTGTCATCGATAGAACGAATAGGAAGCACTGTGCCATTTAAACGCCTTATATGTATAAAGGATCAGAGGAAGTCAGTATCCCAGATCGGGTTGCGGGCTCCCCTTCCAGCCACTTCCGCACTTCCGCGGAGCGTGTAAAAGAGCAAGGAGCGCGGGGTCCTTCCTTTGTAGCCGACGGGGATTAGCGAGCGAGTCTATTTTACAAATAGACAAAGGACCCATGCCACCCATAATTGCGCGGCTGAAAACCCGGCCAATTCGCCAGATTGACCAGAAGTCGGTCGGTCGGCGGTGATCGGCCACCGCAACCATACGCAGCGTATCTGGAGAGCCTGAGACGACCCAGGGGAGACAGGTTGCGCCTGCTACATCGGGTCCATTCGCAAACTCTGGCCACTTCACGACTCCACGATTCGTGTATGCCGGTTATTTGCAGAAGCATAGAAGCTGCTGGACAGGTGACTCCTCCTCCGCTAGCGTATGCATTGTCGGGCCCCGTACGGGAAAGGAGAGGGATCAGTGGTGCTTTCTTTTTCTGCCACCTCCTTCGTGGCCATTATCCGCGTTGAACACGGAGAGACACCACAAGGGGCCCGAAACTCCGAATTCTCCCAGGGTCTGAGATCTCTAGCATCTATGCATAGGTCGGAAAACCAATGCCCGGGCAGTGGTTGGGGTACTGCTGTGTGTTGTTGCACTATATTGATGAGGTTGTTGATGATTAACGCGCGGTCTAGTTCAGGGTGCGGAATAAACTTCCTTATAATTACCGGCGAAGTTCCGCCTTCTGCCCGATAACCAGGGACGGAAAGTCGGAAGGTGCAGGATGAGGTGAAGTGAAGGAAGGAGTAGGAGAAGGGGGGCTGAACAAGGTTGGACCGGCTGACACGGCGGGTTGGTGAACCGGGGACAGGCAGCACATGCCGCGTTTACGAGAGGTGCGAGGGAGGACTGCATGAACAAGAATATGCAAGGTCGTGATGTTACGGCAGCACCTGGTTGTGGGGTGAAGGGAAGTGGTTTTGCCCATCGTGGGGTAAACCGGCGGTAGGGCCAGGGGTCATTCCTGTACCAGGCAGGATGTGACTGAGTGCCCCTGGACATCTGCGCGGGGGATGTGCCTGTCCAGAACGATTTCCCATGCCAGACTGGCTGGCAGATATCTGTTTCGGTGGAAGTAGACGAAGGAGGATGTGAAGCGGGATATTTTCGTGAGTAGAATGCGAAAATGCCCATGTTGAGGGGTCCCGCGCCGCGCAGAAGGTAAAGAAGAATGTTCTAGCCGGATGAATATTTGATTGCTTCTGTAAATAAGGGAAGGTTGTCGAGATCCGCAGGCAGATGCGGTAGGAAGAATGGATGAGGATGCGGTTGCCCTGCGCGACGGGGAACGTCGAACGCCAGCTCATTGTTAGGATGTGTTGAACTGGGGAACAAAGGAGACAGGATGGATAGGCCACGGGATAGGGAGCATGCGGCGGAAGGGTGCTGTTGGCTTCGGCCGGGATGAAATCGGAATGGATGATGGAGAGGAGGAGACACCGCCGGGAGATTTGTACTAATACCGATAATGCCGCATATGCCGCGGAGCTTCTTGTTCTAAAGTTTCACGTCCGAGACCTGGCAGAATAGTTTAGCAGTCAGGGACCCACAATACATCGATGACGTAGATTGCGGTCATACAATGGGTGATGCATTGTCATTGATGATGCGCAACCTTGCTCACTATGAAACGAGGCTCCAATGGATAATAAGACAGTTCAAAGTATATAAAGACGACGTTGCAATTGTATTTGTAATTTTCTTTTCTCTTTTCCCCCACCATCCGCATAGTAACAAGACGCTGACAATGGCCAATCAATCCCAAAATGACCAGGCACAGGCTCCTGCCGATCATCTAATAGGTATGTCCATGTGCAATTTCGCGGTATCAATCACCCACCCCGCCTTCCCCCCGTCTCGGGTATCCCTGGTGACTAACATCTCCCGGTCCGCCTCTTGTTTTCTACCTCGACTCTTTCAATTCTCTTCTCTTCCTCTTGCACACCATCGATCGCTTCCTCCATTATTGCCAACTACGTGAACTCGATTTGTCGATGCGACCTTCACAACATCTTCTGTGTACCTGAACGCTTCCTCCACCGTCATAGACCGCACTGGCAAGGACAGGAAGCGCAATGAGCCTTCGGATGGCATGACGGCTGGTGAATCACGCCCACAGGTCGCCAAGGACGGTGGAGATGCTGAGACCGAGCAACCCCCGCCTCCTGGCGAGGTTTACCCTCCACAGCTGCACGCCGGCAAGGTCGGGCTAGGTCCAATGTATCATCAAGGACCCGTACGTCTCTTATCCCCCTACTACGCTTCTTAGTTTTCTGCACCCTGCAATTGTCCGCGCGATCATGGAGCATACTCATATATGTCTTCTGCTCCGGGTAGGACCTCGCGGATCGTATAGGCGGATTCCAGGAAGAGCTGAGGGGAAAGATTACGCATAACGCCGAACGAGTCCAGGTAAGCAACAGGGGTCTTCGCGGTGAACCGCTATATTCGGCCGACTTCGCTCACACGACCGTGTGGGCGTCTAGCATGGACACGACAGGATGACAGGCGAGTTGAAGCGTAAGGAACAGGAAGAGTATGTAAGTCCAACTATCCACCCCCAACTTTAGAAGCAATATCTCACCCTCGTTTTGCCAGGATGCGTCAAACCCGTTCGAGACCACTGAAGAAACGAAGGGGAAGGAAAAAGCCGAGTGAGGTGGGATCCGTACTTCTGGATCGGTATAGTCGCGTATGGGTGTGCGCATGGGGGCACGGCTGGGAAAGGAAATGCATGGGGTGCGACTGTGGGAACGAGCAATGCAATGTGTGGAAGGCGGGGAATGCCTCAACGGAGTGTAGGACCTAGCAAATGTTGGAAGTCTCGGAAATTGGAGAGACATTTGTTCATCTTTGTTGCGTGATGGGCTGATGCGCCGTATAGGACCAATCGGCGCGCGCCTCACACCACATAATTGGGGGGCTGGCCCAGGCTTCCGCGAATATGCTGGATCTCAGCGCGGCAGGCCGAACAGAAGATTGAGATGGAAAGCTCCGTTGGTGACAGCGGACAATCATCGACATTCATCCCTGTTCGTGAAAGCACCGCGGGGATGATCTGACCACCCAAGCCGTGCGGCAGCCGAGCTCTCACCACTCCAACGGAGTCAGTCTGAGTAATTTCTATTTATTGTCATTGCTGCGCTGCGCCGACCTCCCGGGTCCCCCTCAGAATTTGTCATGCGGTCCAAAATCCAGCTCCGGTCTTATCTGATCACCATCACCATCTATCGCTATCGATCCGCGCGCAGGGTAAAATCTATTCAGTCGCGGAGCATCGCCTTTATTGCCCCGGATCGGGCCTTTGTCCGGCGCCTCGGTTGACCTCTTCACACGCTCCGAAGGATGGTCAGTCTGCGTCAATTGTATTGCTTAAACGGGTCACCACATGTACCGACCAGAAAGTATAAATTATTGCACCGTGCATGAGAACAATGGATATAATAAGTTAACTGAACGCACGATACAACTCTGGGCATAGGGGCATGATTGCGTGGGGGATGTATACAACCGGTCCACATGAATAGGTGGCACGATCGGACAGGTGCCCCGGTATCGAGGGCGATACCGGCGGGAGAAGGCATAACCCAGAGCCGCCCATGCCCTCGGGAGGCCAGCATGTCGCAGAATTTATTGCGGAACGAAGAACGCGGAATCAGTACGGGAGACAGAACGCGGTCCTCCCATCGCATTTTATCTGTCGTTGCCGATGCCGGATTTAGGAAGGGCGGGCCGTGACGGTGCGCCTGCGGCTGACGACCTTGTTCTCGACCCCGAGAAGAAAGAAGCGTTGATTCTTGATGATGAAGATGGCGCGTCGGCGGAGCTTGGTCGTGAAGCAGATGAAGAGGTGATCGTAGGATTGAATAGGGGTGTTACATTCGACCCGTGGGATAAACGCGAGAGGGTACTGCCTGAGGATGGCGATGATGGGCCTGGCCGTTTATAAACGGACGTGGGAGGCACCGAGTGACCGAATTGACGGTTGTTTGCCACGGCGGCACGCCGGGCTTTCTGCATAAGTGAATGACCGGCTGTCGGCCTTCCCCCCGCAGCTGAAGAAGGGGTTGCGTGAGAACGAACTGGGGAACAGGAATGGTACGATCGACGCACATGAAAATGCACGTCGTTTGGCCGGAGGGGCCTTTTCAATCACCTTGATCTGCTTCGCTTCCTTCTCGTGGGCGAGGGCCTTGTAGTTGTTCTTCATCTTCTCCTGCAGCAGAGCGAATTTGGCATCACGGGCTGACTCTGCCTCCTATAGAATGGAATGGGGACGGTCAGGGTCAGTGAGACCCACGAAAATTCAGGCAGATGGGGAATCTCACATCGTACACCTCGCGCCAGGAGCCGGGGAGATCGAATTGACCGCTGTCGACTGCTCGGCGAATCTCGATGAACTCGCTGGTGCAGAGGGCCTTCCATATTTCTGCGATCATCATCGCCATCGAGGGTGGGGATCAAGGGAAGGATCGAAAGGGAGACGGAAGAGAAAATTCCGAGTCAGATAGAACGAGCGGAGTTTCAGTGCCTTGTCTATTTTCTCGCGCCCATGCCGCGCGCTCACCTTCGTCTAGATCGATCAGATGCTAGAAGATGATCAGAAGCGCTCGTGGGCGGAGTCGACAAGGGGGGAGAAACAAATGTGCCGACCGTTTAGCGCGCGGGGCTTAGACGGGGTCCAACACATAGCTGGCAGAAGAAGGGAAGGGGAACGAGGGCGAAAAAGGGAGGGAGGGCTAGAGCTCACTCACCGGCGAGTTTTCCTCCACCCGATGAAGTTGCTGTGCATCCATCTGTGGAACGGACACGGAACGGACCGCGCCGAGCAAGAAATGATTAGACCATCGACCCCGGGGAGTTGGACGAAGAACGTGCGAGATGAGCGAACAAGGCGTGGGGAGATGCAGGAAACGGAGGGGGGATGCACGGGACTTACACGTATGAGGAACGGTTTGACCGTCTCGTATGACATCTGGCCGAAGCTTGTGACGCCTGTTGCGGGGACCCGATGAGAAATAACCCCCAAGGGTTGACCGGGAGGACAAGGCGGAGAGCGAGGTGGGGATTGAAGGAAGAAAAGGGATACCGGATCCGGATTAGGAAACAACGTTATCTTTACGTAGGGGAGAGGTCACGCACTAGGGAGATTGTTGTAAACGACTGGTGCCGCCCGGACATTGCCAGTTGTGAGCGCGACCCGGGAGGATAACAGAGCGAGCAGAGCGTACCGCGGATGCAGAGTTCTTTCAGGCTGGGCAGAATGGGGCGGGGCTGCTCTGGCCGCTCCGCTCCCATGTCCATACCTGTGGGCTGGACAGGAAAGGAAAGTACTGGCCGGGAGCGAGGACTGCCGGTTGAGGTTGGTGAAGTTTCGAATTCGCCCGGTTGCAAAAACAAGAAAGAAAGGGATGTTAAGGAATTAGAAAGAGGAAATTCGGGGGATCGGGCACAAGACCGGGTGATGAGCCGGATGACGAGAGGGGAGGGAGGGGGGGAATAGGAATTTAAGCTGGCGATGAGAAAAAAGGGATGTGTGATTATGGTATCAAGTGACAAGTTGTTGAGACTTACGAGAGACAATTGAAGTTGTTGAACGGAGAATGGATGCGATGAGATGGCGAAAAAATGAGACCAGGCGGAGGCAAGCTAGAGACGTGTGAATGTTGATATTGTTAGCGGTTTGTAACAGGGACAGACAAAATGGAGGCAGATTTATGTGGGGGGCAAATTGATGCCGTGATGAACGAATGAGGCGAGTGATGTTACAGAGTTAAAGGGGGGAAAAGATAAATTCAACTCCGACTTGAGGAATTCGGAAGCTAGAGCCGGAGTGACGGGACAGCGAGGCGGGGACAACACCCAGATTTGTAAGTGCAGGAAGCATCAGGAAGCATATGGCACAAGGGGGGGGGGAACAAATTATTTGAATTATATGTATATATTTATTTACTTCCGTTTCCTTTTGGCCATGGACGCCCTTTCCGGAGATGGCCGGTCAAAGCGAGTGAGCGTGATTCTCAGGGCGTATATAGCACTCTCCGAACTAGCACGAAGCCCTCAGTGCACACATTGCGCGTTCAGGGCAGATGCCGCCGGATGTGCGGATCATAGGGCATCCACCCCTCCTCTCCTTCCGACAGATCACCTCCAATACCCACTCAATACAATACCTAGGAATAACAGGATACAGCATTGAATTTCTAGTCACAGAATACAACCGGAGATGATGGAGATGCCAGACCTGCCCGGGGCCCGCGTGTCCTTTTTCCCGCAAACACCGCTTGAATCTAACAGCGCAACAGGAGCAGCACATGGAAACTGTGCGGGAGTTTTGTGGGATGTGGGGCCACGATCTATCATCACCATCCCATCCCATCCCATCGCACGCCCAGAACCCCCGAGCTGAGTTGTGAAATTCTGTGCTTCTCATCATCCAGCTTTCATCAACGAGAAGAGGGACCCCATGACACGGCACCCGCTGCCGGGGTGTACTTGTGTTGGCGACCGAGGGGGGAGTGGCATGGGCAGCGTGTGGGTAATTTGCGCTTGTCGCTTGTGCTTGCACAGAAGGGCCCTGTCTTCTTCTTTCTCTCCTGGTGTCCTCCGCCGTTGGGCGATGCTTTCGATTGCTTCTCGAGTGCGCAGATAGATGGCACGCCCCCTCGTCTTTCCCTTTCCAGAAACGGCAGGGAGGAACCGTGCTGACCCCTCGAGACGGTATACTCAGACTCAGCTTGCCGATTGGGCAGTCTGATGGAATGAGATGGAGATGGGCCGATGGGCGTGCCTTGCTCCCTTCTTTCCCTCGACCTTTCTCTCTCTCTCTCTCTCTCTCTCTCTCTCTCTCTCTCTCCTTCTCTGCCCTTTGCCTCATTCCCCGCCCCGGCTCTCCCTCTTCGCACATCACCGAGTCCATCCTTGCGCCCGTAAGAAGCTTCTCTGCCAGCCCGTAAGCAATTTGTCTAAAGCCCCTTGCTGCCTCTTCTGGAGGAGCTTCTTTCTGGCTGTTTTCCCCCGTCCTTGGCCATCGTCTCATCCGCCCAAATTCGATTTAGCCTTGCCTGAATCTCTTTCCCATTTGGGATATATAACCCGTACGTTACCCCTTGTTGCCCCATGCCCCCCGGAACTCCCTTATTTCCTCATCACTCGGCTACTGTTCCCCCGGCTTATTCTCCCCTCGCGGTACATAAATAAGGCCCAAACACTCCACCCATCCTAGTCTCCCCTCCCCTGGTAACCCCCCTGCTCTCTGATCTTAAGATCCCTCATCTTATCTCCCACTCTCCGGTCTCGTGCCCCCCTCTTGCTTCACTCTACCTCTACATCATGGAAGACCATGAACATATGCTCGGATCAGTCAAGTACCAGAACCACGGTCCCTCTATCAGTCGGATGGCAGTATCATCACAACATGACGCTCTCGTCGTGTTCGAAGCTGCTCGGCGCGGACTGATTCCCGTCATGCGCCATCGTCTAACAGAGAACGAAAAGGACATCCATATCGTACCCGGCACAGTCTACGTCTGGGAGGAAGCGAACGCCTCTGATCGTTCCTCACGCTGTCTCCGTCGCTGGACCGACGGGGTCAAGTGGTCCCAGTCTAGGATGCGCGAGCCTTTCCTCTTCTACGAGGAGGTACCCCCATTCGAGCGCACCGAAGCCGACCGCCGCAACAAGTGGGTCGCCCCTCCTCCGCCCTCGTCTATCGCTGACGCCAACGTCAACCCCAGGACCCGACATCCCTCGCGCAGGGATAGGATCATCAAGCCTGACGGGCTGAAGAAACTCACATTCACAGCGCTCGTCCGTCTTTCCCCGGACGACCCGATGGACAGGTGGGCGAAATGGCACCTCGTCTGCTACATGACACAAAACGACCGTACCGTCCCCGCTGTCTCTGAACATCCCGAACTGTCCCAGGTCGAGGTACCCGATGGTGTCTTCTACGACTGCAAGGGCATCGCGCTCGACAACGCGCCCAGACAGACTGTTAAGTGGCCCCGCGAGCCACTTACGGTTGACACGATGAGCATGGCGATGATGTCCCCTCCACACTCGGATCGCGACAGCCCCCTTTACTCGCCTGTACACGGCCCGTCTGGCAAGTACATGGTCAACATGCCTGTGCCGCCAATGTCGCCGCCCGCGTCGCCAGGGGAGATGGACCACCGTCCATACTCACACTATCCTCATCGTAAGCCCCCGTCTTTCGCCAGTAACATGGTAACTCACACCTCTGTAGCGCCGTACACGCCGGATACTCCACCGCACATTGCCCTAGCTCCGCCGGGACGCTCATCTTATTCCGGACGCCCGGAACCTGGTTACCATGGTCTTCCAACCCCTTCTCCGATGCACGCGCCTGCGCGGCATCCCCGCCTCCCGGGGCTTGCGGATGTTCTCCGCGCCCATCTTCCGGACCTCGACGGTCCGGACCCCACTCGCCAATCTGGTAGACCGGGCCCACAGCTCCCGCCTTTGAGTCAGGAAGCGCAGTGGGGGTGGACGAGGCGCAGGCCAGAGGACGCGCGGGCGCTGCATGCGCTCGACCGCCCTCGGGTAATGTAATTGTCTGTGCACGACTGGGACGGCTCGGCCAGCATATGAACACTATTAACGCATCTTTGATCGTTCTTTCTTGTGGTGGATACGGGAGAAAAGGTCCTGCGATTTTTCTTTTAGCTAATGAACACGGCCAATGTATCTATAACTGCTTCCGACTCGGGTTTTATCTTTCTCTCTCAGCCCTCCTCTGTATACCTAGTCAAAAGAGATGAGATTTCTCTTTGCTCAATTTTTTTTCGTCCCATGCGGGGGATGTTGACCGGAGAGACATGCGCAGTTGGACGGCTTGGCCACCTACCCGGGAAAAGGGAACTGAATACGCTGCGCCACTAACGGACGCGGTCCCCTGTGCGCACACAAGCCTGTGATCGTCTGCCCTGGACACTCCCACTGTACTTCCTTTCTCTACCGTCGCACTTGGCTCGGTCTGCGGATATGGACACACCCGGCTTGCGTATGGATGCTATCAAGGTCGCCAAGGTGCGCTTCTGTCGTATCAATATATTGCGTCGTGTACTGATCGTTGATGCCAAATCAAGGTGGACAACGTCATCTACCGCGGAAACGATGGGCAGTCCTCCGGCTGCCTGCATCTTACAGCACATCACCTTATCTTCACCGAGGACTCTTCACAGAAGGAGAAGTGGGTACGTCCCTTTCCCTTCTTATTGCATCCCCCAGAACGCGCTTACGGAGATCACGAAAAGGTGCCATACCCGCTCATCTCGCTGGTCACACGATTACCTCAGACCCTGAGGGGTACATGTCCTCTTGCAATCCGATGCCGGACGTTCGAGACCTTTGTATTGTATTTCGAGAAGGAGGAGAGCTCAGCGGACGTGTTCGATAGCGTGCGTGAGCTCACCGTGACGCGTGCGTCCCTCCCTGACTGCGGGATGTTGATCATTTCTGACCGGAGTCTTCCGGAACAGCGAGTATATACAACATGTATGCTTTCTTCTACTCCCCGAATCCGCCGTTCGACGTCAACGATGGGTGGGGATTGTACTCTTCCAGAGAGGAATTTGCGCGCATGGGCATCGGTTCCCGCACCAAGGCTTGGCGATTCACGGATATAAACAAGGACTACTCTGTACGTATACCTTCCCTCCTTCTCTCCATTCCGGTCCTACGCGACCTTCTTTCGCACACATGCTGACGGCCATGCTGAATAGTTCTGCCCAACCTACGCTGCCCGTCTGGTCGTCCCAGCGCGGATAAGCGACACAGTGCTCACGCACGCCGCGAAATACCGAAGCAAGGCGCGTATACCCGCCCTGACCTACCACCACTGGGCCAACTTCGTGCGTATTCTGCTCTCCCATATCTCGCGGCATGTTTACGCCGTTGGCATGGCTCCCACAGGCTACTATAACGAGATCTAGCCAGCCCATGGTCGGCCTCACAAACAGCCGATCTATACAAGACGAGAAGCTCGTCGAGGCCATATTCCAGTCACATCTGAATCCTGCATCCGCTTATGGTGGTGAACCTAAGCACAAGCCCAGCCATCAAGTCGTATATGGTGCAACAGCAACTAATCTGATTATCGATGCTCGGCCGACCGCGAACGCCATGGCGAACGTGGCAAAAGGTGCCGGGACAGAAAAAATGGAGCACTACAAAGAAGGGAAGAAAGCCTATCTCGGCATCGACAATATACATATCATGCGCGACTCGCTTGCTAAAGTCGTTGAATGTGTACGGGAAGCTGATATGCTTGCTTCTTCCCTTCAAATGAGCGACAATGGACAATCGGCTACGGTGTTATTGGATCGGCATGCGCTGAGGAAGTCTGGTTGGCTCAGGCATATTTCTGCGATTCTTGATGGTGCACTCCTTATTGTTCGAAACGTGCATGTCAATTCTTCACACGTCTTGGTTCACTGTTCTGACGGATGGGATCGTACTGCTCAACTGGCGTCAATTGCCGAACTCTGCCTCGATCCATTTTATCGCACATTCCGCGGCTTCCAGATTCTTGTCGAAAAGGACTGGCTGGCTTTTGGCCATCGGTTTGCGGACCGTTGCGGACATCTCTCTTCCGAAAAGTTCTTTGTAACTGCCTCTGGGGATGCCGGCACGGGTCCGGGTGGCGCAGATGCCGCGCAAGCTTTCTTCGCTTCGGTGCAAAAGCAATTTGCCGGCCAAAGTCACCTCAAGGAAACGAGCCCTGTCTTCCATCAGTTTCTTGAATGCGTTCGGCAGATTCAACGACAATTCCCTACACGTTTCGAATTCAATGAGCTGTTCCTGCAGAAGCTACACTATCACCTGTACGCCTGCCAGTTTGGGTCTTTCCTTTTTAACAGCGAGAGAGAACGACGCACTGCCGGCTCGGAACAAAGCCAACCACCTTGGCAACGGACCTACAGCATTTGGGACTTCTTCAACACAAGCAGGAATAAATCGGAGTACCAGAATGCCGATTACGACCATGCCCTTGATGAACCAACGCGACGAGACCCTGGCTCCGATATGGGGGTTCTAATGCCCAACCCACGTGATGTCCGCTTCTGGCACCAGCTTTATGGAAGGTCGGATGAGGAGATGAACGGGCGTATCGTGGTTAACCAAGCGGTTGGAGCAGAATTTCTTGGGCCGATCGATAGCAGCTCGGAAGATCCTGTACTTCCGGACGAGATCGATGATCTGACCTCGCTGGCGGCATCATCTGAGCCAATCAGCCGCACATCAACACCATCAATCGTGACAATGCAAGTTGAATCTCTCCGTACAACTCCGGGGGTGGACTCAGTGGGCCTTTCCATGCATGGTCAGTCCCAAACTGGGTCCCTCCCTGATCTAGTACATGTTCAGGGTGCACAATACCTGCCCCTGCCGAGGACGCGCACCCCACAACCATCACCCCGAGGTGGTCTACCAGATATCTTCTCCGAATCCTCCGGCACGACCATGCGATCCCTGTGGGCTTCTGTTTCCTCCGGCGCCCGAACAGCCGCTTCCGCAGCCCAAGCGGCTTACGGCGGCGTGGCCAAGGAGATCAGTAGGAACTTAGCGGTCGACTCCACTGAAAGAGAAGGGGAGCTTACGGAACGAAAGGCACCGACGTATACGCCATATCTGCCGAAGGTAGGGGGATCACAAATGGTTGTGGAGCGGAATCCCTGGTCGGATCCCGCTCCGCTAACTGTTGCATCTCCAAAATCGGATGCTTCTTCTCCGGTGGAAGTAGAACCCTCGACGTCCACCTTCGCTTCGCTTTCAATTAGCGATCCTTCAATCGCACTTCCGACACGCCTTTCCAGAACATCAACACAGGATACCTCCAGCCTTACTGCTCGTGCATCACGCTTGACTACCCAGTTCACGAGCCCTCTGGATGACGTGTGCGTAACAGTCGCACCAAGTGCCACAATCCCGGCTACCACTGTAATCAATGCAGAACCGGTTATCGCCCCGCCGGTAGTAGAAACCGACCTGAAATCAAATTCAGATGCGAACTATGATCCACTCGGGGTTTGGGCTAACGGGTGACCTGTGCAAAGAGTACATACCCCTTAGACTTTGTGATCTCTCACTCAGGCTGTGTCATCGTCATCTTCGTGTAATACCTACACTGTATACTATCTGATTGGCATCATCACCCTTGCATAATGCATTTCTCACGAGAATCTATGTGCGGTTGAACGCTATTGAATTGATGGGGTAAATAGTACACATGATGATCAACCACATGAGGTGCGACTTCCTGTAACCTCGAGAGACACAAAAGGAAACACAGACACCTGCTGCCAAAGAGAGGGAGACATGTACCACATGAGGGAGGGACCAGATATCAACGACAACACGCCGCATGTGGTGACGGCGGAGCAGAGAGGTAAGCCAAGATGAGGATGGACGAGACGGATTGGTTGTTGGTTGGACAATTCGTTCTTCTATGTGAGAGCGGTAAGGAGCGAAAGGCGTCGCAGGGCGACATGAGTTGCAAGTTGGGACCAAGTTGGACCGTATGAGTCCGGTAACCCAGCGGGATCGTACTAGATTATACGCAGAAGATAGAAAAGGGAACGAGGATGAGCTCGTTCAGGGGCCGTACCACTGGGCACGGTAGCCCGGAATGAAAAAAAGTCGTAAAAGCGCTCAAAGCCTGAGCTGCTTAGGCTTTTCCCAGCTGTATGCGGGGTTGCCGAAATGGCCGTAAGAGGCAGTGGCGAGGTATTGGGGCTTCTGGAGGCCAAGGTCCTTGACGATGACACCCGGACGGAGATCCCAGTTCTTGCGGATAACCTGGGTGAGCTCCTCATCGGAGACCTTGCCGGTGCCGTAGGAGTCAACGAAGACGGAAAGGGGCTCTGCGACACCGATGGCGTATGAAAGTTGAACGAGGGCACGGCGAGCAAGGCCGGCAGCAACGAGGGACTTGGCAATCCACCGGGCGGTGTAGGCAGCAGAACGGTCGACCTTGGACCAGTCCTTGCCGGAGAAGGCTCCACCACCGTGGGCACCCCAGCCACCATAGGAGTCGACAATGATCTTACGACCAGTGAGACCGGCATCACCCTGAGGACCACCAATAACGAAACGGCCTGACGGTTGGATCTGTTACATTAATCAAAATGGGCCCCTGACCTCGGACATAGAGCGGACTTACGTGGTAAACGGTGCGCTCATCAAGCAGCTTAGCGGGGATAGTAGCCTTGACGATCTTCTCGAGGATCTCCTTGCGCAGGTCCTCCGTTGAAATTTCCTCAGCATGCTGAGTGGAGATAACGATAGTGTCGACACGGAGAGGAATGGTAGCACCACCATCCTTCTTGTATTCAATCGTGACCTGAGTCTTCGAGTCGGGGCGGAGCCAAGGCAGGGATCCGTCACGGCGAGCAACGGACATAGCGTGGTTCAGCTTGTGGGCGAGCATGATAGTAAGGGGCATGTATTCCGGAGTCTCGTCGGTGGCATAGCCAAACATGATACCCTGATCACCAGCGCCAATGTTCTCCAGAGAACCGTGGTCAAGACCCTGAGCAATATCCGGAGACTGCTGCTCGATAGCGACCAGGATGTTGCAGGTCTTGTAGTCAAAGCCCTTCTCAGAGTGGTCGTAACCGATCTTGCGGATCGTGTCACGGATGATCTGCTGGTAGTCCAATTGGGTCTTGGTGGTGATCTCACCGAAGACCATGATCATGCCGGTCTTGGTGGCAGTCTCACAAGCAACCTTGGAGAAGGGATCCCCGGCAAGGCAAGCATCGAGCTGGAGATGACGCGTTTGTCAGCTGACTATCCTTAGGACGCCACCGAATAAACCGCCCACTCACGATGGCATCGGAGACCTGATCAGCGATCTTATCTATAGCAGAAACGCATCAAAAACTTGCTCGAGCCTACTATTCGAGCACCAACTGTACCTGGGTGACCCTCACCGACCTACACGTGTAATGTCAGTAAAACTAGAACTCGTTGGGGACGCGTCGGATTACGCACGGATTCAGAAGTGAAGAGGAAGTGACCTGGGGCCAGAGCAGAGGCAGCGACGTGACCGTTGGAAGCCATTGTGCAGTAGAAGGGATGTGATCTAAGAGGGGGTAATCTAGCAAGAAATGGGAGAGGTGGTGGGAGAAGAGAGAACGGTGAGGGTAAGGGAGCGAAGGATGGGGGAGCTCAGCTGGCGTTATTAGGGTGCAGGCCCGGTCTGAACAGTTTTATTGCCGACAGTGGGGGTTCGGAAGCATCCATGGCGCAATCTCATCATCATCCTCGGCCGAGGCTTGCCGGGTCTTTGCTTTCATTCCATAAATCACTTATTTTGCTAGCAAAATAAAATAACCTCAGCTTCCAACACTTTCTAGCCCTGGGCCTTCGTGGTGTATAATCTTCCCACAAGATTGTCATCTTTCAGTGTTCATTTTCCCATATCAATCATAGAATCCCCTACATATCATCACTCATTTCACTTCACCGCGGAGTTCATACACGGTCGTTTGCTTAAATGATTTGCTAGCCGCGCTCCAAGAGCAAAGTACAACCAGCTCAGCGGGCGCCAGAATGCGGGCGGACGCCAGACGGCGGGTCAACAAGACAAGATTGCGTCCTTGTTTACGTTTATGGTGCAAGACATCTCGCGAAAAACACGCGGCGCACGTTCTTGAAGACCCTTCCGAAGCGCATTTTACCGTGCCGGATTTATCTTCACCCGGTTTGTTCAGTTGTTATCCCTGGGCGGGCCTTGCGTACCGTGGGTGCATCCGAAGGAGGCTCAGCAAAGGACCACAGCGTTGCGGTTTGTGGAGGATTGGAGCTGCGACATGAAGCCGCAGCTGGCTATTGCCAAGATACCAGAGAAGTTGCTGAGTATGACATTCACAAGCATTAGTCCAGCCGATGCGAGTTGCGGACGGTATGTGATTGATGATATACCTGACATATAAAGTAAAGAACACAACAGCCGTCCGCATTACCGGTGACCTCATCAGAACTACACGAGCTCTTGCAGTAGAGAATGCATCGCGATAATCGGCCTGCAGGAGAAGGGCGCCGTCATAATATGATTGCGCGTCTATTTTCCCAGTCGCTGGCGTTCAGCGCGTTGTGCCTAAATACGTGGTCAGACTAAGGAATATCGGCCAAGTGACCGAGAATGCCTACCCGTCTCCTCTTCTTGAATCTACGGAGGACGCAGTCAGTCAACAGGAGCTCGATGTATGCAGGATACATAGACTCACTTGTGTTTCGTCATCTTCTTCCTCCTTTTCCTCTTCACACTGTCCATACTGACCACGTTCTCATATGCGTTCTCCTCCTCAAGCCTCCCCTCAAGCTTGGCGATTACATCGTCCCAGTCCTTCTCCGCGCCCAGTTTGCTCATCACCAGAGCACGAGCGAGGAGACGCGCTGCGTCCGCTTCAGCCTCCTTGTCTACTTCCTCGGGGTGGGTTGCGGACGGAGTAACCGGCAAGACGATTGAGAACAAAGGTCGGTTGATAGAATAGAACCGCTGTACAGTGAGATCAAAGATTGACATCTGTGGGTGATCCGTCGGTGGGAGGGTCGGGGATGGCCAAGTGAGTGCATTTGCTATCGAGATGGACATCGAAGGGGAGGTGGGCGGTGCCTCAGTGGACAAGGGTGATGCGGAGGTCTTCACATCGGTGACAGGCTTCCCCTCCGTCAATCCGTCAACGGAGACGGCAATTCCATCACATTCCTGTGCATCCCTGCTCAGCACTGAGCTGGATTGTTGTGTAGGTGCTTGTTGTCGCTGTCCTTGTGGTTGTTGCTGTTTCGCTGCTGCACCCTTGAACCACGGACGTCCTTGTTTGTTGGATAAGAACGAGTAACTTCGTCGTAATGCAGGCGGTCGAGACCGTAGAATAAGTCGGGGCACGAAGGGCATGCCTTGGAGGGTGTGGAGAGGGGTGAATGCACTAATTGTGCGGGAATGAGATGGGTATGAGCAATGATATGGGTGAGCAGCGATGGCCCTAACTGCCCGGAAGTGCTCGCCACGGAGGCATAATCTGCCGCTTGCCGAACAGCACTCTCCTGTTTGTTGGTCGTCCGACGAGCTTCATTGTGCATTCCTGTGCAGGCTATGTATATTGCACGGCTCATCAGCTGCTCTTACATGTGCTGTGTTATCACCATGTCAATGGCGACGCACTGTTGAGTGAAATGAAGATCGAGGACAAATGGCATCAGCTCCTCCACCGACATGTTGAAACGGCACTTGGACTTGTGGCTTCAGGAGAATCAAGTCAGGGGCCTGGTATTGGTTCACCAGGTGTAATATTGCTGGGCTCCCTGCGTACGGCCGAATTTCAGAGCATCTCAAACCTGAGGCAACAAGTGACGGAGGCGCATAGGCACTTGGACAACACGTGTCTTCTTCAGTGCATCCAGGGACACCGCTGCGAGCTCGTGGAAAACGACGAAAGCCATTGTCATCTGCGTCGCTTTGGACATACCCAGAATTTGACAATGACCTGTTTGATTCCCGTTGCTAAGGAGCAAAAGATAGCATCGCTGTTGGGTCTTTCGCTAGATCAACTACCCTCCGCAGACGTCGCCTTTGTTTCACTTGAACCACCCGACAGATGGAGAAAAGTGCTGACCGCCCACGAGTCACGACGAGCGACAATGCTACAAATGTCCGCCGTGGCTAAAATCCTTAGAGGAGAAATGTCACAGATGGCCTGTGCACTTACCCGAAGTGCTCAAAGATCCGTCACGACACCGATTTCCATTCCAATGACATTCCAGATGCGCCAAACATCCGGGGTGGAATTTCGAAGTTGACGAGAAGAATATCCCGGATCGGTGGATGTAAAGGCTCATATCGTTAGCTGTTCAATGGAACCCAGTAAATAAAATCCACGGACTCCCAAATACAGCACCTCAGATACTATCACTTTAACCGCATACACATATTCCTCACGGGCACCCGCGGTTCATGGAACAGTGACAGGCGGTTGGTGCACAGAATTCGCATGTAAACGTCGTCATATTACCTTGCGCATGACGCCGCCAGGGAAAAATACAGAGGTCAAAGGAGACAAGCCCAACACATGCACCTCTAGCACCCTCTACTTCGAGTATGACCAGACGTTCTTCAACACTATCCAACCTGTGTCAGTACTTATATCGAGGTGGCATGCATAAATAGGACGTACGTCCAGCCTTGGTCGCCAGCCTGTTGATGGAATCGTCTGACTCGCCCATAGAGCGCACATCGCCAGAGATAGCAAAGGTTGTGGACGTAGGCAGCGCCTTGCCCTCGGCATCGACGTCGCAGACCGAGATTTGTACGGATGCGTAGTCCTTAGCGATGATAAGGCGGTCTGGCGAAAGGTCAGTACATGCGCAATGGAACGAATTTCTAACAAGGCGCACTGGTGACGGAGCATTTCCGGGGCACGTAAAGATCAACGAGAGTTCCCTGAACACACAGTCAGTGTCGCATCCCTTTTCAACGATGAGAACACGCACCTTATCGTTCTCCATTTTTGGCAGCGATGGGCACGGTACTTTTGGATGGTGGGGAGACGACGAGCTCAAGGGCCTGAATGAAAATGTACAGTTTTACGAGCACTGCCACTGCCACTCCTTTTCACGTGGTTGAGGTTTGAACCGAAGAAGCTCCGTGTCTCCGTCAGGGTGCGCGCTTGACAGCCAACCAAGCTGAACGTCAACTGGAGCCTCTCCAGCGACCATCCCTTTGAAGATGTCATCCCAAGCTCGGCTGCTCGCCACGGGTATCAGACGAACGTTGAAGCAACCCCGACAAGTACAGCTTGCTCTCGCAGCAGCTGTTGGTGTAACCGCCATAACGGTCTTCGGTGCTGGACTTGTCTACAATGACGCGGCACCACCCAAGAAGACAACTGGTGCCGTGGCCGTCCAGCCTATACAGGACTCCACCGACTCACTGACCGCTTGGTCCTGGGGGTCAAATGACTATCGGGTAGCATCATCCTCTGCCTCAACCACAAAAGCTATTCGTAATCCCCAACCCCTTCCACATCTGTCTGGCATTGCACTGCGTGACTTGGCCTTGCACGAGAAGCACGGTGCTTGCGTCGACGCAGCAGGGAACGTTTATCAATGGGGAGATGAGTTCTTCGAAAACAAGTCAAAAGAAGCGAGGAAACCGAAGCTTACGTTGACAGGCAAGGATATCAAGAGCCTGACAATAACGGAGAGCAAGGTATATGCACTATCAAGTTCAGGAAGAGTGTTCGTGCTATCTGCGAAGGAATCACGCCATGGAAATATCAAAGAGGAGTCCTCTCCTTGGTGGACAACTTCATGGCTATGGCACACTCAGCCAACCCTTGACCATGTTGAGCTCAAACCGGAGTTTCCTCTTCGAGGTAGAGAAAAGTGCATACTCTGTCCTCTGTATGCTAGGAATGTTTGCTGACTAGTTGATAGGTTCACCTCCATTTCTGCAGGACGTGATCACCTCCTCGCACTCACATCGGCTGGTCGTGCATTCACACATGCTGTGAATGCTAAAGCGAACGATTACGGCCAGCTCGGCATTAGCCGCATCAGCGCCCGTATCTCATCTAATCCACCACAAGACAAGCCCATCGACCTTATTCCCAAAGCGTCCAAAGACCCATCAGAGCAATCAACTCCCTTTGCTCGTCCCACCGCTCCACCCCTTCCGGTTGCCGGGGATGACACCGACATCCACTGGAGCACGAAGCTGTACGAGGTACCAAGCTTGAAGGAGGTCAAGGGGAAGCAGCTTATCGCTGGCGGACGAAGCAGCTATCTGCTCACGGCTGAGGAAGGCCGCGTTCTTTCTTGGGGCGCGAATGAATACGGTCAACTCGGCTTGGGGGCGACTATGACTCTCACCTCTGTCCCCATCCCCACGGAGGTGGTGCTCTCGCGACCATATCCCCGCGGCGCGGCCGTGAGATGCACACACATTTCGACTGGAGGGGATGTCGTTTATTTTACGATGGAGAGGACAATACCAGGTGAGAATACTGCTGGAGTGGATGTCCTCGCAGCCGGAATGGGCCAATGGGGTCTGCTTGGAAACGGACAGTATACCCAGTCTCAAGGGTCCCCAGTGAAGGTCAGGGCCGTGAGTGGGATCATGGAATGTGAGCATTTGTCTCATGTTTGCTATTGTCAATCTTATCATCTGCCAGACAATGACAAAACGAAGGCCCTTGAGGCACTTCAACCCCGTGCTATCTCCGTCTCTCCGACCGGTCACGCGATGCTGACCCTGGACACCATCTCCGACACCAATGCCGGATACGACGTGTTGACGTGGGGCCAAAACCGTTCCTTCGAGCTTGGAAATGGGAAGCAATCGGCCGTGCCGATGCCGTCATACGTGCAGCCATTCAGGACAGAGCCAGGAAGCAGGTTCATGGTTAAAGAGACAAGGAAGGTCATCAAGGATATGGAAGGGAAGGTCAGAGGTAGGAACGTACCCGTGCAGGAGACCGTTGTTGCCGGTTGGGGATGCACGGCTGTTTACTGGAAGATTGTTTAATATGTTATTTCTTCTGTTTTTCTTCGCTGTATTCTAGCATTGTAGTTCATACTCACCCCACTCAAGATCATTTCAATCAAATTGCATCCGCCTACGCGTCGCCTCATGAAGAGGCGCGTTATCGATCCCTGGACGCGTCTTGTATACCCTGCCAGTAAGCGCTCATCTGCTGCCACCAGACTATGAGCGCAAGCAGATGGACGACCTGTCAACATCCAGCTCCATCTCTTCTGTTCCGTTGTCCTCTCTCTCTCGTGCAGACATTCAGCTAGTGGAAGAGATCATCTCCCGAGCACCTGTGCAAGGCTCCTCTATCAGCGCCCTCACTGATGCGTATGAAGAAGTGCTCGAGGCGCACGGCTTGGAGGAAGACGCGGTATTGTACAGGGTGCTTCTGAAGCTTCATTCCATTCGCGCGCCGTCATGGAGAGAAAGGTGGGAGATATTGAAGAAGGTGAATGGGGTGTCATCGAATGGCGGAGGTGTCGAGAATGGGACAGAGTATGAAGCGAGCGAAGGGATGAGCGAGGCGGATAGTGATGGCACCGCTGAGCCACTTGGAAAGAGGCATCTGGATTCACCAATTGTGCGGAGTCGCTCCTACAGGGAATCGACTCCGTCTTACGTCCCACCTACGATACCAAAAACCGTCATGCGAGGAGCGCTACCCACTCCGGCACCATCTGAGGCGTCGCGGGCTGTACACTGGAAGGACAACACCGTCCCCTTGAAATCGGATCGAGCGCTGCGGAAACCTCCACCCCCTCCTAGTTTTGCTCAGAGTGGTGTCGTACGATCACAAACGACCCCTTCTCTAGCGAGTGCGTCTAGACGCTTGTTCGAGAAGGCTGCTTCACCACCCCGGTTACGAGCTTCTACCAATGCACAGGCTTCCCGACCCGTGACAAGCCGTCGCGTGCAGCCTGACCGGATGAAGGTCGCAAACGGAACAGCTCGAGTTTCACCAGCACCAGCACCAGCACCTGCCTCGCGAGAGCCTGAAGAGCCTGGAGGACCGGACGCTTGGGAGTTAATGAAGATGGAACGGGATGCGGATGATTTCAGAAGGAACGTCGCTTTGAATATTTGCTTTCAGCGATGGCGAGATCGAACGGATATTCTTGTGGTATGTCGTAATGCTTATATCGGGTGCATCGCTGAACGTGTACGTGCATGCTAGGACAATTACGCTCAGGTCGCTCGTGCATCCGACGAGATCAACGTGCGCGAATGCCTAGACATATGGCGCAACATGCTGGACAAGCATCGTGATCTCATTCCTCGTGCGGGGAATGTGGATCGCATTCGAAGGTTGATGGAGTTTTGGCGGCTGTGGAAGGATCGCAAGAAAGAGCGAGATAAGAAGCGCATGGTGCAGGATTTGAGGCAGCGGATGTTGGCGGTGAGGGATATTTGGGAAAGCAGACTGGTGAGAGAGTCTTGGGAGGTAAGTACTCATAAGCTCTCACGTCTTTCCCGGCTAATTATTCGTAGAAATGGCTACAAGCCCATCGAACTCGTCGCGCCGTACACTTCCATAATGCCACTGTGGTAGATCGCACATTCGCAATATGGACAGACAAGGCCAAACATCTGCAGGCGATTATATCATGGGCAAACGAGATCGCGTCTGTGAAGGAGGAGCGGACATTTCAGCATGTTTGGGAAACTTGGAAGCATGCTGCCCGTTTGCGCGTTGTGGAGTGGGCAGTGGTTCGGAAATCCAATTTCCACCGAATGGCTAATGCCTTCGATTGGTGGCGGAAACATGCGTGGGTTTGCAAAGCCAATTCTTCGGCCTCACACTGAATTCTGTATAGCCAAGACAAAGCCCTCGCCGATGCATTGTACAAGAGCTCTGCATCATTCCGTGTACTCGAAAAATGGAAGACGAAGTTCACCGCTGTCAAAGCCCTCTCGCGCAAGGCCCGCATGTTTGCGGATGTTCGAGACAAGGTGTTGCTATTCGAGGCTCTCCGAACATGGGTAGCGGAAGAACGATGTGTTCTTGTGTTGCGGATTACGAACAAGCGCTTAGTGGCAAATTCGTTTGAAAAGTGGACGAGAAATTTGCAAACTACTCTACAGATGGACGGTGCGTGTGTTCCGCACAGTCAACGATTCCCCACTTGACCTTGATTTAGAGCGCGCTTTAGACGCTGCCTGCGAGATCGACTGCAGGCGGGCCATCGCCTATTACCGACTATGGAAGTCCCGGTTGGAAACTCAGCATGATGCCGAGAGGCTCGCAGATCGTTATCACGCCCTGAAATCATGTGCACAGACTGTGAACAAATGGAGAATCGCACTGAATCAGCTCGGTGTGAATCGAAGGAGAGCTCGGATGGCCCATCAAGCACTGCTCTTGACCTCTACATGGAAAGCATGGCTGACTGCTCTGGCTCGACGTCGGCAGCAACAGTGGGCGGCAAAGATGGAACAGGACAGATTGAGGGCCGCATTTCAACGTACTTTTTGTTTCCTCTCGTGATGCTTCTTAGTACTTATATACGATCAGATTGGGTGGTCGTTGCTCGACGAGATCGTACTCATCGGTTACTTGTTCAGGCATTCCAGGCTCATGCTAACAGCGTAATTTTCATTTCAAAGCACCTTCCCTCCTTTCTGAGATGTTATACAGCGTGTCAAGGCCGGACTTCTGTCCAGATGGGTCATTCGTACCGCCGACATCAAGCTGCAGAATATGCGGGCTGCAGAAGACGCTGATGCAAAGCTGCTAAGGTTAGTTTTTAATAACCACTCGAGATGGGGGTGCTCATAATCGGTTCGCAGAACCATGTTCGCCAACTGGATGGATCTTATGCAATACCATCAAGACAATGTCAGCCTCATGTACAGTTTCAAGGATGTGAAACAAGAAGGTATTATCGTTGTTTTCTTAAATGGTGTCAGTCATACTGATACGATCTGCTCTAGACGAGCTTCGCCGTACGTTCCACCACTGGCTGAGCCTTGGACGAAGATCGCGCGCTCGACGAAAACGACTCCAGCGACGAGAACAGGAAGCTAAACTAGCTACGATGTCTGTAGCATGGGAGACTTGGAGAGACCGGTTCCGAGAGAGACAGCTTCGCGATGCGGTTAGTTGGCAATCGAACGTACAATATACATATGACATGCTGACAACTGGACAGGAATGGGACGTCCTCATTCGCAACCAGCGATCCAGTCTTCAAGTAGCTTTCAATTATTGGAAACGTCGCTCTCAGGTATATGGTTTATTATGTCTGCAACACACGCATAACTCATGTCGGCTTGCAGTTCCTTCCTGCTGTTCACTTCTCAACCATGCAAGTTCGCGCTCATGTCTGGAAAGTCTGGCGTGCCGCTTTGCCAAACGCTCGCAGGGCACGAGAAGCCGATACCATGTACACAAAGCATCTCTTAGGTAAGACGTATCCCTATGTACGGGATATCACTGACACAAGGTTCAGGGGACACTCTGCAGAAATGGAGTGGTGCATATAAAACGGCAATCGCCAAGAAAGCCATCGCGTGAGCAATACCTCTCGGGATACAAAATGGTGCTGATATTCCGAACAGACGCGCTCGAGCAATGAGAACAGCCCGAACAAGCCTTCCAGCGTTTCCCGTCACTGCCATGTCAAATATACCTACATCCTCCTCCACGCGACGTCTCCCTCCTACCCCAACAGATTCAGATACATCACCACCCTTGCCACCGACGAGCTTGCCCCGTGTGGAATCCCTGACAGCTATCGATAGTGCCGGGGGCAGCGCCTTCATGGAAAAGGTCGACCATCGTCGTGCTCGCTCTATGACTCCCGCAGTGTCCCGTACATCGCACTCCGCAGTTGGTGATGCTACTCCTCGGGACAGGCTATGGAGGGAACTTTTAAAGGCACGCTCGGAATCTCGTAAAAGATAATCATACAGCTTTGAATACCAGAGGACCATGAAGATACCCTTTCAGTACCTCCATCACCATATCCAAGGACGATCACGCATTTCTGTAATATTGCCAGCCGACCCAATTTGCGATGACGAAATAGGATCCCGTTGGAATCAGCAATAGGAAGAAGTATTTATAGTGATTATCATCCGCTAGAACGCGGAACACCTGTCGTGTTAAACTCAGCATTAACAATGTATCATTTCCCCATCACTCACCCCCCATCCCGTGTATTCGTATAGAGAGCCCGCGCACAGTGAACTAATTCCGAGGACCAAGAACAATAAGGAGAGAATCACAACGAGCCGTCCAAGCGTTTCCAGATACAAAGAACCCATCATGGCCGGTAGGACCAGAAAGTACGAATCCTGGTCGGCACGCGGCCACCGTGGCCGCTTTAGCCGGTGGTTGTGCACGGCTGTGCACGGAAAGAAAATGTTTCGCCTCCGTCAGGATCCTCTACGGAAATAATTTGCTTCCGCTACAATCTTTCGGCATCTGTGTGCAACTTTGCAGCGGGTTTGCCCGGTTCCCACCCAGTTTTTTCCCGGTTTTCTGCTTTGGTTTGTCTGTTTTCAGTATGGTTTTCTCCTGTCCTGTCCTGAGTATTGACAATATGAGTAAGTTATGGCACATTTCAAGCTTATTTTATTTTATTTTATTTTATTTTTTCAAAACCGGAAAAACTGGAAGACCCGGTTCTTTTTGTTGGGAAAAACCGGAAGACCCGGTTCTGTTTTTTTAGAACTGCTATGTCCAAACCGGATGAACCGGGTACACAGAACCGGATAAACCGGGCATGGGTGCAAAAGGAGGCAAACTGGAGCAAAATGGAATTGAACGGAATTATCGTCTTTGATGGAAACTAATGGAGGCAGTAATATACATCCGTGCACAGCCGCCAGCCAAAGGTGGCCGCTTGCCGCCCAGGATTCGTACACTCTCCGTAGGACAGTCAACTCATCCACGTTACCTGAGCGCATTTGCCTCCTCAAGGTTTTGACCACGTGACCGCTACGGCTACGGCCCTGGCCCCCCTGGCCGCCCTCATGTTGTGACTTAGAATAGGACCGTCAATATATATCAGCCGCATTTGTGAGCACCACGGCATACCCAATATATGTAGTTTTCAGGGAAAACGTACGCTTCGCTGGCTCCTTGACAATTGAACCTCGTTGCGAACGGCGATTCCAACATTTCAAGATGGCCCAGAGACTTGTGGTAGTAACGGGTGGTACTGGAACACAAGGTACATGCCCAGAACCAGCAACGTCTGAGAACATCATGCACTGAACGAACAGGCAGGGGGCGCCGTGGCCCGTGCCCTTGTAACCGGTGGTATCTACCGAGTAAGGGCCATAAGCCGTCATCCTCACAGCCCGGCCTCCAAGGAATTGACCGAAAAAGGTGTCGAAGTTGTTTATGCGACACTAGAAGACCGCGAGTCTCTCATCCAGGCCTTCCAGGGAGCTTACGCTGTAAGATTGCAACTTGTGGAAGAAAAGCAAGTCAGATACTAAGACATGCATTGTAGGTCTATGGGTGCACTCCCTTTGGACATTCCACTGAAGAGCAGCAAGGAAAGAACATCGTGGACGCGTGCAAAGCCAATCACGTTTCTCTTCTGATTTGGTCTTCTCTCCCTAATGCAATCGAAACTTCTGGCGGGAGGTATCGGAACATGACGTGCTTATCTCGACTTCTCCGGCCACACATTTCACTGATATACCTCTTTAAGGCACTATGATCGGAAGGCAAATGTAGCTGAGTACATCGGAAAGGCTGAACAGCCAGCGATTACAATTTACACGGGGGTATTCAGTGACAAGTAGGTGAATGTTTGCCTGGAAACTCAAAGGGCGTGCTTATACTTCAACAAGTCTTCTGAATTATGGGTGGATCCGCCAATCAGACAGCGGGACGTGGGTGATAAATACGCCAGTCGGTCCGGACGCTGCCATACCCCATACTTGGATAAGAGGCGATCTTGGCCCAGCTGTCGTTGCAATGATCAATAGCTGGGAAGAGCCTACCATCAGAGAAGAATTGAGAGAGCAGCAACCGATCCACGTATGCTCGTATCGCATTACTGGTACGCAGATGGCAGAGACGGTTGCAAAATGTATGCGCACGGTCCCCTAATGTCATGAGTCGCTGATTTGTTCACAGTGACAGGCCAACCTGCCGTATTTGCTGGCGCACGCTCTCAGGAACGTGGAGAGCTCGGAGAGGTAAGAGCTCGGACTAGCTATTCTTGGGCCAAGCTCACAGTTCTGTGCAGATGTTCCAGTATCAAGATGAAGGTCTGCTGTATCCCGAAGGGGCCATACCTCCCCCTCTTCTAGCAAAGCTTGGCGTCGAGTTCCACAAGTTTGAGGACTACGTCCTGGCTGAGATTGCAGCAAAGCGAGACTAACAGGGTTGAATACATTGTTCTCTAGCCACGCAGTACATCAGAGATTATAGTATCGATATGAATACAGAATGAAACACGATGGAGGAAAGACCTATGCTGGCTGTCTCAATTTGACCTTGATCTTCAATGGCTTCTTCTCAGGAGGCGGCGGGGGTGGAGGCTCGTCTACATCCATGGAATCTTCGTCGTTCAGTTCCTCCTTTCCATTGGGCTTCGTCTCTTCCTCGCTGACAGGATTGGTGCCCCCCTCAGCCCCAGGAAGATCAGTCCCGTAAGTGAGCTTCTTGATGATGTCGTCGAGCTCCTTTTCGAGCACAACAGCATCCTCGTAGACTTGTGACTCTTCAGTATTATAACTGCGAGCATTGTCGAACATGAGCTTCCAGTCCTCACGGAACTGTGGCACGCTCCTGTAGTAGCCCGCATATGTGCGCCTTTTGATGACCGATAAAGCAATGGGGTTGGTAATGATCCCGTAGTAATCCGGGTACATCTGTGAGGTGTGTATCAGAACTGATCAAGCGAAAGCATGAGGAATCTACCGTTGGGTCCGGCAGCTCTTTGAATATGGCAGTTCTATAGTGGCCATCATCGCTCACGGAGTTCTGGACCTGCTGGAAAGCCTGTAAGAAGACTTTTTTTAGGCGGTCTCGGAAAGGATTGGCTTTTCGACCCTTCTTTCCAGACTCTTGTACTTCCTCAGCTTTGAGGCGTTTCTGCACGACTATGAGCATGCGACAGAAGACATAGAAGAAAGAGCACGTACTGCGCCCGGTTCATCTCTCGATCCGTCTGCTTCTCCATCGACAACAAGCTGGAAAGATTCGTCATAGCGCTTACGCTTTCTCCCTTTAGGCACCGGCGTTCCGTCCCCATTTGCCGCAGGCGAGGGTGCAGTCGAAGTGCCGTTGACATTAGTCCACAGCTGGCTTGTAGCACGAGACAAATCAGGGGTGGCTGAGTCCTGATCGAACGGACTCTCCGGCGTTCCTCGAGCTGAGTTGTCAACAGTGAGCAATCCAGCAGCGAATGCAGCCTTCTTCGCAGCCTGGCGTTCTCTCCTTTGTCGCTTCTTCTCAACTATCTCCGCAAAATCCGTGCCGTCCTCCTCAAGCGCACGTAGGAACTGATCATCCGTCAGACCATCGGTATACATGACAGGCCCCTTGACACGTTGACCACGACCAGCGAGCAACTCTTCTTCCTTCAGTTCTTCTGGAGCTTTGGGATGCAAATACTCATAAGGCAATTCAGAGTCCTGCATCAGGCGTTCGGGCAGAGGACCTATATGGCCCTTTGCGCGCCATTCAGCAAGATCGCGGGCATCGAGTTCCTTGTCCATCTGCTGGAAGATCTCTTCTTCCTCATCACCTCGAGCCAGAATTTCGTTCAACTCGTCGTTCGTCATTTCTACCGACTCCTCTTGGTCATCAGCGGCATCAGCTTCTAGAAGCAAACGCTGTCGAAAGGATCAGATACAAATCCCGGACTCGCACTAAAGGTGCTCACAAGAAGATTCTCCTGTTCCTGGGCAGAGGTTTTCTGATCAAAACGTCCTGCTTGAATAACCTTGCCGTCCATGTCTAGCTTGTCACGTGCACGAGCAAGCATATGCTCTTCCACGCTCTTGTCTGTGATGAGCCGGAACACACTAACAGCCTTCTTCTGTCCGATTCGATGTGCACGATCTTGAGCCTGAAGATCGGCGTGTGGATTCCAGTCGGAGTCGAAGCTGAAAGCGGGACATCAGCATTTATGATGGAGAAGGAAAATCATGAAACCCACATAATGACGGTGTCGGCGGTTTGCAAGTTCAGACCCAGTCCACCAGCACGAGTGGAGAGGAGGAAAAGGCTATAGGGAGAATCCTTCTCATTGAACTTCTTCATCGCTTCACCACGGTCCTCTGACTTGGTCATACCATCCAGCCGAAGGTAGCGATAATGACGGTAATTGCAATAGTCTTCAAAGATGGTCATCACTTCCGTCATCTGGAAGAAGATGAGGACGCGATGCCCGCAACGGAACAGTTTCGGTAACATCCTGTCGATAAGCTCGAATTTGCCAGCCGCTCGGTAGATGTTTGGATCTGTGTCGACGCGGCCCATGTTGATATCCGTATCAACAGCAGGGAAAACAAACGGATGGTTGCAAATCTTCCGAAGCTGCATGATTGTGTTATTGACACCTTTTCCACCGGTGGCACGCGCCTTCCCGTCACCAGCGATGGTGAGCACAGCCTTATACTTCTTCATCCAATCGTACATTCTGGCTTGCAAGGCGCTCATGCGGCATTTGATGATCTTCTCCGTCTTGTCTGGTAGCTCGCTCTCGACGTCTTTCTTCAAGCGACGGAGCAAGAAAGGTCGTAGAACTTTATGCAAACCGCGAATCACGAGCAACGCTTCTTCTTCATTCAGTTCCAGTTTCTCCTGCCCTCCAGTGTTTGCGAATGGCCGACTGAACCAATCCATAAACGATTCCGAAGAGTTGAATATATGCGGAAGGATGAAATTGAGCAATGCCCATAATTCAGGAAGGTTGTTCTGCAGCGGTGTGCCAGTGAGGATGAGACGATAGCGGGAGGTATAAAAGGTAGTAAGCGTAGTCGACAGCCGACTTTGCGTATTCTTCATGCGATGTCCCTCATCAATGATCATGTAGAGCCAGCGGAGCTTACTCAGCGCCAGCCTGTCCTTGATGATATATTCGTATGTCGTCAGGAGTACCTGGAAACCGCCATGACGAATCTGATGTTGAATCTGCTTTCGAACAGGTGGAGAGCCCTTGTAGACAATTGTGTGAACACTGGGTGCCCACTTCTGGAACTCGAGCGTCCAGTTCGTCAGAGTGGACAGAGGGACGATGACGAGATAAGGTCCGGGTTGGCGCTTCTTTTCGATCAGGAAGGTGACAAGGGAGATGGTCTGAATTGTCTTCCCAAGACCCATCTCATCGGCCAGGATACCGTTAAGCTTGTTGTTGTACAGACTGACCATCCACTGCAAGCCCTTGAGTTGGTAGTCCTTGAGCGAACCTCCCACGAGGATAGAAGGCTGCTCGGTGATTTTCTCCTGGACCCTATGGGCAACAGCATAGTAATCCGCCTTCTGCTTGTCGTTGGCAGGTTCGCCATCATCGAACCCATTCGCGCCAAACGTAGCCTCGGTGACAGGCGCTTCGTCCGAGAGGATCGCCGAGACGCCTGCCGCCTTCTGCTGGGCAAGAATACCCTGGGTGAGATTCTCGAGGTACTCGTTCGTCTTTTTGAGCAGATGAGTGATACGCGTATCCTTGGCGGTATCAACGAGCTTCATATATGCCTCCTCATCGTCATTCTTGAGAGCCTTGAGCCGATCCTTGCTAAGCCTCTCGAGCCGGCGTTGTTCCTCTTTCTCCCAATCCGCGTGGAATCTGAGCACCATCTTCCCGAACCTCTGGCTGTTTTGCACCGCTGCCTTGCGCGCAGCGAGCATATCCCGGCCATGGTTGATAATGCTCTGGAGGTAGTCAAGCTGCTTCTGCTTGCTCTTCCTGATCCGCTCGTCGCGTTGCTTCTTCTCCAGCACCTCGGTCGTGCGTGCGTCGCGCACCGTCTGCTGTCGAAGCTTTGTCAGTGCGGCGCGTGTTGACGACTGGTTGATGAATGACGATCGGGTGTAGGTGGCAATCACATCCTGCCGCAACTGACGCTGCTTTTCGCGCAACTTGAGCGCCTTGAGCTCGATGATCGTACGAAGGCGACCGCTCGTCGGTTTCACTTCGTCATGTGCTTCATCAATGTCCATGGTCAAATCAGACAGCTTGAACTTGGGTCCACCGCCCTGGCCAAAAGTGATCGGCAAAGCCTCGAGCTCGCGAACACGCTGATTCACGCGTGCCTCGACAAAGTGATCCCGCTCAGCCAAGAGCATCTGTGGGTCGAGGTTCATAGGTGTTGTGGGGGAGATGAGCATGCGCTCGTACTTAGTCGCTTCGAGCCGTTGGAACGGATGCCGTGGCCGTTTGAGATGGGTAAAAGGGATGACGCCGCCGTTCGTGAGGTCACCGCTGCTCTCCTCATCCACGTCATGCATGTCTATATCACCGTTTGTGCCTTGGGCCTTCGCACCCACGTGGGCGCGTACAGCAGAATCGACGATCCTATCCATTGTTGTCTTTCCTGCGAGGGCGACCGTCTCTTCCTCTCGTTCCACCGCCTCCTCCGGCCGCTGGATGGCTAGCTGCACATGCGCGGGGAGCGGCAAGCCACGCGAGAGGAGCTTGAAGGCATATATTTGATATCGGAGTGTATTAAGCTGGGTCGGGGTAAAGATAACGGGCTGATTTGGTTCGGGCTCAGGCGGGAGGGGGCCAGAGAGGATGGCGCTGATTGTCGGGTCGAGCGTGGTGGTGGATGGAGACACGCCGTTTGGCAGGGGCTGGGATTCACCGTTTTCGGGGGATGGAGAGGGCTTGGACGCCCATCCATTGGCGCTTGGGGCAGAGAGGGAAGCGGCGTGTGCCCGCTGATGGGCAAGATAAGCATGTTGTTGATCTAGTGAAAGGGACATTATTAATAAGCGCTCCACAGAACAATCAAGTGCAGTCTTTGCTCACAGGCTTGCGCACGATGATATTGTTGATAGTATTGTAACACCGCCCTAATGCGGGCAAGTTCAGCTTCCTGCTCCTCATCCCTCTGCATGAGCTTCATGAGCATCCTGGCTCTCTAATTCCGATGCATCAGCACAAATGCATACAATGAGCAGGTGGATGCTACGACGCACCTGGACCATCCCCCTCAGCTGATCAGGGGTAAGCATGCTTAAGGCATGCTGGGGCGAGACGGTTCCTGCAGGTGCGGACTGCTGGGCCGTAACCTGCGAGTACATAGTCTCCGTGCCACTTGAAGAAGCGAGCAGCTGCTGTGGGTCGATCGTCGCCGCAACTGCCATTGTCTAGTCTGCTGATGAGGTTCCTTCGCGTCAAGTAGATGGATGGTGGTCCCGAGTATTGTTTGATATGCGTAAAAAGCGTGAGTCAGTGCACTACCCGCGCTGATTATCGGCAGTAACTAATAGATAATTGGACTAGGAATGTCCGTATGCTCGCGGTGCGCGTCGACGCGCCTGGGAGAGGTGTAAGGGTACCGTAAGGCGGCGTGGGTGTCGTCTTCTGCAACGGAGCGGACAAGAGAGCTTTGTCGCGGACACGGAAGGCAAAGGAGGCAACAACCAGGCCACAGACAGAGGACCCCAAAAGGTATAATTACTTCCGAACACTGCCACGGGGTCTAACCTTTAAGTGAAATTTATTCCCCAAGTGTTTCTCCATGCGATCGGATACATATTGTGGACAATCGAATTCAACCTAATCGATATATCCTCCTTCTAACATTCCCATCCAAACAGGGGCCATAGTTCCCGCTATCGTCTAATTCCTGACCATCGCCGGCCTCACCTGCAAGGCAGTTAACCGGTGTATCTGGCCCCTGAGCCGAGTCCGACTCCCAGCCGGCCCTGGCACGCCGGAGCATGTGGCTAATTTGATCTCCAGTGTGGGGAAGCGGGGTGCCCTGTCACCATCACTTGTTGACGACCGTCACTCCTTCATCCGTCCTCCCACTGTACTATATTCAGACATGCAGCAAGCCCAGAAGAAGCCCGAGCTCGTCACTAATAACGTCTCTGGTACAATTGCGCTCGTCATACCCGACCGCAAGCCGCTCAGTGCCGATACCGACCTGGGGCGAGTGTCTCTCCCGTCCTCTTCCACTGAATGCAATTGACGTATTGTCGATTTGATTTGTGCAATTCGTAGACCAATGACCCCAGCTTCCGCCCCCGCTCCTCCTCCCACATCCCCGATTGTCGGCCTCCCCTTCTTCGATCCAACTCAATTTGCAAGCTCGATTAGCAACGTACTTTCCAGCGCCGAGTGCGTCACCTCATCCCATTATCAAACTGAATGTTACTGATACAGTGTTAGATGGACGGGCAGGTTCCCGAACCAGGAAGAGCAGAAGAAATAGCTTGCCGTCGTTTGAAGATGCTGGGACTGCTTCGGCGTTGATACGCCTCTCATTATCTGGCTTGATCACCTTGTGTTGGTATTGTTCATTCCTATGACCCCTATCTCTGTATGTAATTCTATCGTTTGGATGTATATTTCGCTGGATGTATCATCGCTCCACCTCAATGTGCCACACTGACAGCTGTCCTACATTCAACGGTGCGTTTCACCTGGCAAGAGCTGCCAGTGACGTTCGGCCGCGGGGGCGGCTTCTTTTGCTGATTCAAGCACTGCCAGCGATGACGTCACGTGGAAGAAGCCCAATTTTTGACTGGTGTTGTGTGCACATGCTTGCCTTTCCGCATGACTCGATGGTTGTTGGTTGTATGGTGTTAGGGTGTAATGCGCTGTTGAGATACAATGCGATATAATAAGATATCAATAGAATAAATAAGAGTAAACATAATAATACTCATGGCCGCGGTAAACTCCCAATTCGGTGGAATAATTCGAACGCGGGTGCTATCATAGACGGAGCTTGCAAACATGCGCTGATTCGCCCGCTCAGTGCCTGGCCAAGACGCAGTGATACACGCCCATAAGACTGACACGCTCCACCCCCTCCATCTGTCCCTTTCCTCCTCACCACCACCTTCCCCCTCCCTCCCCCCACGATACCGACTAGAGCAATGCCTCGCAAGCTTTCCATCGATCCCGACACGATCGTGCCTATGCACAAGTGCGCATCCCCGCATTTCGTCAATGTATGCGCCTTCTGACAGAACATGTCGCCCTCCAGGGCACCCGCGCCTGACCCAGGAGAGGACTTCAACGTGCTCTTCATCGGTGCGGGCAACATCATGTTCGGCAGTGATGAAGGACCGTGGAACCATTCCTTCCGTCTGGAGCAGTACGTCCACTCCCCGCTCCACCCCACAGTACGGCCCTGAGATGACCCTTGTTCTTGCCTGCGTGCAGCAAGCTCGGCCCGCGCCTCAAAGTTATCGCTCTCATCGACCCGTGGCTTGAACGGGCTGCTCAGGTTCTCGAGCTAAAACGTGCTTCCTTCGTCAAGAGCGCATATGAGCACACTAGAACGTACAAGACGCTCGATGACTTTATTGCCGACATGGATGATGATGAGATGCCCCAGTGCGTTGTGTCTTCCCCCAATCAATTGAAGGAGCATGTAGTTGATACGTGGGTAGGGCTGTTTGGGTCGGTTCTCCCCCCGAATTCCGAGGATCCGATGAACCGGGCAAGGACATTGAGCTCCAGCTGCTGAAGCATTTCCCCGGGGTCGCTCTCTTCATCGAGAAGCCCGTGACTACCGGAGACGTGGGCAAGGCGCTTAAAGTGGCCAAGGCAATTAACGACGCGAAGACTACCTGCTCTGTCGGGTGCGCGTGCTCACCTCGTATTCGGCACACTGGTTGATGGTGTCGATAGGTATATGCTCCGCTACCTCAAGTGTGTACAGAAGATGAAACAAATCATCGAGGACAACAACCTCGTCGTGATGGCAACTGTTGCACGATACGTCTGTGCCTACGAAAGGATCCTGAAACACCACTGGTGGAACAAGTCCAAGAGCGGCGGGCCGATCCTCGAGCAGGGCACTCATTTCTGTCAGTGCACCCCGCCCCTATCACACGAATACATATGCTGATTCAGCCTCAGGTGACCTCTCCCGCTACTTCGGTGGTGAAGTAGATATCCCGTCTGTGTCTGCCCATTCGCTGGAATTCTACGAGCCCGCCGGACATCTGAGCAAAATCGGCTTCGACGAAGAGCAGATCGTTCCTGCCGAACAACGCATCCCTCGTGTCACCGCCGCAACCTGGAAATATAAGTCCGGCGCCGTCGGTAGCTTCACCCACGCCGTTGCCCTGCAGGGCCGTAACTACTCTTGCGTGCTTGAGGTGTATGCAGACGGGTACCAGATGCGCCTTGAGGACCCTTACAACAACCCAGCGCTGTTTGTCCGACGGCCTGGTGACGACTTCGAGGAGACCTACAGGTACACGGACGACGACCCGTTCTTTACCGAGGTTGCGAACATGATCGACGTTATTGAAGGAGGGCCGGACAAGGCCGAGATCTTGAGCTCGTTTGAGGGTGCGTTGCCTGTTCCAGGGTTTGTCGTAACCACTGATGCTGTGCCCAATAGACGCCGTGCGCACATACGAGTTCACTTGGGCGATCCGCAAGGCAAGCGAAGCTTCTCGGAAACTGCCGCCCAACATTCCCAAGGCCGATTGATTTCACATGATACGTTTAAATGGATAACATACACGTGAGGAACGACGCCAGCGCGGGAACGTCACGGACTCATTTGTAGCAAACGTCAGCCGTTGTACTTGTAACTACGAACTGAAACGGGCGCCTCTGGTAGCGGGCGCCTTCAAGAAATTGATTTCCTTCATGACTTTTTCTATCTAAACATTGTGCGACCCAAGTGTGCTCTTTGATATTCTGCTTAGGCGTTGATATGCGGAGGAAGCGAGCTGGTCCTCTGGTCACCGGGGAAGATCTCATACCCTTTCCCCCTGTACCTCTCAGGCCAAATTCCGTTTCTCCCTGGAGCGAGAATTCCATTCGGGTCAAGCGCATCCTTGAGCGTCTCGTTGAGCTTCATGAGCGCCCCTCCGCCCCAATTGTAGGTGTTGGCCACTTGGTCCGCGAACAAGATGTGCGTTCGGTACTCTCCGTAGCCTCCTGCTGCCGCGTCGGAAATCATCGCACGCAGGCAGTCGTATGCTGCTTTTTTGGAAGCGGGGGAGGAACGATCATATACAAGATTGACGATGACGTGCGACTCGCGCGAGGCGACGCAGCTAAGCGTATTGTGTAAGTGGATGTATGACTGAGGCAGAAAGATGGACATACAGAGTAGGGAACAAGTCGATGCCATACTCCTCGTGTCTCTTCCTGCACAGCTCAAACAGTTTCTTCACATCCTCGCCTGATGTCGGGGCGATTGGGGCAAAAAACAAATGAGCGCCGTTCGGCAACCAGTTGAGCCAATCCAGTTCCCTCAGCACAGGCACACCGCTGCACACGCTCACCCTGCTATGCAAGTAGTGATCCTGCGGTAGTTTCTCGGGGAGCATGAGCCTGCTCCCCTCGATCTTGCCAAACTCGCGGCGGATGATGTCCAGCTGACCCTTGCGGAAGTCGTCCGGCCCATAAACGGTACCGTAGAACACCCAAGAACAATCTCCGCACGGCATGTCCTTGGCCCACTTGCGGATCACTTCTCTAGGGATCGGGCCCTCGCCGTCGTAGAAGTGCGACTTCGGTTTTCCGGTGACGGCCAGCTCCTGGATCACGTGTCGTAGCTGAGGGACGTTTCCTAGGACTTTGTTGATCGCTAGCGGGCGGATGGTCTGCATGATCTGTGGGTATTGGTCCTCGTCACGGAAGGTGATCAAGTAACTCGTATGTTCCGTCGCGGGCATCAGCCAGAAGCCCATCTTAGTGACGATGCCAAAGTTGCCTGTAACGGACTTAGTTCAAGAAGAATCACAAGTAGCGACGACTTACTCTGGGTGAAGATGCCATCATTGTACGGCCCGTATCCATACTGGAAGGACTGCCAGCACGGGTTGTCCTCACCGTCCTTTCCAGGTAACGCGCCCATTCCAGTCCTCACGACCTCTCCCGTAGGGAGGACAACTTCCATCCCGCAGTGACATCCAAAGTGGTCACCATACGGGGTATATCCCACCCCACGATCCACCGCATTGCCAAGTACGCTGCCGCCGCCCAAATCGGGCGTGTCGATCCACAACGGGTAGCCCGTCGCTTGCACCGCTTCATACAATGCAAAGTAACTGACACCAGGCTCGACAAGGCATGAGCAGTTGTCAGGGTCGATCTTGAGCACCTTGTTCATCCGTTTGCCAAGGTCGAGGACCATAGCACCCCGGATACGTGGAGCTGCACCGCCGTACCCGAGATTACGGCCCATCGAGATCGGGTAGATGGGGATGAGGTACTTGTTTGCCCAGCGAACTGTGGTCTGGACTTCCTCGGTTGATCCCGGGTATATCGTGGCAGAGGAGACGGTGTCATCTTGTTCCAAGATGTGGAAGGCGTCGTGGGTGTTTCTATGGTCCTGTGAGCTCGTGTATCATAACGGTAGAATGTTATGTACGGATGTTCCATATACCATCCATCAACTAGTGGTTTATCATTCAACTCAACATTCGCCTCCCCGATCTCTTTCCTCAGCTCTGCGACAGCTTCGTTGAACCGCTCCCTTGTAATATCTGGGGGCAAAACTGGCAGCTCTTCGCCTTGCTTGCGCGGAGCGACGCGCGGGAGAGAACGTCCGGCATAGATCTTCTCTCGCGTCTGATTGCCGATGTCAGCCAAACGCGCGGGGATTCCCGAGTACTTCTCAGGCCAGGAGGGAGGAGGCTGAACCAGGAGAGAAGATATGTCGGTCATCGTTATTGTCGGTCGTCAGTGAGAGCAAATGCTTCAGCCAGCAGATGAAGATCAAAGGGCAAGTTAAGATAACAAGAAGCGCACTGACCAAGTGATGGTGTGAATTCTAAGGAAGGCAACACACAGGTTATTATATGTAACCCTCATAGCGCAGTTGGCGGAAAGTTTACTCGAGAAGGTCGCCTGTCGCCCAAGGGCAGCGTTCACGAGACTCCTGTCCATGGTGGGAGTGTGGGGAAGAGGCCCTGATATCCGGCCCTTCATTCATCCGCGGACATTCATTACCCCGCAATCACCGCGGAGCTGCAGAAAAGCTAGGCACTAAGTAATGTTCCCGGATTATCTTTCTCCGCTGAAGCAACAACGACAAACCATCAGGCGGGGGGGTGGGGGTCATTTCGACATTAAACCATTCATTGACAACTAACAGGTGTACAGAGCGATCGTGTGGTCCATTCATACAGTAGCAGCTACCATCTGGAGCTAGCGAGTCAGTTGCGGCATCATAGCAAGAAATAAAACGCTATACAGCAGCATAGGCACGAGTAGGCAGAGTGAGATAGAGATATGCAGCAGGATGCGTTTCGTTAATAGATGAGTAAGAGAGGGGAGGCCTTCTTCAATCTGCTTTCCATCTTGCGAATCCGGACCGTCAACCCATCCGACATTGATTCTATCACTCCTCATCGTCCATCGAATCGTTCTTGACCATGCCTGGTACGCGCATCTGCAGCTCACGCTGCTTCTGCACCTCCATCTCCTTGTCTTCCCGGTATAGCTCAGCATTGTCGCCTGCAAATTCCTTAAGCGTGATCAAAAAGTCGCGCACTGCGAGCTTGAACCGCGCGCCGTCTGCGCTGAAATCCCACAGATTCTGGACGAATTGTTCAATCTGTATCGGTGACATGTGGCCGAACGCAGACTTGAGCATCGTCGTCAGCTGATTGCGAACAAACTCTTCGTTGGTCTTGGCAGGGATCTGAGAAGAGTCGAACAGTGGTGTGTGGATTTCATTAGCAATGACGAGCTGAATCAGCCGCTGCAGAACACCACATTGGCCCTTGAACCCGCTCTTGTGGTCTGAGTCGCTCAGCACTTGCAGAATGTCACCGAGAATAGTCATGTAGTAGCTCGTGAAGAACGCGTTGGAGATGTCGGCAGAAGCACCAGAAAAGTTGTTGATGGCATCAAGACAAACTAAAGGACATGTAAACAAACACCGAGACGGTAGAACAGCTGTTACATACTCGAAAGGCCGACCTCGGCAACATCTCTCTGCATATGCTTGAAGGCAAAGCCAATACTGTTGAGAACATTGTACAGGCTGCTCGGCTGTAGCTTGAGCAGACCCTCGAAGCTGTAGGCATCGATTGCCCGCAGCAGCTTGAACACGGCCAGGCGCTGTTCGGGGAAATCCGTTTCATTTTCGCTGATCATGGCGAGAGTCGGCTCGAAAATAGATTCAATAATACCTGGGATGTAGTCCACAGCACCGTTCTGAAAACCATGTCAGCTCCTGCTGGACATATTTCGGAAAATATACTCACCCCAAGACGAGACACTACGGTGTGCACAACGTTGATCACTTCGGCGTCCCTAGCAGCGGGGAGAACCTCGCGATAATCAGAGAGGACGGCCTCGAACAGTTGAGGGACAAGAGTCCGATTGACCTGGTCCAGGTCCTCAGCCTTGCGAATGAAAGTGTCGATCAAGCGCAAGACGTCCTTCTTCACCGTACGGCACGTACGGACATTCTGCATATGGACGGCTTGAGGTCCGCCTGTGGCGACCGCCTCACTGATTGCCGAGCTTGCAGCTCTGTAGACGGCCAGAAGATCGTTCCAGATGTACGTCAATTGAGTCCAGTAGAAGCTTCCGAGGGACACGCAGACAGCCACGTTCGTCTTGAGCACATTGGACAGAACCTTGGCATGCTCAGGATCAACGACAATATTGATACCTTGGCGCGCGAGCTGCATCTCCCCCGTCCACTGCGATACTAGTATCAGCAACTGTTCTCACGGTTAAACTGATATACTTACTGCCTGATTCGGGGACTCCATCATTTGACGGATCAACGCATCCTGCGTGTTTTTATTCGGCTGGGAGGCGATCATGTAACCTAATGCCTCATAGAAAGTATGCATCTGAGCCTCCTTGAGATCGTTCGTGATACGATAGATGGTGCGCAAGATTTCATCGATGAACGGCTCTGTCTCGCCTGGCTGCTGCAGGATGAAATGCCTGCGGCACTTTTGTGCGATCTTGATAAACGTGTCGCAGGCCATCTCCTGGACGCCTTCATGCATCTCGTGCATGAATTCAAACAACTTGTTGACCACCGTCTTCAAGAACTTCCAGTGTGCCTTAAGGAAGCGAGGATATTGGCCGACGATGTACATGATGTTCGACGCGACGACGGCCTTGTTGTCCTTGCCACGCTTCATTTCGCACAAGCCAAGCAAGTCCTTGATGACAGTCACCAAGAACCGTTTTTCAGTCTCCTCGTCTACAACCCATATTAGCATTGTTCTTCACGAGTCAGCGCATGCGCACCCATCGATCCAGAGATAGAGCCTATAGCCCAGCAGAGTGTATTCAGATTGTTCCACGACCACTCGCTACCATCTACCTGCTTCGCGAGCTTCTCGGTCAGGACATTCTCGGTATCCATGACGTCCAAGTGAGTGAGGTAGATGAGCACCTCTCGAATTGATTTATACAGTGCAATGGTGTCCGTCTCCTTCATGACTTCGCGGACGATTTCGCCTTCTTCGTTCTCTACGATGAGAACTTCCTCCGGCTTGACCATCTTTTCAATCATCACAAGGCGGAGCTGCGATAGGATTTGGTCGTAGAGGGCTCTGCGACCACTAATCTGGCCAATAACAGGAGGACCACCCAAGCTGAGCGCGCCGAAAGCCGCAGTGCCGTCACGAAGAGGCAGAGCAGTCATCTCGTCGTATAGTTCACTGACAAGTTTGCCCCAGTATTCCAGGCACATCTTGAAGACCTCACGTTCGTCCACCTGTGACAGCTTGATGAGATAACCATGTGCATTCGTGAGGACAGCCGCATTCTCGGGATTTTCCAACAGTCGCCCATGAGCAGTGAGGTAGCCGGTCAGGAACTGAGTGAAGTTGAAAACAAGGTCCTGCCCCGCGTCGGTAGAAGTAGAATAAGCTGCAGCAATATCTTTGGCTAGTCAGAATGTGGATCCTGTGAATCCTCAAATGGGGCTAACCGGTAGTGGGAGGTATCATTCGGTTCATAGACGACATTGTCTGAGTGAACAGATGAACGAAGTGCCGATTGTATTCGGCTGTAATGTGAAGGCCAGCGATCTCGCTCAGGCACTTCAAAGTGATATTACGGAATTCGGGAACTTCCAAAAACTACGTAGGGCCGTCAGCTGGGGCCTCAGTGTTGCTTATCACAGATGCACTTACCCGGGTGATAAGGGAATCGATGAGTTGGGTCTCGAAAATGTACCCAAGGGGTATCCAATTAAGGAAGCGAAGTAGTGTCTCTAAGGTCGCCCGGACGAGACTCCCCTTCGTCGAGCGTTGTAGCACTTCTTGGCACAACTCGAATATCTGGCCAAACTCGCCGCACATCTGTTGCTTGAGATTTCGAGTTTTTTGCTGTGTCATTTGCTCGGCAGAATAATCGAAGATCTCCTCACTGAGCAGGCGAAGAATTTGCATGTTGTTCTCGCACATGTTTAAGTTTTGTCGCGAGGACTGAACAATCATGGGGAGGAAGTCGGGCCAGTCTTTTGGCCAGTCTTGCTTGAGGATCTGCAACGGCAGTCAGCCACAAATTGGTGAAGATACACAGGCACATGCCTGGACAAGCAACAAATTGAGCTTGTGCAGATATAAACGTTCTCGGCGAAGCTTCTCCTCGGATTCTGAGGTAGCGATGATAACGGTTGTGATGAAGCTCCGAATATCTGGACGAGTCACGTCAACTGAAGAGAAATCGATACCACAGTGGCGGTACGTACCTTGTCGGTGCTCTACAGACAGTGCCTTCCAACGAGTTTGGATAAGCTTGTCGAGAATGTTGCAGCACAGATACTGTGCACGGGTTCAGCTCAAGTGCAATATCTGGGTCGAGGCAAACAGGCAAACCTGGGCATGTTGGTTTGTGGTTGTTGAGAGAATGTACGGTACACGCTGCCAAGCGCTGGGGTGCTCCTGGAAGAGAGTCAGCACTCTCTGTGCTTCAGCTTGCTGTTGACACAACAAATATCAGTATATGCTCGTGATGAACACCAGATATGCACGTGCCTCAGCACCAGAGCCGTTGAAGAGTGCATAGATGACCCGATCGAATAGGTTGACGTCAAACTCGTGTTCAAAATCGAGAATGCCCTATGTGCGGAGGTTAAACACGAGAAATATGCACGGTGTAGATGGCACTCACGTCCATGTCGATCGACTTTTTATGTGAATAAGAGGGCGATTAGGAGAAAGAACTTGGGAACTGCATTACTCAGCTCGCCACTCCGCGTGCGGCGTTGATACACTTACAGACAGATGTAGATTGCACTGGAAAGCACGTAGATGCACACTAACGTGCCCGAGCCTTGGCTCTATGCGTTGGCCACTGTCGTTTAGTAGCGGATGAAGGAGGTGTGCAGCTGGCTGATGGTGGAAGCGAGGATAGAAGGCAGAGGAGTGGTGAACGCCAGATGCGCGTGACGCCCTTAGTCGTAGCGCGCGGAGTCAATTCAGACTTGATTATCTAAAGCGCCCTATATTTTGACTCCGACCTGCACGTTCTTTGTGGGTTCTCCTTGCGACTCATACTCTGACGAGCTCGAGTTTGAGGAAGCACTCATATCCTAGAAACAATTATACCTGTACTTCGAAAATTCGTGTTATTTATCTTCTTTACTCAGGATTCATACACGGTTCAATCATGCCATAACACCCCAAAGTCCGAGCGCTCAAGGGAGTGAAGAGATCAGGGTTGGTGTCAGAACGACTTAACCCAGTCAACACTCCTCTGGTAGACATCCTGTGCTGGCTATAAGCAGAAATAATGACAGAGCCAGCAGATTTATGTACCTTGTAAGCAGCAAGAGGACCTTCGGCTTTGAGCTAGAAGTGGATTGTGAGCGCTTCTGTCCCGAATATGCATCGGTACGGGAGACACCTACATCAGCGCGTGTCGCGGCAAAACCGTGGATCTGGTCGGCATAAGTCTTCTCGATACAATTATTGCCGAAAGGTTTCGCCTTGAGCTTCTCATTGATCGTAGCCATCAGCTGGACATTCTCGTCTCCGGATGGGAAGTTGGCGACAGGAACAAGGCAGTTGTCTGCATCCTCTGCGGCCAGCATACTGCATCCCTGTTAGATCATATTCAATCACAATCGAATGATGACATACGATGGATGGCACATGATAATGCCATTGATACGATCCTTCGCAGCACTCAGGATTGTCACCTTTGCGCCCCAGCAATACCCGATTTCGAAAATCTTCTCGATGCCCTTGCTCTTCAGTTCAGCGACGATCTTGCTAATCTTCTCCAGAGCAGTAGGGGGAGACCCGACCGTGGAGAAAAATGTCCTACCGAGAAATCAGCAGGTACCCAATACGACCACAGAAACCACCAACTGGATTGTCTGCTGCCTGAACAGAGAATCAGTCCGGGGCTCAGAATCAGGAGATGACGATACACACTTCTCTGGGCTTTGGGGAGGGGAGAAGAGATCGGAAGCCGCGGGTTTGCCTTCGAATACATCAGGGAGAATGACATAGGCACCGCTTGTGGACAGAATATCGGCAGCTGTGGAACACTTGAGCCAATGTCTGCCCAAGCAAGCCAAATGGCGCACCCTGAACTGTCTGAGCGGAGAAACCGAATACATCCATCACCGAAACTTGGGCGGAATTAGCCTGTAAGCTAGACATACTCCAAGGTAGTGCGTACTGATCACGGTCTTCGAGTTCTTATCGCCAATAGTGTAGGATTTGAAGCCAGCAACATCGACGTATTCGCCCTTGGGAGTATACTCAGCCTCAGCAGGCGGCAGGGAGCAGCAAGCTTGAAAACCAGTCAATCTCGTGAGCGGGTAGCGTGAGTAGAAGCATACCCTTGTTATCGTTCACGATTGTGGTCATGGTGGAATGGAATCGATAGGATGGTGGGATTGGGTATGGTTCAACATGGTTTCGAGCTCGGCCCGCCTTTATGTAGGTGGAAACCCTGGGGGATGACGTGAACGCCGCGTAGGGAGGCCTCTCCGATCGATATGGTCGGTGTGCATTTCTCAGGGCCGATGCGACGGGTGTGGGTACAATCCTTCTGGACATTAATATCTAATCAAGGCAGTGGGTATGGCGTGTTTGAGCAGCTCCTTCATCCTTCCACATACACATGTCGGCGATAAGGGCCCATGACAAACCGACAATACAGAGAATCTCGACACATGCCATAGCCGGTTGTTCAGTCACCACGTATGTACTGAATCTCAGAGGCGAAATAAATCCTACGAGGCAATGGGCCTAGGGACTGCGCAAAACTCTGGTCACCCTTGCCCGGGTCGTGCAGAAACGTGCGTATTGGACATCATTGACCATCGGCCAGGGATGCAACTTCTTTTTCGCCTATGTGTTTCTTTGCTGCTCGCTCCATGTCTTCTCCACCATCCGCACCACGCTGCCTTTTCCTGGCGTTCTCTTTGACTGCGTGTCTCTTCTCTTTCTTCCATTCGTCTTCAAGATGTTCCTTCAAACGTGGCATTCGTTTGAATGACTCATCGCACTTGAAGCACGAAAGATCGGTCTTAAGTAGTGGTTCGTACTTGGCGCTGTTTATGTTCAGTCGCTGAAGCCTAGTGAGTTTTCATGGAACGAGGGCATCAACCACTTACACTGTCTGATGCGCCTTCTGTCAGCCAGGACAGCACATCGCTTAGATGTATGAAGAACCCGAGTTTTGGGGAGAAGGAGTTGTAGTGTTTCTTGTTCTTCAAAGCCGAGCTAAGCAAATCGGACGAGACCACATGCAGGTGGATGTGCCTATCGAGCACTTTTAGATTGATGCATCGCCTAGACAACTAAATGCCTACTCCATAGATGGAACTGCATGGAATCCAATGTTGACTGTCCACTGAAATCCGTGTTTCTTTTGCATATCCTCCAAAATGTCAGTCTTGGCAACTTCGGCTTCTTTGCCAAGAACTTGGAGGACGTGAAGAGCTTCCTCCTTATCCCCGGAAAGAAGGCATTTCAGACTCGATATCTGAGAGGGATTCGATACTAGTGATGAAGGCAGGCGTGGAAGGATGAGGTAATGATACATCGCCTTTCTATACGCGTCCCGGATAGTGATGGTGTCGTCCATGAAACGCAGAAGAACGTCTTTTGAAATTGTATCTGGCGCAGTCCGGGCATAGATCTCTAGTGCTTTGGCCCATGACATGGAGTAATACTGAGATAGTGAGCACAATTATAGAGAATAGAGAGGAGATGATCGTCACCCTTGCAAAACAGAGGAGGGAGATGATGGTAGGGGAGTGAGTCACGTGTTGAGTCACAGATAGACCCTCACCCTGAGGAGACGCGCCTGATTTCTAGTCGGACAATTCGCACGCGCTTCTCACCCTGCTACAACCACCTATGTATTTGGCGGAGGCAGTACTGTGCCGCTATATCTGATGAGAATTCTATGTGTAGCAGAGAAGCCGTCAATTGCTCGTGCTATCAGTCAAATTTTGTCAGGAGGGCAATCAACGACGGTAAGTGCTTGCTTCATATATGCACTCTGACCGAGACTGAATCTGGGTCATAGCGGGACAGCCCTAACCGTTTTACCAAGAACTATGATTTCTACTATGATGAACTACGGGCTGAGATTACCGTCACCTCTGTTGCTGGTCATCTTATGGAATCTGACTTCTCCGACGACTACCGGCGCTGGGAGTCTTGCGATCCGGCGGACCTGTTCGATGCGCCAATCATAACGGCTGTTCGAAAAGTACGCGACTAGGCTAAATCTCTTTCAACCCGTACTGAGTGGGTGACAGGATGGTGGACCTATCGCCCGTAATTTGGAGATTGAAGCGCGAGGGAAGAATATGCTCATGATATGGACGGATTGTGATCGAGAAGGGGAGCACATTGGCAGTGAGGTGGCGAGTGTATGCCGCAAAACGAATGCACGAATAGAAGTCAAGAGAGCACGCTTCAATGCCATTATTCCTCAGTAAGCATATCGTCGTCATTCACTGCATAGCTGGCAGCCTGACGAAGTACAGGCAGATACACCACGCGGCTAGACATCCCGTTGAGCTGGATCGCCGACAATCTGACGCGGTGGAAGCACGCATACAACTGGACCTGCGCCTTGGCGCCGCGTTCACCCGAATGCAAACCAAGATGCTACAGAATCAAGTACCCGATCTCCAGCGCAAGATGATATCATACGGCAAGTTGGTCAATCTCGCCGCTACTTTCTGTTGATCTGCTTTGTTCACAGGCCCATGCCAATTCCCAACCCTGGGATTCGTCGTATCCCGTTATCAACAAGTACAGGCATTTGTACCTGAAACCTTTTGGTATATCTACCTGTCGATCATGGTAGACGGAGAAGAGACCGACTTCACATGGCGTAGAGGACATCTGTTCGACTTTCCTGCCACTCTTGCCCTCTATGAGCTGTGTGTTGAGAGTCCGGAAGCAACCATCGCGCAAGTTACCAAGAAGCCCACGAAGAAATGGTTGGCTGCACGCTACTTCACTAACAGGAAGGGGCAGCTGACAGCACATATCATACAGGAGGCCACTTCCTCTGACAACCGTAGAGTTGCAGAAGTCAGCGTCTCGCTTGCTCAGGCTGACTCCCAAGAGGATTCTTGATGTATGTATTAGTTCATTGAAAGATGTATTTCTCATGTTATTCCAGATTGCCGATGACCTGTATTCGAAAGGCTTTTTGTCGTATCCCCGGACAGAAACCGACCAATTCGACCCTGACTTCGATTTCATGACGCTGATACAGAAGCAAACCACTGATCCCGCTTGGGGACAGTTTGCCCAAAGGTGATGTCTATGATTATTGGTCGAACAGCACAATTGATATCTGTCAGTCTTGCAAATGGTGGTTTTAATGCCCCTCGTAAAGGAAAGAAAAACGATAAGGCACATCCCCCGATTCATCCTACAGCCCATGTAACCAACCTGGTGGGCGATGATAAACGAGTGTACGAGTATGTCACGCGCCGCTTCCTTGCTTCGTGTTCCAAAGACGCGGAAGGTCAGCAAACCACTGTCACTGTTATCGTAGCAGGAGAAGAGTTCAATGCTACCGGTCAGAAGGGCCATATCTTTGGATGACACATTATTGACGTGTTACAAGGACTCACGATCACTCAGAGGAACTACCTTGAAGTGTTTACCTACGACAAATGGTCCGACAAACAGTTGCCCGATTTTGAGCAAGGGCAACACTTCATACCCGTTGTGTGCGAAATGCGGGAGGGACAAACGAGCCGTCCATCTCTACTCACTGAAGCAGATCTAGTAGGTTTGATGGACGAGAACGGCATTGGTAATGCAGAACCTGTCACTCGCTGAGTAGCCGTACTAATCGTCCGTAGGCACGGATGCTACAATCGCTCAGCATATCCAAACAATCATTGATCGCGAATATGTCATGACGCGGCAGGAGGATTCTATGAAATACCTTGTCCCCAGCACGCTAGGCATCGGTCTGGTAGAAGGATACAACAAAATAGGCTTTGATCGTTCCTTGAGCAAACCCCAACTTCGACGAGAGGCTTGTACGGGCCCTTATGCTTTGATTCCAGCTGACGCGGTGTACAGACAGAGCAAAGGATGGTCGATATATGTGAAGGTCGAAGCACAAAGAATGACATGCTCTTCCAGTTCATCGAACAGTATCGGGAAGTCTTCCTGCGAGCGCGTGCTGCATTTCGGCAGGTGGTCGAGGTAAGCAGTCTGAATGCTATATCGAGTCACATCTGGACATTGATTATGACCGAACAGAGCGTTCGCGATTATCTTAACGGTGACGGAAATGTAACCGAAGGTGGAGCAAGCAGTGACGGCGATGATAATGACGATTTCGGGGGTGAAAATGGCGGTCGCCCACCGAGAGGAACCCGAGCTCCCGCACGAGGAGGGAACAGGGGTGCCGGCACAAGGGGGAGAGCGCGTGGCACTACCGCACCTCGAACACGAGGTCAACCTCGAGGCAAAGGACCTTCGACCAAGCGACGACAAGATGATGATTCAGATGATGGTAAGTCACCGGAACTTCGGGTAAATTATCTTTGTCTTACCGAATTGGCATTCCGCAGAGAACAGCCGACCGCCGCGGGGCGCGGGCGCTACAGCGGTGTCTTGTCGCTGCGACGTCCCAGCTGTTGAGAGAACAGTCGTAAAAGAAACAAGCAACAAAGGGCGCAAGTTTTGGACATGCCCTAATGACCCGTCATGCGGGTTCTTCGAATGGGCAGACCAGGCATCTGGCGGCAGTGCATCAAAAACCGGGGCTTCCAGCAGGACCATCCCAGCAAAACGGACACATACGGTCTGTCTTTGATCAGGGATCCCTGGTCATTGCTTATCGGATGTGAACAGGCTCGTCAAGGATCGCAAGGAACACTGGTTGGCTCAGATGCTCGAAGATGCAAATGTGACCTCACTGCTGTATCCCGTACTGTGGTAAAAGAAGGGCCCAACCGAGGACGAATTTTCTGGACTTGTCCCAATTCGGAAAACGCTCGTTGTACTTTCTTTGAGTGGGATGACGAACAGAAAGAAATGTCCGGCCCTGGTACGGAGCTGCGAACGTCTGCCCCAATTCGGAATCGATCAGAAAATACCGCCTCGCGGGGAGATGAGGAGTGTTTCAAATGCGGGCAAGTCGGTCATTGGGTTTCGGGTAAAGCCGGCGTTCTTCTCCCCTCTAATACCCATCACTGATACTTGTTTCCATTCAGAATGTCCTAACGGTGACCAACCAACCAAACGGAGCCGCACAGCGGGTACAGGGACCACGCGCTCGAGTGGGCGGGCGGGAGGCCGAGGTCGTGCAAAATCAACCAGAGGAGGCACCTCACGCGGTAGCAAAAGAGGCAAGCAATGGTATGAGTAGAGGCAGTATTCTGTTTCCGACTTTCCATGTTGTACTAGTAAGCATTTCTACTCCGGGAAACTCCGTAGTAAATCCAACATTCTCATCGGCACATCGCGCCATCCTTTCGGCCGAGGGTGTTCTCGCCAGCTGTGACCGGGGCGATCTCTAGTAAGGTCAGATTCCATTTCACAAGGCACACGAAGTGGCCAGCTATAAGTGTCACACGGTAGGATCGATGTCTGAACTCGGTGATTTTCACCCAGTTGTAGATTTACGTGGCAGGTAGGCGCAGCTTCTGGTCTGGGCAGATTGGACCAGTGAGAGGAGAAGCTGAACAAATGGAGGACATCGCCAAGATCGGATAACGGGATGTTGCCATGATGAGCGTTTGATCTGATGATATCGACGTCGTTAGCAGAAACGAGTGAGTGGCGCTGTTGGGATTTCGGGCGCATATACTTGGCCTCGTATTGCGGTGTCCGTCAGCCGCCGCCTCACCGCTCCTTTCTTCCTCGTCGACACGAGGCCGCTGCATACACACACCCGGCGTCGTCCTGCAGGCCACAGGTCATCGCATCATCACACTCACGCTCTCTTGTATGCGTGTGTGTGGGTAACGCATTTTAGGCACCCTTTACTGGCTATAAGTACTTGCTGTTGTCCGCGTCAACCCTCGGGAGACTGCTTTGTCCCTCTCTGTTCCCATCTCTCTGGTCTATAGAGGGTCAAGATACCGCTCTGTTTATGCCGGTCCGCTCTTTGACTGCCTGTCTTTACTCATTCACTTGCTCCTGAGTTCCTCACTGCTGCGATACCCTCATGTTCACGTCTTCTCCCTATTCTCCGTCCTTGCTACGGTCGCCCTTCGCACCCGTCGACGACACGTCTCCGATTCCATCGCCCAGGTTCATGTCGGTTCCCCTTGAAACGGAAGAGGACAGTGATGCGGAACCGGACCGTGTGTTGGTTGGGCGCTTTCCACTGTCGTCCCCGCTGAGGTCTTCCAATGTGTCGAGGATTAGCCATTGGACAACGGAAGATAGTGACCCGATGGCGCGAGTGCCGATGTCGGCGACCACGACGTTCAGTGAGGTACGTTGATATGTGTGCGCATATGATTAGAATTACTCACCCACAGGATGTAAGGAGGAGGGGCCGTTTACTCCGAGGATTGAAAGGAACGATGCAATGATTGATCTGGCTCGCAAGCTGAACATGCTCGATCTGGCGGCGAAGGAGGCACAGGAGGTCGCAGCTAACTCGCCTCGCCATACCCCACATCATAAATACGCTCCTCTTGTACCACCTGATATCCTCTCCACACCATCGACTACGACAATCATACCCCACATATTGATCGAGCTTGAACGACGGCCGATGGATTGGGAATATACCCCTTCGCCCTCTGCGCACAGTCGCAGCCAATCCAGATCGAGTTTCCGACGTTCGCACCCACCAACTCCCCAACCCGTATCGCCTCCGCCACTTCCACGAAATGTTTACGGTCGTACTTCGGTCATGTCATCCGCGATTGTTCCGAGAAAGAAGAAGACGAAGAAGGCCAAGAAGCCAAAGGGACCCACCAAGAAACCAGGTGTCGTTGAGTATGCGGAGCAGCCCATCAAGGGCATATCAGTGGACACCTATGATGAAGCGGTGAACAGTATCACCTGGTACATTACATCACCTTATTACAGCTGAATATGTTTAGCTTATCTTATGCTAAAGGCTCATGTCCCACCCCAAATCAGTCGAGGACATCTTGAGCTCTCCGAAAGGAAAACTGCTATTCTGTCAGGCCCTGCTGGTGGAGTTTGGCGTTTGTCCGGACTTGCACCCTCTCCCCACGTCACACGGTGCCGCGCGGAGTCTGCTGCAAAAGATGGTTCACATTAATATTGCCGACTATATTGAATGTCGAGGTCGTGGCAAGGAAGCACTGCGGTCGAGGATGCTGGCCAGCAACAGTGCCTTGCGGCGGGACCTCATGTCCAAGAAGAGGCGGGTGCCGTTAGGAGAAGTCAAGAGGAGGGGCTTGAGGATGCTCCTCGCCAACAACTGCTGGCAGTGATGTTGGAGTTACCCTCCTCTTATGGTCATGATTTCCGGTTATGCCCGTGATGATGTTGATGTACTACTGACATGCTGCATATCATAACGCTGCCATTCAGAGCTAAATATGTACGATAGTTTCGAGAACCTAGTCACTGACCAACTTTTCGCTTCATGACTAATTGTACAACTTGTAACGAAATTAATACATAGAGTGTCACCACTGCTCAACTGTGCATTGTCTGGCTGCCCCCAGCAAATAGCCCGAAGTCTACAATCTGGAAGGATTGTACTGCCGTCATAAACACGATCCTCCAGAATTCCCACTTGCGCTCCACGTCCGGTACTGGACCAGTTGCCTCTAGCTTGACGGGAAAGTTCATCGACATAACCACATCTGCATTCTTTGCCGGTATGCGGAATAGTGCGAGGACGATGCGCACTTCATCCGGTTCGGGGCGGTTGAACTTTCGCACGAACTGCCTGCCGGTAAGAAGTGTTGGGACGGGCTGGTTGGGAGGACACGGTGGAGGAGAGAGATCCACGGGTGGCACGACCTCGTCTATTCGCTTGCCTTCCGCGTCGTTGTCGTGTGCCAGGGAATCAAAGTGGAAACTGCCTCGCGTTAGCTTGGGATCCTTGAGAAGTAAGAAGGCAAGGGACGTACGTCGCTGCGTCACCGAAGCTGGGCGTGTTGACCAACTCTAGTATTTCAATGACGAAGCTCACATCTGATTCTTTATCAAGAAAGACTTCCTGCGTGTCAGGGATCTGGCGAAAGTCGCTGGAGAAGAGAAGGCCAGAAGGCCATACACCATCAGTTTGTTCTGGGCTGGGGGCAAGTTGACAGGGACATACGACGCGTCGATGAGCTCGTCTGGGAGGTTGACGGTGATGGCACCGCCGAACAGTTCGCGCATATGGCTCATGATGGTCGTCTACAATACAGAGTGTTACAGCAGAGCGTACAGATAGTCCTTGCTATGTAGTCATCGTCATCGTGGGGTTGGGGCCTGCGCCTTCTGCCGCCTGAACGCTCACAGCCACGCAGCGACCACGCAAAGGGTAACGTGAACGTCGTCAAGTGCGATTTAGAAAAGGTCGTCGTCCCAGTAGCCTACCTCTTTCTTTTTCTCTATCTTGCATACTAAACTGGACGATGGCGAATACAACAGTAAACACCTTCCCAAGGGAGTTCACCACTCTCATCAAGCGGTCAGCCTACTTTATTGTGCCTGCCGACAAACTGACGCGTTGCGTGCATGCAGATTGGAGGCCGCAACCTCGAGGCTCGAGGACCTAGCAGAGGCTCGTAGTGTCCCTCTCGCCTCAGCGGCTACAGTATTGGCAGCACCTTCTGCAGCACCAGCACCTCCTCCTCCCCCAGCCCCACCGAAACTGGACGCACCGAAGCCTATTGCTGCCTTCGACGAGCTCATCCTCGACGGCAAGCTGCCCCCATTCCTCAAGGTGAGCGAAGAACTCGGGGATGGGGTTTGGGCTGTCGTACGTCTCTTTTCCCGCGGCATTTTACACTTGCTAATGCAGAACAGGCACAAGCGTTCGGCTCTCTGCTGGAGGACAACCGCGATTTGATCGTTCTCGCTGCATATAACAAGAAACCCGCGGGGAACAAGTTGAACGACGTGTTCACACCTCTCAGTAACGGCATGATGGCCGCTAAGAAGATTGCAGGTGAATCCAAGGGAAAGCCTCTACTGGATCATGTGCTTGGTGTGGATCAGGGGATTGACGTTTTTGCCTGGGTGACTTATGTGCGTTACCTCTCTTCCACTGCGGAGAAGACCCCTCACCTTACGTGTGGGACAGGATTCCAAGCCGGCTCCTTATGTTGCCGAGATACGGGACTCGACACAGTTCTACACCAACCGTGTGCTAAAGAACTTCAAGGACAAGTGAGCGCACGACTGTCTATTGTGTGGACCGTGCACTAAGACCTCTTGCAGAGAGCCGATCCACAAGGAGTGGGTAAAGGCTTTCTCCGAGCTGCTTGAGGAACTGCGCAAATATGTGCAGGAATACCATACCACCGGTCTTGCCTGGAACATCAAGGTGATTCTTCCTTCCTTGATGCTAATTGTCCAACATCTGACATTCACGGGTCGTAGGGTGGCGACTACGCTACATTCACACCACCGCCTGAAGCAATGCGCGCCTCGGCTGGGGCAGTTGGCTCCGTACCTCCTCCTCCGCCCCCACCACCCGGAGGGATGCCTCCTCCCCCACCTCCCCCTCCGCCAGGTACACTTGCCAGCACCTCCCCTCCCGCTGCAGCCAAGCCGGCCGCCGCCGACCCAGGTGCGGTCTTCGCCCAGCTCAACGTTGGTGAATCAGTCACCAAAGGACTGAAGAAGGTCACCGCCGATCAGCAGACGCACAAGAACCCATCCCTTCGTGGGGGTGGGACGGTCCCCGATAAGGCTGCCCCTGCCCCTGCAGCCCCAGCGCACGGAAGGCCGGCGAAGCCTACCAAGCCGAGGACACTGGCGGCGAAGAAGCCTGCGAAGATGGAGCTGGAAGGAAAGAAGTGGATCATCGTATGTTCTTTGATTTCGTGCCGACCGTGCGGAGGACTGATGGGGATACAGGAATATCAGGAGAATGAGAACTCGCTGGTCATCGAGAATGGAGAGATGGGACAGGTAATCAATCTCTTCGCGTGCAAGAACTCCGTCCTCCAAATCAAAGGCAAGGTGAATGCTATCACCATGGGTGCGCCTTTTCTTCCCACTTCCCCATCCGTTAGCTAAGACGATTATGTCCAGTTAACTGCGAAAAGACCTCCATCTTATGTGAATCCGTCGTCGCCTCGGTCGGGATCACCTCGTCCAAGTCGTTCGCCCTTCAGATCACCGGCACAGCCCCGACGATCATGCTCGACTCTGTAGACAGCGGGCAGATCTACCTGTCCAAAGACTGCCTAGGCGTGGAGATCGTCAGTGCCAAATGCAGCGCGATCAACGTGAGCATCCCCGAGGAGGGAGCAGAGGAGGGCGTGTTTAAGGAGCTGGCGATGCCTGAGCAATTGAGAACGACGGTGAGCGGTGGTAGGCTGGTCACGACCGTCGTGGAGCATGTGGGCTAGAACGGAGTTGTTTACACCTGTTGCGTATAATTCCCCTACTTTATTTTGATAACCTTGGTCAATCCTTCCAACTCCATATTGATTTCGTATGATCACATCTCACCTAACCAGATGTATTTGCTCGCCTTTCAGATTACAGACTGTCGGAGAGTTTGCTTGCCCTTGGAATGAGCACTGATCCCAAGTAAAGCAAAAACAATCTCGAACCTGATTAAGGACCGGATTTTGGTTGTACCGTCCGTTGCTAGGCAGATTTATGTTGACAAAGCCGGTCATCCGCATCCGCCAAAGATGCATTCCCGGACGGACGTTTTTTGACATCAGTGAATGAGAGAAAAGAAGAGTCATCACCCTTCACACGCTGCGGAAATGCGCATTTCACCCCTGGGTTATGCGCCCGTTTCTGCGCAGGCGGCTGCGATTATTATTCCATACAGCAATTCTAGTTTATTTACGTGGAAATACAGGGGGGAAGAAGTGCTGCGAGTGTATTGCTTTGATGGCTTCAAATAACAAATTGTGGTTAAACTATTTCATCATTTGTGCGTCACATCCATCAGTGAACGAACGCCTGTGCCCGACTTACTCGGGCAGTGCATATCAACTGCCCCGCGGTCCTTATCCTCGACTCATCCTCTTCCCTTACCACCACCACCTCCCCCTCTCTCCCACATCCATTCCCAACAATGCTGCTCCCCGACAACAAATCCGCAACATCCATCCCGCCTCCTCCGTACTCCCCCACCGCCGTACCTGGCGCAGCACCTGCAATGTCCGCTCCTCCCCTCCCAGGTCAAAATCACATCCATATCCGGAGGGACAACATCCCTATCCACGGCTCGTTCCTCATCGACCTCTCTATACCTGGAGGGCAGGGGAAGAACCTCAGCCTGGAGAGCCACAACGGCCTTATTGACGCCAACGTATGGATCAAGGGGGAGGCGAAAAGGTGTGAGCTTGAGGCTATCAGCCACAATGGCGTTGTCCGGCTAGGAGTGGTTAGTCCTGCGCAGTTGCGCAAGGTATACGCTGACTGCGCTACTTAGGTGGAGCGCGAATCCCCCGTGCCTGTCAACATCCTCGCCAAGACGCACAACGGCACCGTCCACTGTCTCATCCCACTTGACTTCGAAGGACCCCTTACCATCGTGCATCAAAACGGCGCGGTTGCTCTCCTCCCCTCGCTAGCAGAGCATGCTGCGCTCATCTCTGACGAAGGGGGCGTCCGCAAGTACTGGGTCGGGGATGCGTACGACGAGGACGAGGCGAAGGACTGGATGGGTGATGTTGCGTACTGCGAGAGCACGAATGGTACCGTCACTGTCGGGTACTGGGAAGCAGCAGCCGAGAAGGAAGAGCAGGAGGAAAAGCATGAGCCCCAATTGGGGTGCGGTTTGTGGAGGTTCATCTGCCCTTGGGGATCATATTGGGTTATGGATGAATGAGTTGATGTGCATGGACGTTCTTGACCCTTGTTCAATCTTGATACTGTAATTTTTCCCCTTGTAGAACCTCGTCTTGCATTGTTACTTAGTTTGCTGGTTGTACAAAATGCCAATCCGGTATATTGGTGATACACTGTCACATCCACAGATCCAACGACATGGCTGTCTATAGCAAAAGAGAGAAATCAGATGAGCGTTGGCTGCTCTCCTGCAAGACACTTCTCCACCACTTCTAGGAGCGCAGTGTTCTCCAGCGCAGCTGCCACACGCTCCTTATCGTTCAGTTGCTTATTCACTACTCTAGAATCAGCTCTCTTCACAGGACGAAGGCGACAACCGACTCACGAGCATTCTCACTCTGATGCGACCCCTTCCTCACCCTGATATCAACCTTCATCCTCTCCGGTAGCGCTCTCAACAACCTCACCCTCAGTGCCAGCCCAATGATAGTCGACATCCCACAATGCGGTACCGTGGGTGTAAACTCTACCAGAACATTCGTTGCCGCCCCCGGGGAGGGAGGGTTAGGAGGGCGGATAAAGATATGCGAAGGGTTGACGACTTGCAACTGCTCGAGCGTGAGCGGGTGCTCGGGGTCGTATATCCCTCTGAGCAGTTCTATGCTCCCTCAGCATCGTTCCAGCTGGAATCAGAATGGACATACCAAAAATCTCGATATTGTCGATCTCCTCCCCCTCTTCTGAATCTTCGTCGCTCTCTTCCCTCGAGCCTGCTAATCCGGACAAAGGCCCCTTGGAGTCCGGGTCATCAGACCATAGGTAGCGGGTTTCGTGTCTGATTGGTTTTGTGCGCGCGGTGTTGACGGAAGCGGCGATGATTGGGTTGGCGTTGTATATCTCTGTTATGGATGCCATCTTGCAGGTGGAAAGAGGAGAGGGAGATGAAGGTGTGAGGGGAAATTGTCAGCGCCTGCTGTATTTGGAGCGGTCCGATTTGGTGATCGCTTCCGAAGCTATTTAATCCGTGTGGGTTGAATAAGCAGCGTGTGACAGCACGTCATTTCCCAGGGTTCTCTTCTAGATATTCCTTTTATAATTACCCTGTGTGATAACGTAGAAGCAAATGTGTACTTATACTTGTAACTGTGAAGCCATAATAAAATAATCAATTTTAATAGTAGCGGAATTTCACAGAGTTCATAAGCATCCATATTCCTACTTCTTTTTTGTGCCAGTCACACAGACCCTGTGACACCGTTACGGTCACGGAAAATCGTCACCACAAACTCACACCGCCCTCGTCACTCTCTTCTTTGCTTTTCACCCCGAATCACTGCAACGTGTCCCTTCGCCAGCATCGTATAAGCACTTCTCTGCTGTACGGCTATGGCACCCAAGGTGAGCCTCTCCAGATGCCCTCCTTCTGGCAGAAACTGACCAGTCTCGGGCAGCGGAAGCGTGACGCTGATTCTGCTACGCCTGTGGAGGCTAAGAACGGGAAGACGACGCGTTCCTCGGCCGGCAAAACCCATGTCGATTCTGCTCAGCCTCGTACAAATAAGAGACGAAAGGGAAGGGAACCGTCTGTGGATGCGCGAGCGGGGACGAGGGAGACAGCGATTTCGCTCGGAAGCAGTGAGGGGGAGCAGGTACAAAAGAAGAGCAAGAGCAAGAAGTCGCATATGCAGGCGGTTGAAGCTGAAGACGAGCAGATGGTGGAGCAGAAATCGAAAGCGAAGTTAGTGAAGAACGGGAGGAAGCGTGCGCCTGTGGAAGAGGATGTCGAGATGGTCGACGCAGCTGAAGACTCTCCTAAAGAGGTCCGCATTCCCCGCTTCATACTACGTCCTACTCAGTGCTCAACGAATCCCAGGAAATTTATTCCCCCTTTACTGCCGCTCGACTTGACTCCCTCTACGCGACCTATGCTGATCCCGACACCCCTTCGCAGATTGGCACTGCCGGTCTCCTTCAGCTGTGCGAGGACGCAGAGCTACCGATGGACGCTGTAGGCCCGGTACTGCTGGCTTGGCAGCTAGGAGCGGCAAGGATGGGAGTCTTTGAGACGGATGAGTTTATGAATGGCTTGGGAGTGCTCAGGTACGTTACACTCAAAAACGTGCTTCTGCACTGGTTTGCTGAGAGAGGGAGCAGGTGTGATACCCCAGCAAAGATCAAGGTCGCTGTGCAAGATCTTGAAGCTCTGCTCTATGGTCACTCATCCCGTCGTCCCCTACTAGTGTCAGAAGTGTACAACCACGCACCCTTCAGTGCCTACGCGCTAAATGCTCAATCGGCGCGGAAGAAACTGCACACATTCCTGTTCGGCTTTGCTAAAGGGTGCGTGCCGTTCCTCTAGTGTCGATAGACGTATACGCTACCAGTTGCTGATACGAGGGACAGAGACCAGCGCGTGGTAGAGATCGAAACTGCCCTGGCACTGCTTAACATCACCCTCGCGCGCACGTTTCCCCTCGCAAAGGAAATTTGCACGTATGTGCAGGAGAAAGCGGGACAGACGGGGTACAAGAGCTTGACGAAGGACCATTGGGCTATGGTGAACTTATTTACTATATATGCATGTGTTTGATGCTCACTACCTATAGCTATGGGACTTTTGCACGACGGTGAAAGAGGACTTGGAGGGGTATAAGGAGGAAGATGTATGCGCACTTTCTTTTTCAATCTGGCGCATACACTGAGATACCGTCCTGAAATAGGCGTGGCCGTCCCTGATAGACGAGTTTGTCATCTGGAAGAGGGGGCGAGCGACTTAATCCCGGCCTGTGCTATTGCTGGTTCTTGCAAGGACTTCATTCAGACTCGACCCTGTATGCTATCCAAGACTGTGTAATACCATGTGCAACGTGTAAACTGTGAGTACATGACGATGACGACAAGGGTACATTGCTGGGCGGGTATGCTTTTGATGATCGAGAATGAAAAAGAGAAACACGAACGAACGAAGGTAAGCATGAGAGAATATTCAATCCTGGTTAACGAGCCGCACCGCACTCCCCGGCTTCCTCCCGCTCCGCTTCTTCTTCTTCGAGCCTTTCCCTTTCGTTTCCCTCGTGATGGTCTCGGGGAGGACGTTGTACGCTCTGGTCCAGGCCTCGACTTCGGCGAGCGTCATGGAGGGGTCTTCCTCTGTCGCGTCAGGGGCCAGGAAGAGCTCCGGGAAGTCTTCCTTCGCGAAGTCGGTCGTGTCACCTTCCGCGAATAGTGGTACGCTTCCTAATCGAGGTTCAATATGCGGGGCAACGAATGTGGACGGCCCGACGGCCTGATCCAGGAGTGGATGGAGGTGCCGCCAGTTCCCCAAAGGAACCTGTACGGGCACCGGGACTTGTTCTCCTGTGGCCGACGGGCTGAGTCGGAAGACCGGATGCCTAAGCGCAAGCTCCTTGATAGCGGAGAGCAAGCAACTTCCCAAGAATAGGAATAGGAGAAAGGCGGAGACATAAGATCGGAGATGGATCTGGGTGTGCTTGTGCGGGGTGTGGGTGGGAAGGAGGGGGGAGGCCGGATGAGAGGGATAAGTTGGTGAGAGCAAAGAGCGTGCGTAGTTGGATAACATTGGCCAAAAGATGAGAACGGTTGAGTAGGAGCTTTGGTTCAGTATATAGAGTGATATTAAAGGATGTTGAGGGGGATGTCGGTCGAGTGAACGAGGGACGAACGACTTGGAGCTGGTCAGACAACTGCTGGGGAAAGAAACAGTCACGTGATTTGGTGTTGTGTCGCATCGCCTGAACCCTATACATGTGTAGGAATGGGCGCTCTTTGCCAGCGTTGACTCATGTTTTCACTTTTACGGCTTCTCACGCTTACATTCTCAGGATTATACAGGAATTATTCTGACTGTCTACAAATCTAAGGGTAGCCTGAAGACGTCTTTGGCAGTCTCTGATGCCCGATGACTCGGAACCCCATGTGACAAGTCCCGTCCCTCATACTGTGAACCTTGTCTGCCTCAGTTACATCGGCTAGCGGCGTTCACAGTATGTGTCAAGTGGGATATGTACGCTGGTTCAGAGCCTTTCCTGATTAGTCGGCGAACTTCTACGGCCTGGGGCTACTTCTAAGTGCTCTTCAGTCGCTGTCCTCCCGTCTCTCCTAACTCTCCTTCACTCCGCATTCAAGTGGCACACGATGCTCTCCCAGTCCCGTCAATCGCGTACGGGTCGCCCACGATCTCATTCCCAGCCCCAGGTGGACTGTCTCTCGCAGGGTATCGGGCTCGGGATCTCCCTGCATGACCCTGCCCCGCCGGCAGAGCTCAAAAGACGGCCTAAGCATGTACGAGGCGGTTCTACCCTGTCCACCTCTACAGGAGCCCGGTCGATCGGAAGTGCCAGGGAAAAGGATGGAAGAGGAAGTATCATTCCAAACGCAGATAGCATGACGAACATGCTCCAGCTCGCCTCGCCCTCGTCTAGCGATCTGCGAGAATCGACCGTCCGCCCCAGAGGTAGCAACCTCGAACGTCAAGGCACATTGTTGCTGCAAGACCCACGACCTGGCGAGCTAGATGTTCTCATTGGTAAAGGAGGATCCGGAAAGTTACGCCGGCGGTCACAGACAATGCCCTCTATGCCCAACCCCTGCGGACTACCTCCCGCAATATCAGACCCGACTCTGCGCCCGACTCCGATCGCCCCAGACACGAAAGGGGTCCCTCTCGAGCAAGCTAAATCCCGCGCACACGTCACCCTCGACCTCAGGCTAGAGACCTCTACCGTAGTTGAGGGTGGCTCCCTGCGCGGCCTGCTGGAGGTTTGCGTTCATTCTCCTGGTATTTGGGTGTCCGGAGGGAAGCTCAGGGTTGTGGGATTCGAGGAGCTCATATCTCCGAGTAGGAGGGAGGTGTTTTATCAGCATACATGTGGGCTTGCTGAGGCGGCTGGAAAGTACGGGGGGCTGTTTGAACAGCAAGAGGAGCAAGAGGATCAGGAGGGATATAGGAAGGCGCGGGAGGGGACTCATAGGTTGGCATTTGAGATGCGTCTACCGATTGGTGGAGGAGCCAAGGGTTGTGTGCGTACCAAGCTTGGACAGGTACGGTACATCGTCATCGGGTAAGTGTCTTCCTTCATTACTCTTATATGCGTATTTAACTCCCCCGCAGCTCTCTGAAGCTGAAATACGCCCACTCCAGCACCGGCCAACCAACGCGCAGTATTGCCCACTTCTTCCGTCCTCTTTCGCTATACCCCCTCCTTCCGCCTCTGCAGAACATCCTCGCCCCTCTTCGCGTCCCACTCTCCGCATCTATCTCTCGCCAAGTGGGACGAGGAGAACTGCGTGTCACCGCCGAGCTCGAGAAGGGTGTGTGGGTCGCCGGGGGGAAGGTCTGGGCGAGGGTGGAAATGAGCAACGGCACAGGAAGGAAAGTCCGCTCGCTCGAGCTGAGCATCATCCGCTGTGTCACCGCTTTCCGGCCGAGCTCTGGCATCAGGAAGGATCAAATGGTCTCCGACCCAAGTGACCCCGACACGGACCTGGACACCAGTTGCACCACGGCCACGTCATTCGGACAGCGTTCGACCAAAGTCGTCGCTACCTCCTTACTCGATTCTGGAGAGAAAGCTTCAGGGAAGAACCGCGCGTCCGCCAAGGGCTGGTGGGTAGGCGTCGACCCGGGCTCGGTGGAGAGCGTGTGCTTTTCCGTGACGCTGCCGGAAGACGAGCTCTCTGTGCGCCGAGGGAAGCTCCTGGAGGTCGCATACAAACTTCGAGTCTCTGTCTGTAGCTCTCCAGGTGGAGTTGCTGGGATGGTAGCGGGAGGAGGGGAGGCGGCTGTAGACCTGCCTATATGGGTCGTGTCGTTCATCTCACTCGACCCGCCTCCGGGACAGCGGGTGGTCAGCAGCCTTCCCCCGAGCTTGCCACCAAGTGGAGAACCTACTCCCGAGCTCCTTGAGCTCGGGCTACGCGCAAGCCTAGGAATGGGGCTCGCCCAGAGTTTGGCCATTGACCTTGGTGCGCTTGGGTTTGCTTCTGAGGAAAAGTACGACGCGGACATGAGTCAGGCGGAAAGGGAAAGGGCAACGGAGCAGAAGATGATGGACCTGATGCGGTCACATGCGGCACTTAGTGTGTCGGAGAGTGAGGCTAGGCGGGCGGAGTCAGTCTTGGGGAGTGAAGGGGTACGGAATGCTTGTTGGCGGTCGAGCATGATGGAGAACTTCCAGGAGGGAGGGGAACGGCGCATGAGAGCAAGTGTGATTTTGGATGGTGAGGAGGGCCCGGTTACTGGGGTGACTGGAAGGGCGGAAAATCTGCCAGAGGACATGCTCCACAGTGTAACCCGTCCGGAGCTGGATGTTCGAGGACGATATGAAGTAGGCCATGTGCAGCTGCCTGAAGAGTACATGGTCATTGGCGACCTCGACTGGCATGAGCAAGTGCGACTTTCTACCATCAACTCTCTCCATCGTAAGCAGCGTCAACACCCCCAGGCGACGTCACAAGGAAGGGAAGCGCGGACGCCTGCGTCGACGAAGGTGTCCTCCCTTTCTCCGCTGCAAGACTTCCCCTCCCCACCGGCGTTGGACGCTAGACAGAGGGCATCCCTGGAGCTCGCTAGGAGCATAAATGCTGTCCAGTCGGGCCTTCCTGCCAGGCAGGATAGTAGCTCCTCCCAAGACTCCGAGAGCGGTGCTTCCTCTTCCTCGTCACGGATGCTTGAGAGGAAGGGCAGCTCTCACTCCACTGCGAGCTCGATCGCCTCTCTTCCCCCGAGGAAGGAGGCTACAAGCGGCCTCGGTCGTGTCCGCCCACTGCCCCAAGTGCCACCTGGGATTTCTCCTATCGCTAGCCTCGCCTCGTCCCGCCTATCCTACTCCGCCTTCTCACCGCTCGCACCCCCTCCTCGCGTTACCTCCTCTCCACGCAGCTTTTCTCCTCCCATGCTCCGCAAAGTTGCCCCGGTATCTATGACGCAACATCCGAGGAGTGTATCCCCTGCGTCGTCAACCTCGTCAGCTTTGTCCGTGCGTGAAAAGGTGGCGCATTTCGAGCAGGCAGAGCAGGTGAGACGCGAGACAGCCACAGGGGGAGCGACAATCAGTCTGTCATCTACGATGAACAGCTCTAGGAGCTTGGCACTCAGCCCTGTGTTGGGCACCCCTGGACGTGCAGAGCTGGGTAGAGGGATGTCGTTCAAAGCTCCGCTGTTCAAGAATGTCAGTGTGGCTGAGGAATAACGGGGTTGGGGCGAATCAAGCAGCACAAAGTGTGATCAGTGCTAACATCTCTGTAGCGATGATCCTGCCATACAAGGCATGTACATACAGTATACCACTTTACTAATAATGACATGCATAATACAACAAATATTGATAGCGTCAAGAGGGAATGCCCTGGACTGGATATCATTCTCACGTCGGGTGATCAGACAGTCTCCACATCTGATGAGATTTCGATCGGCTTATCAGATTCAGCCTCTCCCTTCACCAATGTGCCATTGCTTTTGCCCTGTACCGATGCTCTGGCCTGAACGATGAGCTTAGCAAAGTGCTCGTTTTGGGATTTCTGGGCGGAGGGTCAGAATACTGCACGATCAGCTTTCACAGATGATCACCTCGTAGCCCTTTGCATCAACTCTAGACATTCTTGCTTCTTTCTCCTTCTCGTCCCTCGCCCGCAGCCTCTCCCATTTGTCCAAATCCCTTTTGAGTTGATCCGTTGATTTGGCCTTGGACGAGTCTAGATTTGCGTTATATAACGTGATCCACTGCGCGTGTCTCTGTTCCCACTGCTTTCGGTCACCTGTTTCTGCTAAGCCTTGGGTTTGAAGGAGCATGCGAACTTGTTTGTTGCTAAGAGTGTGGTAGGAGACCTTCGCTAGTGGTCGGGGTGGCGGAGAACTCGAGCGGTCTGTATCCCCTCCAGCACCTCTTCTTCCAAATTTCGAGCCTGTCTTCCCGCCTGGTCCAGCAAGCAATTTTGCCCATTGTACTTTTCCCTTCCCCTTGTCGCTGGGTAACTGCTCTTCAGGGCAGCCCGCATCGATGTGCGCGTTTATTCGTGTTACGAGGACTTTGTGATTACATATTGGGCAGTCGACTAGTGCATTCGCTGGGATGAGTCACAGGTCAGTAACGGACTGAGGTGGAAAATGCATCGAAGCGTACAGTCCAATATCTCCACTTCAGAATCTTCCGATTCCTCTGGACGTTCATCATCCTCATCAACCGACTGTAATACATGATCAGAGGATTGTCGCTTCATTCGTTTTGGCCGAGGCGTTTCATCTGTGCCGTTTGCAGACTCTTCTCGTCGTCGCTTACGCGACACTGCGTCGTTAGCCAGAAATAAGACGTTACTCCTCCAACCATGTTTAGTGCTTTACAGAGAAGGGTAAATCCTAAACCTACCTTGCCCCTTTGTATGCCTCCACACTCTCCTCCAGGACAATGTTCTTCTTTATACTGCTCTCTTGTGTCGGTATTCGGCAAGCAGGGCATTCCTTCTTTTCTCCCTCTTTTAAGGCTTCTCGAATACACTGAATCGTTGTTCGTATGGAGATATTCCTCACGGATTCAAGTACTTACTAGACTACAAAAGGAATGTCCGCAGGTCGCGAGGAGGACCGGCGCATTGAAAAGGTCCTTGCAAATCGGACATCGCAGTGTCCTGTCCAATGTTCTCAGGTCCCCAAAGTTCTCGGGGAAATCCGAAGGGTCAGATACGTCGTCCGACCCCGTTGCAGCGAGTGCCGAAGCCAGGTCCATAGATAAGTAGACTAGGCAAGGACGATGTCAAGCGCGAAGGACGCGACGAGGGTCACCTGCTGGACGCGTGCGGCATGGAGTCATCACGCGCCTCGAGGGTCATGTACACTTGCTTGCCACCCACCACCTGTATACCCGACATCATGGTATCGACACGCTCTAAACCATCAAGGAGCCAGCAGACAAAGCTGGACGTCTTTCTGTCATCGCCTTCCCAACAGACGAAAGTAGGCTCCTCGCCTATCAATCCCAAGTCATCATCGGCAAGCTACTACTCGTCACCAATCAAGCGCTACTTTTCGTTACAGAAACCGGGCAAAAGCAGAACTCAGCCTTCTGCTATCGTGGTGTCGGACGATGATGATCCTCGCGATATTGATGTTATCCAATTCGAGCCTCCTTCGCAGGGGAAGCAACGTGCCTCGGTCATATCCAGCGACATCAAGAATGACACAGATTCTTCATCTTTATTATCAGTTCCGGAGAAGGATGTTGAACTTGTTCAAACGCCACCCCGCAGTGCTTTCTGGACACGGCAACCCGGTAGTTCCGCTAAACGTGCACGGTTACCCAGTACCCCGCCCATATCTCGGTCTCCCAGTTTAGGGTCACCGGTGCAGACAGTTTCTTCCAAAGTCCATAAAGGAAACAAGAAGGCTGTAGTTGAATCGGAGTCAGAAGAAGACATGGAGGAGTCACCCCATAGGAAGAGGCGGAAAGTCAGTCCAGAGCCGGTGGATGGCGATAGCGAAGAGGAAGAGGATCCGGAGGACTTGAGACAGGAAATAGATCCGGAATGTACGCTGCAGATAGATGAATCATCAGCGCGCGCTAATATCATAGCAGTGATCATACAGTCCAAGTTTCGCAAAACGCGTAACACGAGGATGACAGCGTTCCAGAAGAACTTAGAACGGCTGAAGCGACGACGGGCAGGGGAACCGGAAGAAGAGGATGATGATAATGAGGAGGAGGAGGATGAGGGAGAAGATGAGGGAGAAGAGAGCGGAGACCAGGAAGAGGAGGAAGAAGAGCCTACGCCTTTTAGAGGCGCTCGGCCTGGCTTGATGGAGCTCGATGATGAGGACGAAGCTGCAGAGCCAGAAGAGACCGATGCTCATGACGAAGATGAGGGTTGGGTGGTCGAGGATGACGATGAGCCTGATCAACCTGCCCTGCCCGGTACGTTGTCGTACACGCGTCTGGCTCTAGTATACTTACATGTTTTCTCAGCCGAGTTCAGCATGCGGTCACATCAAGACCCGTCCGTTCACTTCAAGGTGGTATGTCAGTTATTCGTAAATCTTATTGTTTTGGCGGGAACGAACCGGAGAGCGAGGCAAAAACTCTTAGACGGTATGTCATCGTCTTTTTTCAGGCCAAGAAAATAGTATGAATCTTTCATGCAGATGATTACTTCAAAATCTCCCTGGATGCCCTGCGTCGGAAGGTTGACTCAACCAAGGATTCCCTAGTCATATCTTCCGTATGGCGTCCCGAATTCCGAAGGTCGCTGGAAAAGTATCCTCAATTGTCGGTGGTGCGCATGGGGACCTCATACTCGGGTTGTGATGCTTGTCACATACGAAATCGGATCAGCACCCTTAAAGTACACATAAAGGGACAGAAATGGGGAGGATTACTGGATCCGGATACTCAGGAGAGCGATAGCGACGACGATTCCTTTATCGATGACGGTGTAAATGAAGGCGAGAAAGAATTCGTATATACAGTGGGTCGTGTATGCGCGGCGCGGATGGAGATCTTCAATCAGTTCTATCACTGGGAGGTATGTATCCACCACACGGCTCAGCATCTCTGCTTAATCGGCGCCTGCAACAGTACTTTCTGTATGAAGCGCTTAGAGATCAGATAAAGTTGTTGCGATCGGAGGACGACGATAGTGATGAGGACCGGCCCAGAAGGATGTTTGTCCACGTCGATGCCCCCAGGGATCTGGACGATCCGAATGCCATCATGGATTGGCTTGATCGGAAAGCTGTCATCGCTATGGTGAGCACTTCGCTCATGTCATAGCAAATCCCACATGACGATGATTGTTAGGAATGGGCTCAATTCAAGGAGATGCTCGAAAAGGCCCAGAACATCAACCACATCAAATACGAAGACGATACGAGAAGATATGAAGACGATAAGAGAGGATACGATAAGAGAGGATGAGCCTTGTTCGGCGGTAGTTCTTACGACACTCACGACACCCCTGGGATAGTTCGACCAATGCATTTCTTGTCTGAGTGCCGATATTCACAATACACAAATAGAACCGCAGATATGACTAATGACAGTAAAAAAGAGAGCGCTCGCGCCACTGAAATTGACCTTGGAGAAAAACGAATGGCTTTAGGGCAATTGCCTCATGTTCTTGGTGTCCCGCGCCGCTGCCGTCCGGCGCAGCCTTAGCCAGACAACGAAGACGAGGAGACATATCGCTGCGAAGGTGGGGAGTACCACGAAAGCAGGCATAAGCTCATTGGTGGGAGAGGCATAGCCATTGTACACCGGAGGGGGGTCACGAACGGAGGTGAAACAGGCGGCTGCCGCTGCCGCATCGGTTGTGCTTAACAGCTGGACGTATGGTTGCGCTGTTGCATCAGCTGCAGAGTCAACGAAGTCGCCATAGTTCATCAAGGTATAGGTATTGCGAACTTCAGCATGATCAGTGCCTTTTTAGTCAGGGGTGAGTGACGGAACTTACGGAACGCCATTCCAAGCACCATGTCCGCAACCCCATCTAAGGCCTGCAGTGCATCAGCCTGAATCGGCTGAAACGCACCAATACAGGTGTTATTCGGCAAAGGTTGTCCAACGGTCGCAGGGTCGAAGCTCATATCGAGCGGGTGGATCGGATAGTTGACTCCAGCAAACATGAACGATGCGTTGACCTGCGCTTTGCAGGGGAATGTCCAGGCAATGACACCAGAGGCGTTGGAGAGTACGGCGCCGGGGATGGAGCCGTAGAATGCTTGGGCGACAGAGGGAGGAACTTGAGGGAATGTAAAGCCACTGTCCAGGACGGCGACCATACTACCTGCTGCAGCACCAGCCACGACAGATTGAGGAAGCGTAAAGGCCACGTCATTGGCCATGATACCATCCACTGCTACAGTCCAGTGTTGGAGATCGGTCTGGCCTTGCGGCGGAGTGATAACAGGAAGTTTTGGCATCGTGGTGATGTTCTCCATGCCCGGGACGAGCTCGCCTGATGAACGATTAAAAACAACGCCACACTCCTAGTGACTTGACATACTCAGGGTAAAATTACCAACAGCGATCACGCTTGTCTCAGCAGTATCCATGTCCCTGGCCAGGGTAAACGACATGAAGTTCGACGTGGATGGATTTTGTTGGAAGATCCTATCCAGTAGGGCATCCCCCCACGTCGGATTAAGCATGCCGCTCGTGTCCGTAGTCAACGTCTGCTGGTAAATCTTATGGAGGACGGAGCCGGAGGACATGCCTAGACCAAGCAACCCCTGGTCTTGGCCGTTCTGACTGGAGGCTCCAGCGTTTACGCTAACATGGTCTGTGAAGAGCTAAGTGAAATACTTCGAGTAAACAGTATTCTGCACTCACTGAAGACCTGCTGCTGGACGGTATAACCGGCGAAAGTAACGTTGCCAAATGACATCTGGCCCTCCTCGGCGCCTGATGCAAAGTTGACAGTGACGGGAATACCAGTATCCTTCGCGGTTGGGATAGTGCCCATAATATTCAGGTCCGCACTGCAGCAGAGATCAGATTGACATGCTGGTCAATGAGACCGTTAGGGCTCACCTCCCGGTATCCAATAAGACCGTGAACGGCTGGCCCTCCAACCACACCATACTCGTATATTCCACGTCCTGCAAATCTTTGAGGGAGATCACCATCTGATCACCGCTCGTGCTCGTCTGCCCCGCAGACTGCCTCTTTCCGAACCCACTCTGCCCCGCTCTGTGTTTGAGGCGCGCCGAGACAGGGAATTGTAACCCATAAACAGAGGGAAGCAGCAGCCCGGCCGCCAGAACTGCAAGAATCGAATAGCGAAAAAAAGCCATCTTCCAGAGATGTTATGCTGCCAGAGCACCAGATTCTAGCTTGCAAAGTGAAAGGAGAAACAGCAGAGAATGCACACGTCGTGGGGGCCGGAACCAGCCTTGGGCCCAAGTAATCAAGTGGATGTTGCTTTTATACTTCCTCATTGACTAGCGACAACCATGCGATATTCAATGAAAAAAGAATGTTCGTTATGGCAGCCGTCGTATGAGGTCATCAAAGCACGGGCAGCGCGGAGCGACCGATGACTCGGTTGCGTAGAGACCCCGATGGACGCTTAGTTACCAGGAAATGGCACGACAGAACAGGCAACGTAGCCGCCAAGGAAAGTGAATAATTAAAGCGGGTTATGTGAATGGAATGATCCGATCTTCACATTTCCGGATCATCAAAAAGCATTTGCTTACTTGATGATCAATAGGAGAGAGGATAAAGTGGATGATAACGAACACCCTTTTTTCATCAATTGCGTGGCAATGCACTGCATCCGCGGTGCTTCTAGTCGGTGGCTACGATCGCCAACTTTGAAAACCTGATCTTGCCTCTGTTTGGCGATACCAGCACACTCCCAAGCACTGTCCATAGGAATGCAAGTTTGGGAAGACACTGAACAAGTAGACATTTCAACATTTCACGTAAATTGGTTTTCCACTTCCTTTCTCCTTTGCGGGTTACAACACGTCTACACGGGAATATAGAGGAACGAGAAGAGAGGGGAAGGCAATGTCAGATCGAATCGCAGGCAGCAGGGAAGGGGTGTTCAACCGTAGTTAAGGCGGAACACGTCGTTCTGGCTGTAGCATACAAAACCAGTGAGTGGGACAAGAACTCGCGCGCACGGAGATTACGCACACGTAGTAGGATCCGTCATGCGGAAGGAGCTGGAATACCTGGCAGAAATGGAGAGGGTTCGTCGAGTCATCAACCTATTGCAACACCCTCAGTTAGCTTCTGGAAAAGATAGCTTGGATGACGTACCAAGAGAGCGCCCGTGACTAGGACCATCAGGCCACCCTGGGAGTTGGATGGCTGCGTATCCATGGTATCCACCCGATGCTGAACCTTCTGGAACGGAAGGCTCTGGAAGCGCAGATCGTGAGCATCTCATACTCCTGGAGTGGAGCGAAGGACGCACGGAGAGCTTCTCGATGATTGCCTGAGTGCCCATAATCTCCGATGCTTCAAACGAGAGCATAGATGTATCGCGCTATGTATGCGTTAGCCCATGAGAGGACGAAGGTATGACTCAGAGGACGCACGTAAAGCCCAGCAAGGTTGGCCCGTCCGGAATCGAACGTCGAGTAGTAGAAGTTGACGAACTAGATGCTCAGATCAGACCCGATCGCGTTAAATTAGTGAAATACACTGCCTGCTGACCGACAGTCTTGAAGTCCCCCATGGCTATGTACTATTGTACGATAAGAGACGAGAGAAAAGATGGAAGAAGAGCGAGGCTTGACTTGATGGCGCCCTCCTGTCTCTTTGCACGCGCCTTGTCTGCGTCGCGTGGCGACGGTGTTGGCGTTTGCTTCCGTGTAAGTCGGTCCCTTAAGTGGAAGAGTGAATGAAAGGGAGAAGGGAGAGCTGCTTCCATTATTGTTGTCTTTTCTGACCTTTCTGCTTCTTTCCTCTTCTCTGCGGAACTGCAAACGTATCTTCCCTCAGCTTTCATTTTGACCTTCCCTGTCTGCTGGTCACATATCCATATCAGGCGCAATCTGCTTCTTGCGTTCGGTCTCGCTGCTGGCTGGCGTGCACCCGCCGACAGAGCGTGTTCCGGCAACGTCAACACCAGCGTACTGCGAACTATCTATGCGCCTGGAGTGCCCTCAGTAATATCCAACTATGGAGCGTTCTCGCCCAGGCATCCGACGCAAGTCGTCCGCGTCCAACCTCCTCCTCGCTACACTCAAACCAGGCCCCTCCGCACCACCACCCAGCAATGCGAGTATAAGCTCAGCTGCGTCCTCCTCCACTTCACCCACCACGACAGCGGCATCTACCAGCTCGTTCAACCCAAGCACGATGTCCTCGGGAACGACGGTGGCGAAGGATTGGGACAACCAGAGTATCTTTAGCGAGTCATCCGAAGGGCGAAATGTTGGCGGCGCGATCTCCCCTACTGGGGGTAACATCCAGCCTGTGGGCACTGCGAGCGCGAGTGCAGACCTGCTTCGAGATATGGTGGCGAAGAGGATGAAGACGTTCACTTTCTTGAAGACCGTGCATGAGGGGAAGGGACATTGGCTGCAGAGCATACAGTTCACTCGGCAGGAGCTGGACAGGGAGTTCGATAATGCGAAAATGCGGAAACGGTGCGTGTTGAGACCTTAATGTGGTAATGGGTCTTATGATGATATCCATACCAGAACGCATCGTTTTCATGTCCTCGGATTGTCGCTCTCCTCTTTATGGGATATCTCGGCGCCCAACGATTTCTTACGCGCCTTGCTCGCTATCCTGGACGAGTTTGATCATTTTCAAGACGACGTGAACTACAAGCCGAAAATGGTCAGCGTGTTACACTGTATTTGTGAGAAGGTGTTTCTGACGCTTGGCTCAGCGCAACTTGTTTAGAGGAGTGTCGTCGAAGCAGCTGAGGAAAGGCAGTGCGGGAGACACACCATATGCAGATTTTTTCCTGGATGGTGCAACACTTCTCACACCTCCATTCGTATGTCTCTCTACGGCATCCCTCATTCACATACTCACATTATTTCTAGCCCTTTCCGCTTGATTATTCTCAAACATTATACACACTCTACGACATCCTGCTGGAAACATACCACAAGATGTATCGCTTTCTCGGTCCCTCAATACTTCCCTCTTCCCACGCGCCCTCCGTTCCACTACGCTCCGCGTCAAATCCAGCTCCATCTAATCGATCGCGATCGTATTCGACACCTTCCGAAGATGGCGTTCCTTCTGGCGGAGGAGGGATGATCGCCCTCATTTCGCCTCTACCGATAGACAACGAGTCTTTCTCAGAGTCATTAGGAATTGCCCTCTCCTCAGGCAGTCCCGTCGAGACGACTTTCCGTACCCCACAACCTCGACAGGGATCGATTCCCTCCAATCCGGGCTATCCAACGTACCCAACAGGCGTCGGTCCGGCAGGCATGGGCTTGCCATACGGCCCTGGCCTACCACCGATGTCAGAGTCACCACCCCCATTCTCTCAGCAGATGGGCGAACAGATCACGCGCATCGACTCTAAGATCAAGAAGATATGGCAACCGATCGTAAAGGAAATGGACGCGATGGCCAGGGAGATCATCAAACAAGAGCTTGCTATGCTGAGCTTTGGCGGCGGGACGGGGCTCGGAATGCCTATAGGAGGCGTAGGAATGGAGAGAGGAGGTAGCAGTGGAAGCGGAAATGGGAGCGGGCAAGGGATGCTCGGGCTCGGTTTCAACCTAGTTGGCGGCAGCGGCAATGGGAATATCAGCGATACATGGGTGGACCTCGAACCTGCGCATGGGTGACCATGACTTCAGCAAATCCCTTTTATTGATTATGATATTTCCAGTGTACATTTCGTCTTCCCATATTATGCTCGGGCTCGGTTGATACTAGCTGTAATGATTGTATCCATACAGACTTTTAGACTGCATTTCCCATTCTTCAATTCAGCTTTACAGCGTTCCTAGATGATCGCCGCAGTCGAAGGGCCGAGGCAGCGCAGACGAAGCGCAGACAACGTGTACCAAGGGATGCAATTTGATTCCGAGAGAGTGATACGCAAGTTGCCTCCGCGCTTCCTGCTTCGCGTCCCATCGAATCTCCCTGGGACGCACGGCACGCTCACTTGCCTCGCTTGACCTATAGCGCATACATCTTGCCCTGATACCCTCTCGTAACTTCCTTGCCTGCTATTGCCAACTTCCACAACTAGACATACGATTATACTGCTATTTTACCTGAACGGAGAAAAGCATGGCTACACCAACCCCGCCTGCCACAGGTGTCGGCCTCGGCCTGGAAGTCGTCTCTATCGTCAACAAGCTGCAGGATGTCTTTGCGGCCGTGGGGGCGAACTCTAGTGTCATCGATCTCCCGCAGATTTGCGTGCTAGGTAGCCAGTCTAGGTGCGTGATAAGGTTGCTTCGTTCGTGGCATTGTGCTGATCTTGGGCTATAGTGGGAAGAGTTCGGTGCTCGAGGTGAGCGCTACGTGCATACATACGGTGAGTGGCCGCTGACATAAAGTAGAATATTGTCGGACGTGACTTCTTGCCTCGAGGAACTGGTATCGTCACACGGCGACCTCTTGTGAGTGCTCTGCCTCACCATGTGCTGCGCTGTTCTGGTCTGATAAGCATGTTCTGTCCAGATTTTGCAGCTTGTCAACCGACCTGCAACTGCCAAAGCTCCCCAGCAAAACGGCGATGCTAGTACGTATTTGTGTAACCCTTTTTGCCTAGTGCTCATCCATTACAGAGCCCGATGGCGTAGTACCTTCTTCGAAGGACCCCCATCAAAATGAGGACGAATGGGGCGAGTTCTTGCATGTGCCTGGCACAAAGTTTTACGACTTCACCAAAATCCGGGATGAGATCGTGCGGGACACAGAGGCCAAGACGGGGCGTAATGCAGGCATCTCTCCTCTGCCCATCAACTTGCGCATATATTCTCCCAACGTCCTCACTCTCACCCTTGTTGATCTACCTGGTCTGACAAAGGTGCCTGTTGGCGACCAGCCGAAGGATATCGAGCGACAGATCAGGGATATGTTGGTCAAGTATATTAGCAAACCGAACGCGCTCATCCTCGCGGTCACAGCTGCCAATACTGATCTGGCAAATTCTGATGGTCTGAAGCTGGCGCGCGAGGTGGATCCAGAGGGGACAAGGACGATAGGTGTCCTCACCAAAGTTGATCTTATGTACGCGTCACCCTTTTGTTAGAAAAATCCTTTTGCTTATCTGGCTTCTTTCAGGGACCAAGGGACAGATGTCATCGACATTTTAGCTGGACGTGTTATCCCTCTGCGGTTAGGATATGTGCCAGTTGTCAACCGTGGTCAGCGTGATATCGATCAGTTCAAGCCTATCAGCGCTGCGCTCGAATTTGAACGTCGCTTCTTCGAGAACCACCCCGCATACTCTAGCAAGGCGTCCTTCTGCGGCACACCGTTCCTGGCAAGGAGGTTGAACACCATCCTGATGCACCATATTCGCTCTGCGCTTCCGGATATGAAGCTGAGGATACAGCAGCAACTGCAAAAGTACAATGCGGAGTTGATCCAGCTGGGTGGTGCTCAAGGGCAGGAAAGCTCGGTAAGTTTCCATCCACACTCGTGTCCTTAAATGATCTCCAACCAAAACACAGGGTAATATCGTTCTGTCGGTTATCACTGAATTCTGCACCGGTTTCCGCACTGTCCTTGATGGTAATACGAACGACCTCTCAGTGAACGAGCTGTCCGGTGGTGCTCGTATCTCATTCGTTTATCATGAGCTGTACAACAACGGTGTGCGCTCAATCGATCCTTTCGACCTTGTCAAGGACGGCGACATCCGCATCATTCTGTACAACTCTTCTGGTTCTACTCCTGCACTGTTCGTTGGGACCCAGGCGTTTGAGGTTATCGTCAAACAGCAGATTCTGAGGCTGGAGGAGCCTAGTGTCAAGTGCACACAGCTTGTATATGAAGAGCTGACGCGGATTCTGAATCAACTGCTCAACAAGATCGTGCGCTTTGCCCATCTCGTGTGCTGATTTCTGGTGCTGAATGTGTTGGTAGCAAACCTTCAAGCGGTTCCCCGCCCTCAAGGAACGTTTCAGCGCTGTGGTCATCAACTTTTTCAAGACCGCAATGGACCCTACTACGAAACTGGTGAAAGACCTTGTGCAGATGCAGGCTGGCTACATCAACACCACTCATCCGGACTTCCTCAATGGCCAGAAGGCGATGGCGATTATCTCTGAGCGACTGAACGTGAGCAAGCCAGCGCCGGCGGCACACGACCCTAAACGACCCATGACACCGGCACAGATCAACAACAATAAGGATCTAGATGTTGCACCTCCGAAAGACGACACAGGCTTCTTCGGCAGCTTCTTTGCTTCTAAGCAACCTAAAAAGAAAGGCGGTCCCGTCATGGAGGCAGTAAGTGCTTGATACTGTTCGCATTTTAAATCGGGCATCTAACCTCGTCTTGTAGCCACCAACTGTTATCAAGCCCCAATCCGCGCTGAACGATCGCGAACAAATGGAGACTGAGGTCATCAGTACGCATTTATGATCTCTCGGTTAAAGAAAGTGCTGATTCTGATTTGCAGAGCTCCTTATCCAATCGTACTTCAACATCATCAAGCGGGAGATGATTGACATGGTGCCAAAGGCTATTACATATACCTTGGTGAACCACTCCAAGGAGAATCTCCAGCAGGAGTTACTCAAGGAGCTGTACAAGCCCGAGATCCTCGATGATCTCTTGAAGGAATCGGAGTACATTGTCAGCAGGCGGAAGGAGGTTGTTTCGATGGTGCAGGCCCTGAACAAGGCGGAGGAGATTATCGCCAGCGTCTAAGGTTGTTTCAGCACGTATTATGTATGTAGGCCCCGTCACGTTTTTACGGTTTCACTTTGCTTTAATGCACTCTTTCATCCCTCACTTCGTGCCCGAGGGACTCATCGGTCATAGAACCCACTTGATTATGTCCATTTATGTTACCAAGGGTATGGAATGCATGTGAGGTGACACGGTTAAACGGACGGAAGATGCGGGGAAGAGAGGGATCCAAATGAACACACGAAACAGAGAGAAGCAAGTAGTGTAAATAAAGACAAGAAGGGACGCGAATCATAAGCCATAAGAAAACAACATAAGGGTCGTTGAACGTGAGTGAACGAAATCTCGCCCCTGACAACGCCAACGCAGACCAAAGGCAAACCATGCCAAACCTATGACACCAAGGCGGCCAGCCGCCTGATGTGTGGGGTGTTGAGGTATGCGGGGACGTACGTCTCTAGACCAGTGACCTCACGCGCCAGAGGGAGCTCGTACGGCCCAACGTCTTCCGTCTCAGGGGTTAGCAGTAAATGGTCGTTTCTGTCGTTAGGCACAATCCGTGATGCAACAACACGGAGAATCTCCGGCGAGATCGGATTCTGCAGAGACGAGTTAACTGCTAGCCTCTGTCTGTATATATGCTGTACTGACCTCGTAGTCTGCAACGAAATAATTTGTGCACATGCGCTGGATTTGGGTCGGCGTGAGCATCCAGCAGACATCGTAGATGATCTCGATATCCTGAGAGGTTGCTTTCTTCAGCTGGAGGAGCTTGGTCGCCTGCATCAGATGCTCGAGCTGCAGATTGCCTTCAGGCATGTCATGTGACTTGCACCACTCTTCAATGCGAGTGATGTTGTACTGGATCTGCATGGCTACAAAGAATGTGAGAATGATTCTTCGGAACAGCAGTTACTTGGTTCATACCTCGTTTCCAAGAGCTGAAGTTGCGCCTCATAAGCAAGTCGTTGAAACTTGTTACGCCAACAAGCCGCAGCAACTCCGTGAAGACCTGGCCGATGACAATCTCTTCCATGTAGAAGGTCTTCAAGCTGCGGAAGACCTTATTGAACAGGTTCAGAATATCATCCATGTTGAATGCAGGTTGTGACGAATGAAGCAGGCGGTTGAAGAGGCGATTGTTGCCGTCGGTCGCGGTGAATCCTGGGAGCGCTTGGCTTTCAATAAGAGCCGGGATGATCATCTTGCTTAAACGCTTCTTGGTCTCTACCATGAAGGTATGGTAGATGTTAAACTCGAGACTGTCAAGGTCATTCTTCACAACAGACACTAAGCGCTCGTAATCCTGCCATTCGAATTCTCGGCAAGCAGGATCGCCGCCCGGACCAATACCCTGTTGCATATCACTTTCGGCAACACAGATGAACGAGAGGATTTCATGGACATTGGACAGCCAGAAGAGACCCGGGACAATCGCATCCTCGCCCGAAAACGACTACAGACTGTTAGCGACAACCCTAATCGGGGAATAGAGCAAATCTTACCATGACATGCGACTGAATGGTCTGCATCACATTGGCCAGGAATCTTTCACTCTCCGCAATGAGACCGAATCTCCACATTTCATTGGTGACTAAGCTGATCAGGTGAGCAGGGAAGAGAATCTCCTTCAGATTCGGTGGCGGTGTGGTGCCAGGTTGAGGAATCTTCAGCCCACGGATGAGACTGTTCAAGATGTCCTCATCCAACGCAGTCCCATCCTCAAGAAGACGAATCTTCTCCTCTGCCGGATCATCGTATATGTCACCCAACCCGTTCATGGGCTTGAATCTCGGCATGGCGTCCTGCGCATTGAGGGCAACCGACACTGCCCTTGGCGCACCAGGGCCAAGACGTCTCCCGAACTGAAGGACATCGTCATACCCGTTCTCCGATTTCTCAGTATTGTAGTACGCAGCAGCACTGTGCGTCCTGTTGTGGCGCTTAACACCGTTCATAACTGCACCGTTGATAACAGGTGACTGTTCGATAGCCTTGTATGCAGGTGGGAAGCGGTCCGTCGGCGAAGTTGGTTCCCGAGCGCTTTTGGTCAACGAGGCGAGAGCATTGGCACGATTGAGTTGATCTTTCAAACCACTGAGCTCGGTTCGCAGAGACATGATTGTGGCTCCATCCTCAGTGCCCTTAGTTGCAGCGCCATCCAAAAGCTTCTGTCTCTCTTCCAAAAGAGCAGTGTGACGACTGAGGTCATCGGTGAGTTGCTGAACAAGCTCTTCTTGCTCAGCGACCTTTTGGTGCGCCGTGTCAAGCCGTTTATCGACCTCACGCTTGGTGGCAAGCAATTCATCGAACTTCGACTTGGGCACGTGCGCAGACTGAATATCCGTCTGAAGTTGCCGCGCTCTGCCGTCTGCCTCCTCATGCCGCGACTGCCACGAACGGAGTAAGGCCTGTAACTCTTCATTCTTGGCCTGCATCTCCTTGTTCTCGGCAACGCGCTTCTGAATAGTCTGGGTAAGCTCGACGACCTTGTTCTCCAATCGGTACGAAATCTCCTTAAAGCGAGAAGCTGAACGAGCCTCGGCCCGGAGTGCCTTGAGCTCCTTGCGAGCGTTGCGTCGACGGACACATGATTGGAGATAGATGACTTTCTTGACGTCCGACTTGTAATTCCGGCGAGCAATGAAACCGCGGTACAGCCGCTGGAGCAGGACAGCAGCAGTCTGCAGGCGTGTCTTCTTGTACTCGCGGCGCGCTTTCTGACCACGGAATAGGCTCTGGAAGCGGATGACGGATTCCCTGATGTCCATGTACTGTTTACGTTGCTGATAACGACGGATAGCCTTCTGGAACTTAACAGCAGCAGCTTCTTGCCGCATCCGGTAAACGAGACGACGAGCCAGGATCGTTCTCCACCAAGTCTGGATGCGGATGGCGGCGGACCGCAGTTCACGATATTTCTTCACAGCCATTCGCCTACGCATATTCTTCTGGATGATTGTGACGAGGTAGTTTAGCTTGTCGGTACGCTGTGCCTCAAGATAAGCAAGCATTCCGGCACGGAAGAAGATTTTCGTCAGGCCAGCCTGATATTTGTCGTCTTCCTTGATGGCGGCGCCTAGGATCTCATTACAGAGCGCTTTCGGGTCCGTCTGCTTTGACCAAATTGCCGCTATAACAAGCATATAGTACCTATTGGATGCCGTCAGCAGTTCCCAACAACTGACTTATGAGGCACAAACCTTTCAGCGAATTCCTCATATGTCCAGCGAGAAGGATATCCGGCACAACTGATCCGAATGGTCTCCAATACACCGCACGCACGAAGTTGTCCAAGCACTTGCTGAGGAGTGAACTCCCACGCGCGCTTTGCCTCGTTTGGTTTGATGCAACGAATATAATGAACATTGGTGACGCCGATGGTGTCCATCAAGGAGATGAGGGATGCTTTGAAAATGGAGCCCAAAGTGGGTTTCCGAGCAACTGCACGCCCACCCTTGCCCGAGGCCCCCGAGTTCGTACCAAGTCCGGTGGTCAATGACGCTCGGCCGGGATCAGGTATGAGTGATTGACGACGATTGCTGACAACACTCTCCGTATCTGAGCCTGCGCTTGGGGTTGGCGTTGAGGCATCGCCCGGCTTGGTACCGGCCAAAGCTGCCTCCAGAACTTCCTTGAAGAAATAATTTTGCGTGTTGGCAAGGAGCATCAGTTGTTCATCTGGAACGGTATCACGGTTCTTCTCGATGAAACCATCGACTTCGTAGGTAACGTCCAGAGCGTAATGAGCAACCGTGAACGCCGTGTTACCAAACCGAGGCTTCTTGAACACGTTCTTGTTATCGGGCTTGTCAAGCTGGCCGACGAGTTTGGTAAGGAATGACGCATCAGTCCCAGCAGGCAAACGCGATTCCTCGTCAAGAAGAGACAGAATACCAAGCCTGTTTTCGATGACATCGATGCATGGCTGATTGTCGGCAAAATCAATGAACGTCCAAGAAATCTGTTCCCGAACATATTCCTCCTGTTCGAGCTTAAACACATGGGCATTGAACTGGTAAAGAAAAATTAGCATCCAACAACATATCGCTTCCAAAAAGACTTGCCTCCTGTTGCAACTTCTCGTTTGCATAATTAATGCAGAACTGCTCAAAGGAGTTTTTCTTGAAGTGCTCGAAGCCATAAATATCCAAAACTCCAATGAAGTTCTCTGCTTTATTTGCGGCTTCACCATCTTCACCAGCCAAGCTCTCGTTGACAATAGACACAAGCCACTCGAACAAGCAGGCATAGATAAATTTGGCGACGGAGTCTCGTACCACAGTTGCTTGTGCTCCGTTCAAGGAGGTCACAATCTTCTCGTTGCGGGTCGTCAGCTGCTTCTTGACAGTCCATCTCTTGAACTCGACAGGGGAAATACCGAGGAAGCGAGTAGCAAGAGCCAGAGCAGGGTCATTATCGTCAATCATCGCGTCTGTGCGTGACTGTGTAATCTTGATATTTCCTATGTGAAGGAGTGCAGCGAGGATCTTGAACACTGCCCATTGGCGATCGATAGAAATGCCGACCGTGGACAATGCTTGCTGGGTTTCACGGAACTCTTCGACATCATCGACACCTGGGATCGGGGTTGAAGAAGGACCTCCCTGGTTCAGATAAGCAAACTTGGTAACATCCGGATCAAGTGCTAGATCCTTCCGCTCCTTGATGGGAACACCGGCACAGAGTTGGTAGAAAATGTGATAGTTGCGTTCCGTATCCGGTTGATAAACCAAACGGGTCCGCTCTAGGAGGTATGTCCTAATACGCGCGCCAACAATTTGCTGCTTCCCATCGAACAAAATCTAACGAAGCCATTCAGAACCCGACTAAGTGCAGGTGACAAAACGCACCTGGATGTATTTTCCAAATCGAGAAGAATTGTCGTTACGGGATGTCTTCGCGTTACCGAACGCCTCAAGAATGGGATTTGTAGCGAGAATCTGGCGCTCGACCTCACTTGTCTCGTCGGCACCTTTGACCCTTGTCTTAGAGCCAATCCCTGACGCGTCCGCATTGACAGACGCGAGATAGCGCATAATCAGCTTGGCAGACTCCGTCTTGCCGGCACCACTGCGAACGGAATGAGCCAAAATTGAAGCTACTATGTTGATCATGCTCACCTCTCTCCGGAAACGATGATAGTCTGCCCCATATTATCCTGTCTCATCCTGGTGTATGCCTCTTCGGCGATTGCGAAAAGATGCGGCTCTAGCTCTCCTTTCCGACGACCACTATATGCTTGAATAATCTCTGGTCCATAGAGCGTGACGCGTTGGAATGGATTGACAGCAATCAGAACAATACCGCTGTAGGTGTAAATGATGTGTTGCGAGTAACGGTTGCGAATGGTATGGAGGACTATATGCAGACCCTCAGATCCCGTTCAGGCCGGGAAAGGCAACAAGGCGTACCGGAAGGTTCATTCAAGTGGGAAAGGGTAGCCATGTCATCTGCACTCTCGAGCAGAGGGGGGTTGCGTAATGGTGGAAGATCGCCTTTGCCATCGCGAATATTGCTCTCCGTGGTGTCTACGACTTGCTCCTGTATTGAAGATCAGCATCTTCACGTCGCGTACGTGCACAAAAACAGGGGCTCACCTTGCCTCGCTCATCAACGAAGGTTAGCTTGACCTTTCCATCGTCGCCTTTCGTCACGGCGGTTACCTCTCCGGACACCCACCCATCCTCCCGGTCAGGGAACCAGACACGCGTCCCCCGCGCATAGATATCGGACATTGGTGGTCAGTCGTCAAGGTCGTTACTGTGCCACTAGAGTGTTGTGCCCGCCAGAGAGTTGCACGGGCGACCAGCGCGAGTGTTGTGGTACCACAAGAGGGCAGGGAGGTCGTTGAACAATAAAGAGGAAAAGGAAGCGCTGGTTGTCGTCTCAAGGACACAGGAAGAAATGGACAAGGGAATACCGGAGAAAGCCCTCTAAAAGATTCCGCTAGTTAATCGAACCGTGGGGGGCCGTGCAAGGCAACCGCCTCGCCCTCACTCCTGTCAGGGTCTTCGAACGCGTTCCTCCTGCTTACGTAATCGTATACAAATGCATGGCCTCTAGACAAGTCGAACGGATGGGTCCGCGAAGATGAACACTCTCGAACTCACGATCGAAATGCCCTGTTTCTGGGGTAGTTCAATCCAGACAATCTCCCATCAGCAAGCAGCCCAGGCCGAGCAGAGTTTTGATGTAGAGATGTGATCCGACCAGCACCTGAATGCCGGGGACTATCCGGTGATACAACCAGAAGTTCATTTCATTTGCTGATAGCGGTACAATGATAGCAGTCGTAACAGGAAAGCAGGCTCAGCGGTCTCATAGTCATCATGCATATCTGACGGATATTAGCGACTATACGATATTTAGAACTAATGTGCGCACTTCCTAGTCCAATCCTTTGCAGTCTTCAAGAATGCTGCCCTGTCGCTCTTCATTTGCTGTACAGTCATGTCGATGAGCATCGCGTGTGTGTAGAAATGAAGCAAACTCACAGCAGCAATGTCCGCATTGAAAGGGTCGTCCGCACTAGGGTTGTTAAGTTTCTCCTGAACTGTGGTCATGACTATACAAACGTATTAATAGATCTCGATAAGATGCTGAGCCTAGGAATCGGCACCCTTCGTCATGCTGATCGTCGGTTTCCACTGCGCATATATGATTCAGACTAGCCGAAGGATTTGAATAACAACCTACTTCGTCCTTCAGCATCGGAATACAGATGCGACCCTCTTCATCTATCCCTGGGTGATACACGCGGGTGGTAAAGCGGACCTGCAATGAAAGCGTCGTCAACGGACCCAGGATCTGACTGGATGACCCTATGACTCACATCAGGTGCTTTGAACGGGTACCCATCCGGAAAGGTAACGAGAAGTTGGAATGTTCCGCCTTTGTAGGGAGAATCAGACTAAAACATGCATGGATCAGTCATTTGTAGCGGTAAGAGGTCCAATGCTCACAGCGGCCTTGATCGTGCAACCCCATTCCAGCAAGTTGTCACCCTTAGGCTCAACCGCCAAGCCAGCGATAGGCTCGGTCTTCAGCTGGCTTAATTCCTAGACTTTATAAGTTCGAGATCGACATAGGTATTATAATGAATATACCTTGAGCAAACGTCTATTGGCCATGATGAACACTTAGTAGTGCTGGTGGTCTGGTTGATGTGTGGTCCTTCGCGGAGGGCGCGCCCATGTGTGGCAGGCTATTAGGGTTGCTTGGCACTAACCCTGAGCGCCATGCCTCACGCCGTTTATTTGGGTCGCGCTCTGTTCGCCACCTCAACGGCACAGTGGCACAAACTCACACGAAGGCGATCGTGCCGCAAATCATCGCTGACCCCTAGCCAAGGAGTACTGCTGTAGTTCTTGTAAGATACTCCAGGTTTGTGCGTGTTAAGTCGCTAACATATATGCTGTGGCTAATCTTCGCGACAGATCTGTAGTCATGCCTCAAATACCTCAAATGCCCACATTGAAGCGACCTGCGTCACCGACACCCACTCCTGGACCTGAGTCTCCAGCTCCTTCTGTGTTTGCTCTTCCAAAGAGCAAGAAGCGAAAGCCCAATGGTGACAGTGCTTCGAAGCTCGATGGGAGTTCGGCTGCACCCGATGGATCTATCAATGGAGAAGGGGAAGAGGAGTCAGCACCTATCAGCGAGTACGACCTGACACGGATTGCAAAGCGCGTTGTACCTCGTCAGCCTCTTTTCCAGTCAGTATCAGAAGGATCAGAGTGGTGCACCACACCTGACGTACCACCAAATCGAATGGGCTTCCGTTACGTGCTTGCAGGCTGCTCAGACCCTTCCAGCAGAACCGTTGACAAGACCCTGGAGAGCTATCCGCAGAATCTACGATTCAGCTGGGAAGATCGAAGTCCCTACGTACGCATTACACAGGATGGAATGTCTATCACTACAGAGAAAGGCTTCAGGAGCGCAAGATGTAACGTGCCCGTGCGAGAAGGGAAGTGGTACATGGAGGTCGAGATTCTTAAAGGAGGTGGTGAGGGTAAGGGCGAAGCTGGACGACGGGATGGCGCACACGTTCGACTCGGGTGGGGAAGGCGAGAAGCACCTCTGAACGGCCCAGTTGGGATGGATGGCTACAGTTACGGACTTCGCGACCTTACCGGGGACAAGATCACGCTTTCAAGACCGCGACCATATGGCCAGCCCTTCCGATCAGGAGATGTGGTTGGAATGTACATCTCGCTCCCGCCTCGAAAGGAACCAAACCCGAAGGATTCATACGACCCAGCTCGAATTGTGCGAAAACGCATACCGATTCAGTACAAGGGTCAGGTGTATTTCGAATCTGTTGAATATCCGCAAAGCAAGGAGATGCAAGCTCTACTCGATTACTCTGGCAAGAAGGCAGCGGAGACGGCCAAGAAAAACGTCCCGAAGGGTCCTCCTGGTCAGAAGGTTGCGGCTGGACCAGTTATGCGCCCATTGCCTAACTTGCCAGGCTCGGTTATTGCGTTCTTTGTCAACGGCAAACCGCAGGGTGTGGCCTTCCGGGACATATATGATTTCCTTCAACTGCGTCTCAGCGATGCCGCCCGTAGAGCCCAGCAGCAGAGCAAAAGTGGGATGGCTGCTATTATGAAGGAGCGAGAAAATAACTTCAACGATGGATCTCTTGGTTACTACCCATTCGTCTCCGTCTTCAACGATGCCCAAGTACGACTGAACCCCGGACCCGACTTCAAGTACCCTCCTCCCCCCGACATCGACGCGAAACTCGGCTTGCCCCCTTCGTCTCAGTTTGGGGAACCTACCTGGCGGCCAATGTCCGAACGCTATCATGAATATATGTCCGAAGTTTGGGCGCAGGATGCGATCGATGGTGTGGCTCTCAATGCCGAGGCACAGCGCATATTAGATGAACGGGAGAAGGCTAAAGCAGAAGAGGCTAAGCGGGAGGAGCGCCGGAGGCGAGACCGGGAGAGGGCCGCTCTGAAGAAGAAAGAAAAGGAGAACGCCAAGCTCGGGATCAAGGACAAAGCATCCCCTACGCCAGATTCCCTCCTGCAATATTCGCCATCTCTTCGTGATTTATCCCTGCTTCCCAAGCTCGAGACTCAAGACGACGTAGATGACGCCTTGCTGGGTTTAGCTGAGACTCCTCAAACAAACGGCAAGACGGAAGATCTAGATGAGGAGCTCCTGGAAGCAGCCGGTGCCAACGGAAGAAAATCGGCCGTCCCAGAAGATCTAGACAAAGAGCTTTTGGAAGTCGCTGGCTCACCCAGCAGGGATTTTAGTATACCGCAGTCCGAAGACATCGACGAGGAACTGCTCGAAGCTGCCGGTTCCGATAAACCGCCGAAACATCATAAATCTGAAGTGGAGGATCTTGAGGAAGAGCTACTTGAAGCAGCGGACTCTGTTGAGCCGAGATCAAATACCCCAGACAAGACGGTCCAGGTCGAGGATATCGACGAAGCTTTGCTGGAGGCGGCCTCGTACGAATCCCGGCCTGTCAAAGATGAGAACCCGACTGAGTGGAATGAAGATGAAGACGGACTTCTAGATGCTGTCGTTTCCGATGCTCGATCTCCCCTTCAGCAGGCACCGTTAGCCAAAGAGCAAGGCACAGATGATGAAAATGATGATCTCGATCTGTTGGCCGCCGTCGCTTCCGACAACCGCTCCGCTCCTTTCAAGAGAACTAAGATGCCGACCCCGGATATGGACCTCAGCGATGATGAACTCTTGTTAAGTTCTCCGGCACCGAAGAATCATATTTCCAGAGCACCGATGGATTTGGACAACGATCTGTTAGAAGCAGCAGGCGTGGAAAAGAAGGGGTCAACCAAGCAACGCCAGGGTGTCAAGTCTGCTTCCGTCGACGATGACCTGCTGGACGCAGTCTCATCTCCGCCTACTACAAAGCCTCAGAAGCCAACTAAGCTCCGGGATTGGGTGGACGAGGATGATGTTGATGACCACATCTTAGACGCCTTGACCGTGCCTAAAAAACATCAATCCAAAAAGCCCAGCTCATCCACCGGCTCGCATTCCCGACCTGTCAAGAGGGAAGATGAGGACGACCTACTGGATGCTGTCCTCCCTGCAAGGTCAGCTGTGAATAAGTCTGCATCCGTGAAAGACACCCGTGGACGGGGCGCCGTGTTCAGTGATGATGAAGCTGCCGATCCTGAGCATGATCCTGTAGATGATCTCATTGCGGATGCGATGGATGAAGACTAGTTACGTAAGTCTACCCCAGCATTCCCAGTGTTGGAACACGTACAATGAACGGACCCGTGTATTTTAGATAGATGAAACACTATGTACTGTAGCTTTGCTATAATGTACGATAACATGTACTGACTTTCCCATATTCATATCCACCCACACGAAAGCAAGTTCTAAGCGAAGGAGCCGGTAATGTACATAGACAACCGCTCCGCGCAATCACCGCGTGTTAAGGGACCATTTCCTAGGGTAGAAACAGGCTCCGACAGGTCACCTACACCCACATAAACAGCTTACCTCGCACTTTCCCAGAACAGCAACATACAACCAACCTTTACTTTTCTGTCCTCACCTTAGAACAGCTGACATATACTCAAACAGAGGCAGAGCCTCTGTTATGATATTATAATAGTATATATTTTGCCCTTGTAATGCTCATCAAACATGTACTCTATCACATGCACCAAATCCTGCTCATCAGCCAAAAATAGTAAATTGGTAGTAAAACATATCTGTTTCAAGTTCATCTTTTACCTCCAAAATACCTTTTCTGGCTGCTCAATCTGTCCTATCCCCCCCAAGCCTTCCTCCTACAATGAGCTCGTTTGCCAATGAATCAGGTCAGGGTGAGATGTATAGGCCTGTTCCTGGTCTGGTCAAAACAATGTCAATCATGAGCAAGCTGCAATCGCTGATGGAGTCATATGACCCTTGAAGCTTGGATGCAGAGCAAATTATGAGGGGGGAGAGGATCCAACATTTTGGGGCATTGTTGAAGATGGTGCCTGTTGCAACTTTGTGGTGAGTCACCAAGCCTCCTCCAGTGCAACTACTCAACTTACCCACTGGATCCCTCCCTTCCAGCAGTCCTTCACCTCTCCCCATTGCCTCTCCTCCCTTTCCCACACAGTCCCTTCTCACCTCAGCCACTCCCTCCTCAACTCCTAGCTCTGTGCAACCTGGTCTTCCCTTGCCCCCAGCAATGTTCCATCCCAACAAAGGCTCTGTCCAGCAGCAAGTTAGCGAATCTGTGCCTCCAAAGCCCATGAAGAAAAGACCTGCCTTGAAGGCTATACCAGGGCCTGAAAGCAGCAGACCACTGAAGAAGCACCAGAAGGGCTTGGTGACCCAGTTGCCCCTTGACCAATTGGATGAGACCAACTTACACCTTCGAAAATATCTTTGGGTCAGCTAGTGCTCCCTGCTTTGGACATGAGGCAACACTTACAAATATTAGAGCCAAATATAAATATTAAAGAAGATGTACCAAATCATTGGGTATTGCCATGGGGGAATGATGCCCAGCAAACTCGGACCATCCCATGATGACAACATGGGTCCAGGGCCATTCTTGATGCTGGACTTCAGCATGAACATCAATGTGCCACCCAACATCTTCATCCAAAAGCGGGCTGCTTCTGCAATTAAGTTCATTGAAGAGGTCAGTAAGAATTTGGGGTGGTGGGAACAACTACTCAACTTACCACCTTTCACAGGGCCCCACAAGCACTGTCCCCAAGGATTATCAAGCTTGTTGGCTTGAGGAGAATGCCCTTGAAGATCTCACCAGGGGGACTTGGCCTGGCATGAAAGCTATCTGGCAGCTACAGAAATCTGACTGCTGAAACCAGGGACAGTTGTCCTCAAAGAAGGCCAGCTGGAACAGGCACAATGAGCAGAGGAAGCTGGTCAGTACTGTCACTCTTCATGGCCATGCTTGACTCACCCTTTTAACAGGCTGCAGGCCAGATTTGCCATGGGCTTGAGGGCTTCTGTGCTGACAACAATCTTGTGCACACAGCTGTATCTGCAGAACTGGTCAGCAAGGACTGGATGGGGGATGAGTGTTTGTGTGATGAAGACAGGCAGCAGAATGAGGAATGGAGAGCCCTCCTCTTCTCTTCTGGAAGGATCACTGTGCTTGAGCGGGACAAACCTAATCTGCAAGTTTTGGAGGAAAAACAACCTGCATGGATGCATGAAAGCATTAGTACATTGTCAAGCTCAATGTTTCAACTCACATGTCTCATAGTTCTGGGCTTGGTTGAAGACACAATGCACAGTAAGATCAATGACCCAGTGCAAGCCTGAAAAGAAATGTATTGACCTGGGCCATGTCTCACATCATATGCCTTGCATCATACCATTCAATTTCATGGTACATCCTGCTTGGAAGGAGACTGAGTTGCCGAAATGGAGTCCAGACTATTGGACTGCAAAGGAGGTGTTCCCATCTTCCTTTGGCACTGGGGCCAGGGCTGCTGCTCTTATACATATGATTGTACCTTTGGCTTCTATGCCAAGCAGCTCCTCAACAGGTAAGTTGAGTAGTTGTGGTGATCCAAGATACAAATCTGATTATTTTGTCAGCAGCATAGGATCTGGCCACATGAATGTACTCACAGTATTAATTCCACACAGCTCACAGTACATCCCCCCTAAGCTAGACAGTTGTCAGTCTGACATGAGCCAGATACATGTATATACCTGTAAAGCTTGATGTGATAGACAATGTCTTGTCCTGTCTACAAAGGTCACCTGCTCTGACAGGATTATCAGTTTACAACCCACACTCCATGTAAACAATATAAGACCTTGCTTAACCCTGTCATGATCCACAGTTGTTGGCCATCTACATTCATTGTACATCATGCCACTGTGCTGCCAATAGACCTCATGGATATGAGCTTGTCAGGTCCAAAATTGTCAGGTCCTTGATACTGTCCATAGAGCCAGAAATCAATTTCTAGCTCTCTCCTGAAGTGAGGGTCAGCATTCAACTCGATAAGTTGAGTAGTCATGCAGAATGAGGCAACTCACAGATTCTCATAGACAGTTGCATATGTAGGTGTGTCCTGCAGTGGAACAAGCCACGCCACAGTTGCAAAGGTTTTGGGGGGGTCCACACCATCTTGAATATGTCAAAATAAGCCATGCACCTTGCCTACCCATTGTGTTCCAGGTTGGAACTTCAAGAGCACTAGTGAATCACCTTTGAAGCTCTTCTTCTCCAGGGTCACCATAATGCACTTGCCTTCAAAGCACAGCTCGGAGTAACTCACTGCCTTGTGGTTAAGAAAGTTTGTGTGCCAAGGGGCTGTTGGATCCCCTGGGTGGTGGATGGGCACATTGGGTTGGTGGCACCGGTACCAGTCTAAGAGGCATTCCTGAATATCATGCAGTAGATTCATGTTCTTGGAGTTGCCACCAGGTAGTGGATGGCTCAGCCAAGCCTGGGCTTGGTCCTGTGCTTCTGCCACAAGCACTGCCAGTGTACCACTCTGCACTAGGCCCCAGGTTGTTGAGTGCTGCAGTTTGACAGTGAGCAGCCAAGCAAGGGGATCTTCATGCTGAGTGGCCAGGAGGGTATGCTGAAGCAATTGTGAGCCAGTAGCCTCACTTTACTCAGAAGGACTCACCAAATGGGTGAGGCTCATTTTGTGCTTGAAAGAATAGGCAAAAGAAACCTCCAAGATGCCCTGTTTATGCCTGTTGGAGGGTACACTCTTCAGCACTTTGTTCAGATGTTCATACAAGAACATCTGAAAATTGCGCACAGGCCCAAAACATTGAACTTGGGCTGCCATGTGGGTAACCCAGTGGAAAGTAGGGGTTATGTTATCTGTCCCATAGATCTGGGGAAAAGTCAGCAAAGTCAGGTGAACATTGTTGATAAGTTGAGTAGTTGCACTGGCCAAGGCAGCACAACCACTTGGCCCATTAACAAGTGCTCACCTGGGCGTATTCCTGATAGAATTGTTGATACAGCTCACTTGCCTGCTCCAGGTCATCTTCTGTCACCTCCTGCCTCATGAATATCTTCATGGCAGCTGCTAGCTTCAGGTAGTTCCATGCAGCTTCATGGTGTCCACCCTTCCAAAGCACATAAGGAATCTGCGCCGAGTCAGCTTGTATGTCTGTAGCCTGCAGATAACCTACTGTCGCTGGCCCATAAAGAATCAACAAGCATTTCCACTCATTGGAGGTCAGACTCCCTCCAGCAGGGTACCCCACCTGCTTGGGCAGCCAAGCATACCAGATGGGCATCTCAAAGGTGGTGAGTCCATCATGGATTTCATCTAGCTCTCAACGAACTCCCAATGCTGTGCCTTCTGGGAGTAGTGTCTTCTTATGTTTGCCACCCTTGACCCACATATGATACCAAAGAGTCTTTGTTAGACCTGCCATTGCTTAGCCAGACAGCCTTATCCATTTACTGAAAACTTGCATGCACCTTGGAGAAATGTGTGCATGGGGTTAATCACCCCCATTGTGACCGGGCGAAAGTATGGTAAGCAACAGAATTTGGACCAATGAACACCATATTTTGCAAAGTATGCCTTGATAGTGTTTGAGCTGGCTTGGGCTCCTTGCATTGCATACATTTTAGCAGCTTGTCTCTTGTGTAGGGTGCCATGGCGGAGAGGGATACCCTCTGTAGCCCAGCCAGTCACAAGCATTTCACTTTGGGTGATTTTGCATTATGTGCAGGGGCGAGTACTGTGGCCCTTATCTGCAAAGCCACACATCTTGCAGAGGGGTCATCCTCTTGATTGATTGGGTCTTCCTGAGGGTGATGTTCATTGATTGCTTGACTCAGTGTTAGGGCAACACAGGCTGTCTAAGTCTGCTTACCTAAGAGTGCCAAGAGTCTAAGCAGGCAACAAGGAAGTGGAGTAGACCTGATGACTAAGACCTATCTATAGTATAGGTACCTGTGGATGATCCTAAGAGACCAAGTCTGAAGAGACAGTCCCAGGCAGAGTAGGCCTTATATTTATACCTCTGTGGTGGAACCTGCTAGAACATCTTGCTTACTCAGCCTAGTCAGGTGATCAGGTCATATGACCAAGGATGAGGTCATATGAGGTCATGCACAGCCATGCACAGCAGGTCACCTGACCATCCAATCCTTCC